CTCATTTAAGATATTATCATCCGAGCCTACTTGATTTGTTTTCAACAGTCTAATAGCTCTATCAACTTCCTCTTTACTTATAGCATTATTTATTACCTCATTGAAACCATCTACATTTAAAATAATATGCTCATCCACATCATTATCATCCACATCATTATCATCTGTTTCATTAAATTCTTTAAAATAATTGAAAACCATATCCATGGAAATTTGTGCTTTTGATTTTTTATTTACACAACTATTCAACAATTTCCAATAATCTTTTGATTTACCACTTTTTCATTTATTAAATTTCGACCTCATGTGGCATCTATAAGAATAAATACATTTACTCATAGTTCTTTTGTATGATTCTTCAGACGTTTTATATTTGTTAAAGAAAAAGTCATTTTTATGACGTCGATATTGACTCTTATTAGTTGATTTTTTTTTGTTGCTTTGTATCATTCTCTATTAAACCAGGGTTTGACTTCTCTTTATGTTTACCTGAACAAAAGTTATCACCACTGTGTTCATAGTATTAATTTGTTATTCATGTAATAAACCAAAATATTACTCATGATCACTTCCTATTTGTCGAACAACTAGCTATTTTGGGGTTAATTTCAAGTTAATGCTTTCATTCATAACTTTGAATCAAATAAATATAATTATGTGCCATAGGATGTAATATAGTGGAGCCTTTGTATTCAATTGTATTCTACTGTATACTAGTTCTGTATAGATTTTATTTTTACCTTATTGTTTGATTTATATTGTTGCCAAACTCTATGCCTGATGCCTGATCCCTTTGCTTCAATTGTTTATATTGAGCAATAAAATTTGTTGAAATAGAACAAAAGTTATCTATAGTATTAATTTGTCATGTACCCAAAGTAGCCTTAGCGGCATTTACCAATACATTACCAAACTCTGCTACTAAGTTATCAACGTCTAAATTGTGATTATCAGGATCCTCACCAATGACTCTTATAATGTCGTGTATCTTCTCAATATCAAGGTTATTGGTATTTTCGTATTATCCCACTTATTGATCAGTTCTTTGGGTTGGAAGTTATATGTATCAATTGACTGACCGTCGATCGGATGGGCTTTAGTATGAATGGTGATGGGCATCCAAGTATAAGAAGCTAATGTCTAAAACTTCAAAGTCATCAACAAATTAGAATAGATTTGATGAGCATAGTCAACTACACTTGTGATTTTGCAAGTAAACTTGCCAGAACTTTTATCGCTGCCAACTCGACCATTACATATATACAAATCACTAAACTTACACATATTGATTAGTCGATTTCCAAATTTATTCTTCCGTTCATCTTTACTACTTCTAATTTTTGCAATGTTATACATATCAAAGAAGTTGATGTTAAAAATTTCCTGCAATATATGATTTGTCAAATCTTTCCTTTCATGTATTTCACTGATATCTACAAATGCATGTATATGCTCTATTCAGACAACAAAACAAGTTCCTGAATGACTTTAAAACAGTATTCTACATGTGATATAACATCAGCGTACAGCACATGCAACATCACACTTGTAAACATGCCTACTACACCTGTACATTTGAGTATGCATATTGGTCACATGGTTTATTTGTGGTTGTCTTCAGAAATTTCTAACAAAATCCAAAGTCTAACAATTATTTACTGTATAGATGGTAATATTAGTGGAGGGTTCGATTTTGCTACATTAATAGATATTAAAGATAACAAGAAATTAAGTTCCAATCAAACACAGAATTAAAAACCTGTGGCCTGGACAACCTCGAAATATAAAGCAGTAGTATGTGCAATATACAGTACATGAATATCAAAATTTGTCAATTGTGTTTATTTTTTATTTTTATTTTTCAAGGAAAACACCATGAATAAGTCTCAGAAAACACCAGCTGGTCCTTAATGAGGATGTTTTTCTCAAACACTATTTTAATGATATATGTCTCTTTAGGTGTTAGATTTAATATACAGAGTGTTTTCAGCTATTGGTTTATCACACCACAGGACTGACAGGTCCCCAGGCGAGACCAATAGAACACCGCTATTTATCACATTTGACAAACTGCTGTGGGAAACAGGAGTTCCTCATCTATCAATTATCATATAACACGGCCTTAATATGGCCAATCTTTATTTCATAGAAAGTACATTTCTTTTTCACATCTCTATGATTTTCAACAATGTCACTCTAGGTTAAAACATATTTCATAGGGAAGATTTTCAAGGAAGTCTTCATTTTTTATCAATACTTTCTAGAAATCAGTACTTTTTATGTTTGTGCAGAATTTGATACTGTATATTACATATTAAGTATGTAATAATTTCATCGCAACGTACAAATTCTGATGGGAAGTTAGAGAGGTGTGCTTACTGCAAGCCAATGGAATGACAATTTATGCCAGTTTACTAAAAAGCAACAAAGATGTATGGGCTTAAATTGTGAGATGACTAGATATATACATACACAAGCCCCCATCCCCAGAAACAGTGTACATACACCCCAGTAATTATAGTATATACTACACAAGCCCCCTCCCCCAGAAACATTGTACATACACCCCAGTAATTATAGTATATACTACACAAGCCCCCTCCCCCAGAAACATTGTTACATACACCCCAGTAATTATAGTATATACTACACAAGCCCCCTCCCCCAGAAACATTGTTACATACCCCAGTAATTATAGTATATACTACACAAGCCCCCTCCCCCAGAAACATTGTTACATACCCCAGTAATTATAGTATATACTACACAAGTCCCCTCCCCCTAGAAACATTGTTACATACCCCAGTAATTATAGTATATACTACACAAGCCCCCTCCCCCAGAAACATTGTTACATACCCCAGTAATTATAGTATATACTACACAAGTCCCCTCCCCCAGAAACATTGTTACATACCCCAGTAATTATAGTATATACTACACAAGCCCCCTCCCCCAGAAACATTGTTACATACACCCCAGTAATTATAGTATATACTACACAAGCCCCCTCCCCCAGAAACATTGTTACATACCCCAGTAATTATAGTATATACTACACAAGCCCTCTCCCCCAGAAACATTGTTACATACACCCCAGTAATTATAGTATATACTACACAAGCCCCCTCCCCCAGAAACATTGTTACATACCCCAGTAATTATAGTATATACTACACAAGCCCCCTCCCCAGAAACATTGTTACATACCCCAGTAATTATAGTATATACTACACAAGTCCCCTCCCCCAGAAACATTGTTACATACCCCAGTAATTATAGTATATACTACACAAGCCCCCTCCCCCAGAAACATTGTTACATACACCCCAGTAATTATAGTATATACTACACAAGCCCCCTCCCCCAGAAACATTGTTACATACCCCAGTAATTATAGTATATACTACACAAGCCCCCTCCCCCAGAAACATTGTTACATACCCCAGTAATTATAGTATATACTACACAAGCCCCCTCCCCCAGAAACATTGTTACATACACCCCAGTAATTATAGTATATACTACACAAGCCCCCTCCCCCAGAAACATTGTTACATACCCCAGTAATTATAGTATATACTACACAAGCCCCCTCCCCCAGAAACATTGTTACATACCCCAGTAATTATAGTATATACTACACAAGCCCCCTCCCCCAGAAACATTGTTACATACACCCCAGTAATTATAGTATATACTACACAAGCCCCCTCCCCCAGAAACATTGTTACATATCCCAGTAATTATAGTATATACTACACAAGTCCCCTCCCCCAGAAACAGTGTACATACACTCCAGTAATTATAGTATATACTACACAAGCCCCCTCCCCCAGAAACATTGTTACATGTCCTTGTGATTATATCTCATTGTAATGGAATATTTATATAATCTCATATTCTTTATTCCCAACATTAGAAATTCTACTGCCACTCTGAGTCCATATATTGTTATTAAGCTACCCAGATCTATTGCCATGCAAGTGAAGTTACTACTAACAAATGCTACTGTAAAATCATATATTTTTGTGTATATTTCTTGTGGTTTTTCAAAATATTAATATTTTGTGGAGACTTGATTTCACGGATGAATATATTGCAAATAAGTCAGAACCACTGTGTTTGGGCTAATTGTTGAAAATGTCATGGTAATTCATTCCCTAACTCTTGAGGCTTACCATACCCAATATGATACAGCTGAAATACTGATTTTTAATATGATATGGCTGTAATACCTGATTCTCAATATGATATGGCTGTAATACCTGATTCTCAATATGATATGGCTGTAATACCTGATTCTCAATATGATATGGCTGTAATACCTGATTCTCAATAAGATATGGCTGTAATACCTGATTTTCGATATGATATGGCTGTAATACCTGATTTTCGATATGATATGGCTGTAATACCTGATTCTCGATATGATATGGCTGTAATACCTGATTTTCGATATGATATGGCTGTAATACCTGATTCTCGATATGATATGGCTGTAATACCTGATTCTCAATATGATATGGCTGTAATACCTGATTTTCGATATGATATGGCTGTAATACCTGATTCTCAATATGATATGGCTGTAATACCTGATTTTCGATATGATATGGGTGTAATACCTGATTTTCGATATGATATGGCTGTAATACCTGATTCTCTTTATGATAGGATGAAATACCTGATTTTCAATATGACATGGCTGTAATACCCGATTCTCATTGTGACACAGCTGAAATACCTGATTCTCATTATGACAAGGCTGCAATACTTGATTCATAATATGATACAGCTGAAATAAATAGATACTCAATATGATGAGGTTGAAATAACTGATTATCAATACGATGAGGTTGAAGTAACTGATCATCAATAGGACAAGGCTGAAATATCCTTATACCCAATAGGATGAGGCTGAAATATTGCAATTTTATGAGAGTTACCTCATTCCCAACATGAGAATGCGTAATACTATATTTAATTTTTGTTGACAGACCGACTTTGATGATGGTCACTGCCCCACCTGGACCAATCAGCTTGCAGGATTATACAATGTCTACCGTGCAGTACATGGACAAATCCCAGGTCAGTAAAATATAGAACTTTCACACAATACACACACTGCTCTCTGAGAAAAAAGACTGATTCTACGTAGTTGCAGTTTCCTGATTTGTCAGTGAGAATTACAAATACAGTAAATAAAACACTCCTTGAAGAAAATAGGGATGGTTGAGGATGAGAGTTGATAGAGGGGAGTGACTTATCCATAAGTAATAAGATATGGTGTTTTTATTTGATGTAATAAATTACACAGAAAATAACGGTATCTTCAAAAAGATACATAATATTGCAAAAATGTTGCATATTTGAATTTTAATCCTGTTTTTCTGTAACTTATATACACTCTTGATGGAATAAAAAAGATAAATATCAATAAACAACTTTGAAATTAAGTTTACTGAATTTTAAAATGAAGTGATTTTTCCTTTGTAAATTTCTGCTATATATCTTTGTGATGATAAGCAAGGTGGTCGATCATGTTTTATAGCTTGGTCAGTAGGGTGTCAGGTGAGAGAGCCAGAGATTCTTGGCATTGACAAGTAAATACTGATGTTATAGTGTTTTATTTATTGTATTTATTAAGTATTAAGGCCATGTCTAGTAATAAGCCCACCCACATATATTGCTCTCCTGTAAAATTAACCAAAATTCTGCTTCATTGTTCTCTAAACAGATAATGATCAGACACTCTGTTCTTATTGTCCTGTAATAAGCCCACCCCTAGACTCTGAATCAGAGATAATGATCAGAAACTCGGTGCTTACAGAATAGGGAATTATGGCTTTGATAACATTAGAGGTGGATTTCAAAAATCATTGACAATCTGTCTAGAGGTCATAGTTCAAATCCTTGCCACAGACCCCATTGCATTTCTTGTCCTTGTTACAAATTGGACAGTGTGAAAGATAGTCACAAATTAGATATCAAATTCTACAATGATTTGATATAGTTGGCTATCTTGGGCACAGATACACTATACAATGCTGTAAACTGATACTCTATAGGTGTAGCGACCATAGAACAACTTCCAGTACTTATGATGAGGCCTAGAGCATGGAATATGGTGGAAACCAATGTGTTGGTAGGGTGTTTATGTATATAAAAATATATAATCAAGCAAAAACATAATTTATTATATCAAATTATCAGTGTTATCCACTAAACTCGCACCTGTGATATATATGTTAATATTGTAATATATTAGGAAGCATTTTTCATTGGTCGTATCAATTGAAATCAATTGTGATGTACTTATATGGACAATGACATTATGTTGTATTTAAAAATTGGACAACAAAGTAACAGTTTTACATTAAAACCAGTTGAAATGTAACTTTTCAGAGTAATGTGATAAAAATAATTTTGAATTTGTTTTCATTTCATATGAAGTTTCTCTGAATTGTGTTTGAGAGTTTCAAAATAAACATTTCTAAAACTTATTTCATGTATACTCAAATGAAACAGAAAGTCATTTAAAATTCCAATTATACCTTTATATTCACATGATTACCCAGTGATTCAGTAACACATATGTCATGTTTTTATCAGAATTTGATATTTGGTTTCATAATAATGCGATGTGTATATATAGATTTTATTTAATGGTTTCCCATTAAATATCATAGATATTTCATCAGTATGAGAGAATGTCAGAAAGATAAAGATATATTCTGTCATACAAGTGAAATAAAATATCAAAGGGAAACCATTTAATTTTCTTTTTATTACATATATAAAGGGAAAACAATAAAAGTCAGTCTAAACATAAATTAGGCAGTGTTAAAATAAGTTCAGGGAGTATTAGCATGTTATTTGACTTCTGATAATTTGAAGTTATGCTTGCCAACAACACAATGTCATTTCAAATAGCCTGCATTATGTTGTATCTGGTGATTTACAAAACTGTTTTATACCATATTAGAGAGACCCAGAAATATACACTGGAATTATTTAAGGGACATTTGGATATTAGTGAATGACAATACAGTACTTGATGATGACTAGAAAGCTATCATTATCATATCAGTACTGAGAAAGTTCTATCATCACTAGCAATTCTTGTTAATTCCTGAAAGCTTTTAGCTGTAATATTTACATTTTCCTTAAAGCACATTCAGTCAAACCTGTTTGGTCTGTAAAGGCTACTCTTTGGAGAGGAAAATTTTAGTGGTCTATAAAGGCTACTCGTTGGAGAGGAAAATTTTAGTGGTCTATAAAGGCTACTCGTTAGAGAGGAAAATTTTAGTGGTCTATAAAGGCTACTCGTTAGAGAGGAAAATTTTAGTGGTCTATAAAGGCTACTCGTTAGAGAGGAAAATTTTAGTGGTCTATAAAGGCTACTTGTTAGAGAGGAAAATTTTAGTGGTCTATAAAGGCAACTTGTTGGAGAGGAAAATTTTAGTGGTCAATAAAGGCTACTCGTTAGAGAGGAAAATTTTAGTGGTCTATAAAGGCTACTCGTTGGAGAGGAAAATTTTAGTGGTCTATAAAGGCTACTGGTTGGAGAGGAAAATTTTAGTGGTCTATAAAGGCTACTTGTTGGAGAGGAAAATTTTAGTGGTCTATAAAGGCTACTCGTTAGAGAGGAAAATTTTAGTGGTCTATAAAGTTTACTCGTTAGAGAGGAAAATTTTAGTGGTCTATAAAGTTTACTCGTTAGAGAGGAAAATTTTAGTGGTCTATAAAAGGCTACTCGTTAGAGAGGAAAATTTTAGTGGTCTATAAAGGCTACTCGTTAGAGAGGAAAATTTTAGTGGTCTATAAAGGCTACTCGTTAGAGAGGAAAATTTTAGTGGTCTATAAAGGCTACTCGTTAGAGAGGAAAATTTTAGTGGTCTATAAAGGCTACTCGTTAGAGAGGAAAATTTTAGTGGTCTATAAAGGCTACTGGTTGGAGAGGAAAATTTTAGTGGTCTATAAAGGCTACTTGTTGGAGAGGAAAATTTTAGTGGTCTATAAAGGCTACTCGTTGGAGAGGAAAATTTTAGTGGTTTATAAAGGCTACTCGTTGGAGAGGAAAATTTTAGTGGTCTATAAAGGCTACACGTTGGAGAGGAAAATTTTAGTGGTCTATAAAGTCTACTCGTTGGAGAGGAAAATTTTAGTGGTCTATAAAGGAAAATTTTAGTGGGTTTGATCACCTAATGTACAGAGATGGTCATTATGAACAAATATTTACTCTTAATATAGATAGATGATCTGTATAGACAAGTATTTGTTATGTAGAGATGACCTTTTAGACAAGTATTTGTTATGTAGAGATGACCTTAACATGGCCTTAAATTCAGGTTTGACTGTGTACACAGATATATGTACATATTTATAAGTTTATATACCTGTACAAAAATAATGGACTTAATATATAACAGTATTAATATAACAGGTCTATGTATGTTTTTAAAAGTTTGTAAGAAATTGTTCACCTGGTTTTACAACTGCTCCTTAATACAGTGAAATTCATGAAGTCACCAAATGAAAATGCTGAAGTTGTGGTGTGTTGCAAAAGAAACCTAACTGTTTATTCCAATAATGCTTTCCATTTCTGTTGAGTTTTCCTGAAAAAAATGTCATGCAATTAACGGACACTAAACTGCTTCAGCTTTAGGTAATATTGTATGATAGCCATGTGCATATGCAACATCACATTACTAATTACTGGTCAGTGAATTTGTTTGCTTTTGTGTTGTAGTCATTGTCTTAAAAAGAGTTTCTCACTTGTGCTGTCTTTTTTTATCAACCTGACAATGAATTATTACATCAGACATATTTGTGGGTGGTCCCAAGAAATTGTGAAATTTTAATGTCAAAATTTATGATGAATCAACTCCAAAATAGGGTGAGTACAACTAAGGACCAGTAGGAGTCATTTTATGATAATGTAGATAGATTGGCCCTGTTTCTGATAATGTCGCTGAATGTTAGAATCTTTAAAGGATGATATCTGTGTGTCAGATCATAGTTATTTAGGGTGTTACAGTCCATGTGTATGTCTTGTTTGTCCACAGGTTAACGGGAAGCAGATTCCAGGGCCTCTGTTTGACTTCGGAATATTGATGTTCCATAATGCCAAACTCCTGCTTAAAAATAACAGTGGACCTTTCTTTTACCTGTCAAAGGTATGTCTTACCTGTACATAGTAAAAAAAGTAAAATTACATCTACATGTTTTTATACTCCAGACCCATCTCACTTGAGTGTTGGGTGGGGAAGGAGGAGGCTGATATAGTTATCACTGTGTATGGACATGCATCTATATGTCTGTCTGTGCATGCAAATCTTGTGTACAACTTGTATCATATAAAACCTGTGGCAAAATTACTTCTTATGAACACCACAGCATCACAGAATCAATTTCTACACTTGATGAGATATTTTGGGGAATGTCAATGAATAAGGTCAAAGGTCACCTTTGACAATTTTTGTAAAAAAAGCTTATGTACAAAAAACATCTCATGAACTCCAGGACAGAGTTAATTCACATTTGCATCATAGCATCAATCTACCCAGTTCTACATATGACTTTGGTGGTCATAGGTCAAGGTTAAAGGCCAAAAGATTTCCCTGACCATCTCTGAAATGGAAATATTGTGTACAAGATAATCTCTGGTATATCAACAGATTTAATTAAAGATGAAAGATCAGGGAATGGGGAAAGGATCAAGGTATATGTGTGAGCCCTAATGCATTTTTTATTTTAATTTATTTTCATCAGCTGGAAGGCAGACAAGAAGCTCATGTTTGGAATCAAATATTTTCCTGGACAGAAAAAAAGGCAAGTTGATGGTTCCAGAATCCGAGATAGTAAAAATTGATTTAATTAGAATATACTTTGTATATTAAACTATATAACTTTAAAGTTGCACATGTATCCTGCTCAAAACCTGGAAATTTTCTTGGGTTATTAAAATTCAATCATTATTGTTGACATCATCAGGTTGGATTACGATTGAGCACAATACTGGAATAATGTTTACTTGCAAAACTGTGTCATTCATAACAACTTTAACTGCGATATGACGATATTTCTCATAGTTGTATTATTATTGCACTATATATTGTCACAACACATTGTGTGTGAACTTGTGGCATTGTGTGCATTATTTGGACATGTTACTCATATATACGCTTTGTAAGTTAAGGTCTAAGTGACTTACTAATTGTCTGAGATGTTTCACTGTACAGTTGGGACTCCTGTAAGTTAAGGTCCAAGTGACTTAAATATTGTCTAAGATGTTTCACTGTACAGTTGGGACTCCTGTAAGTTAAGGTCTAAGTGACTTACTAATTGTCTGTGATGATTCACTGTACAGTTGGGACTCCTGTAAGTTAAGGTCCAAGTGACTTACTTATTGTCTAAGATGTTTCACTGTACAGTTGGGACTCCCCCATGGCTGTGTGAAGGCCTGCGTTCTGATTGAGAATGTCCTAGCCACGTTTGAGATGGAGGAGATTTTATATGAATTACAAGATCACAGTGCAGGATTAAACTGTGGGATCTGGGATTACTCTGCTTCCTTTATCAACAAGTTTGGTAAGTCAGATAACTAGTTAGATATAGTTCAGAAATGTTTTGGGTTTTACCTCCCTGCCTTCAAATTAAAGTCAAATTCTTAGAAAGTCCATGTGATATCTTGCCTAAATTTGATCAAATTTCCAAATGTTTTGGATTAAGGATTGGATGAATGATAATCAATTATCATGTTATATGTGTATTTTGCATATGAATGTGGTTTGTTTGATTCTGATTGGTCAGTTTGTTTCCACTTGCTATTTGACAAAAAATTTACTAAAGGGAATAAACAATTGCCACAATTATTTTTTGTAAGTTGTTTTAACAAAAAGTTCATTTTCTGGCAAAAACAAAAAACAAGGACTGGCAGGCAAAGACAGGCTATAAACAGAAACAGTTATTTGGCCTTGAAGATTACACAGCTCCATATTACAGGTACCTGGAAGGAATTTCTACTGCCTGACAGGAACAAATATGTTTCCATGGACCGACACTTCTTAAAGAGTTACATGGACTTGGTTGTGGCAACTTGTCATCGTCGTGGTTGCCCAGCAACAGGAGGAATGGCGGCTTCCTTACTTCCAAACTCCACAGTAACAAGTGTGGATTATGAAAAAGTTTTACACTCTGTCAGACAGTAAGTTTCACACTCTCTCTTTCCGCTGTCTGATCTATGATGTATTCTTGTAAAAATTTCTGATATAAGAAACATCATTGATGAATACCGTTTTTCTTGCCAGTATTATTGGGTCCAAATTCTGGCCTTATTCCATATTTTATGTTATTTTTATGGTGATATTACTTGTTTTTCCCAAAAAAATCATAAAAATTCTCAAAACATAGGATTTTTGATAACTGATGATGGAAGCAAACAAAATCCAGAGCTCACATCCTCCTTCCTCCCCTCCCCCTCCATAATTGAATGAGAATATGGACATTAGCCCAAAATGTACCAATTAAAGTAGGGTCATGTGGTAAGAGAAAATATGAATTTTTATATGCCTGTCAAACATTTTGGTGGATTATTATGGTATGACATTGTCTGTCATTAAAGAAGTCTTGTTGTTGCTATTTTTTCGATGTTGCTCAGATTTTATAAAATCATTTAGGTTGTCTTTGGCCTCAGATTGTGCTCTTTTGATTTTGGAACTGATCAGAAAAATAAAATTACTGACAGGCATCCATTTATTGATTTGACAATTAAAGATCATTATTGCTAATTCTTAAATGGAGTACTCTTTAAATTCAGAGCAAATAAGATGAAAGCAGAGAAAAAAGGGAAAACCTTTAAAGAAAAACTGAGATCAAACAGCGTTGTGTGCCAATATCCCTCAGGGATGCCTTAACCTCACCGTACTTATTCTATATTCAAGTGGCTAAAGATCATCTGAAGGGATCCTGCTTACATTTTCAGTGAGAAAATAAAATTTTCTATAATTAAGAGAAAATAAGAGGAGAGAGAAGAAAAGAAGGGAAAAGATCCAACTTTTGAAGAAACACAAGATCAAACAATGATGGATGACAAAATTTCTCTGGAATCTCTCGTTACCATTATTTTTCAAAAATAGATACATGAAAAATAATTTTAGAGCCCAAAGTTTGTTTCAGGAGTTTCATGACAAATGTATAAATTTGTCTAGAGCTTTTATTACACCTTCAATAACTTGAATCATTGAAAATATTTTGCAGTACATGTATTCTATATACCAGAAAATATGCCACTGTTTGACTATTTTAGCCCAATAAGAAGAGAGTGAGTTTTAAAAATGTATCAAAAGGTTGACATCTCCTCACTAAACATTTCAAGGTTAGAGCAAATTTTAGAGAGATTAAAAAACTTATCTATCAGAAGGCAAATATTTTCGGATTTCAGTTCAAACATATTTTCCAATATAGACAGCTTTGCTTGAAGCTTCATAGATCATCGTGTACATATTATTATAAGATCTGGTTGTACAAAGTGTCCAGAGTTCATGAGATCTGGTTGTACAAAGTGTCCAGAGTTCATGAGATCTGGTTGTACAAAGTGTCCAGAGTTCATGAGATCTGGTTGTACAAAGTGTCCAGAGTTCATGAGATCTGGTTGTACAAAGTGTCCAGAGTTCATGAGATCTGGTTGTACAAAGTGTCCAGAGTTCATGAGATCTGGTTGTACAAAGTGTCCAGAGTTCATGAGATCTGGTTGTACAAAGTGTCCAGAGTTCATGAGATCTGGTTGTACAAAGTGTCCAGAGTTCATGAGATCTGGTTGTACAAAGTGTCCAGAGTTCATGAGATCTGGTTGTACAAAGTGTCCAGAGTTCATGAGATCTGGTTGTACAAAGTGTCCAGAGTTCATGAGATCTGGTTGTACAAAGTGTCCAGAGTTCATGAGATCTGGTTGTACAAAGTGTCCAGAGTTCATGAGATCTGGTTGTACAAAGTGTCCAGAGTTCATGAGATCTGGTTGTACAAAGTGTCCAGAGTTCATGAGATCTGGTTGTACAAAGTGTCCAGAGTTCATGAGATCTGGTTGTACAAAGTGTCCAGAGTTCATGAGATCTGGTTGTACAAAGTGTCCAGAGTTCATGAGATCTGGTTGTACAAAGTGTCCAGAGTTCATGAGATCTGGTTGTACAAAGTGTCCAGAGTTCATGAGATCTGGTTGTACAAAGTGTCCAGAGTTCATGAGATCTGGTTGTACAAAGTGTCCAGAGTTCATGAGATCTGGTTGTACAAAGTGTCCAGAGTTCATGAGATCTGGTTGTACAAAGTGTCCAGAGTTCATGAGATCTGGTTGTACAAAGTGTCCAGAGTTCAGATTTTGATTGATTGATCTTTACACCCAACTAACAATAAAAAGTTTTACATAACAGTTTCCTCCCAAAAGTATAAACCATATCTGGAATTATATTCTATTAGAAGGTAATAAGGAGGTTTTCCTCATTGTGAAACATGATAAATTTTATAGAACTGCCAGATTCCATCTCATAAGAATACTCTTAAATGATTAGGATTACGATTATTTACTATCCTGAAAGAAAATTTTCAATTTGTGTTCCAGAGGTAAAGGGAAAGAGATCAGAGCAGGTGTGGATGGATTCATGGTTTATGATGTCCGACTGGTCCAGCCAATGCAGAAGGTTCGAAATCTGTGACCTTAGTGAGACCCTTAAAACAGAATGAGCAGGCAGTCAGATATATTGTAATGAAATTCTGGTATATAATTAATATACCACTTGAAAGAACTTGTCTTTAGCTGGATTGGTTGAGTATAATAAAGCTTCCCAGTTAATGAAGGCATTGGAACAAATATACCTCTATTACACTGTCATGCTTGTAGAGATGCAAGGATTTTACTTGGTGTCACTTTTACAGCCATTGCTGTAACCCCTCGGAACTATTTTATGTGATCTTTCCTGAAGGGGAAGTATTTAATCTTGATAAATATTAGTGTGAGTAGTCTCCACCATGTTAGTGTGAGGAGTCTATCTCATGTTAGTGTGAGGAGTCTCCCCCATGTTAGTGTGAGAAGTCTTCCCCATGTTAGTGTGAGGAGTCTCCCCCATGTTAGTATGGGAAGTCTCCCTCATGTTAGTGTGATAAGTCTCCCCCATGTTAGTGTGAGGAGTCTCCGCCATGTTAGTGTGAGAAGTCTCCCCCATGTTAGTGTGAGAAGTCTCTGCCATGTTAGTGTGAGAAGTCTCCCCCATGTTAGTGTGAGAAGTCTCCCCCATGTTAGTGTGAGAAGTCTCCCCCATGTTAGTGTGATAAGTCTCCGCCATGTTAGTGTGAGGAGTCTCTGCCATGTTAGTGTGAGAAGTCTCCGCCATGTTAGTGTGAGGAGTCTCCCCCATGTTAGTGTGAGAAGTATCCCCCATGTTACTGTGAGGAGTCTCCGCCATGTTAGTGTGAGGAGTCTCCCCCATGTTAGTGTGAGGAGTCTCCCCCATGTTAGTGTGAGGAGTCTCCCCCATGTTAGTGTGAGAAGTATCCCCCATGTTAGTGTGAGAAGTCTCCGCCATGTTAGTGTGAGGAGTCTCCCCCATGTTAGTGTGAGAAGTATCCCCCATGTTACTGTGAGGAGTCTCCGCCATGTTAGTGTGAGGAGTCTCTCCCATGTTAGTGTTAGGAGTCTCACCCATGTTAGTGTGAGAAGTCTTTCCCATGTTAGTGTGAGACATCTCCCCCATGTTAGTGTGGGAAGTCTCCCTCATGTTAGTGTGAGAAGTCTCCCCCATGATAGTGTGAGAAGTCTCCCCCATGTTAGTGTGAGGAGTCTCTCCCATGTTAGTGTGAGGAGTCTCCCCCATGTTAGTGTGATAAGTCTCCCCCATGTTTGTGTGAGAAGACTCCCCCATGTTAGTGTGAGCAGAGACACTTTATGCTGATGTCCATCTGTAAGCATTGGTTTCTGCACAGTAACTTCTGTTTTGCCATTCACTCTACTTAATCAACATCTAACTTAAAGGAAACCCTGTAACATCCTTGTCACTGAAGTAATTATAATTGTTTTAACTGACATGAAATTTCAGTCCATTGTGGTTTTATGACTGACCAAAATATTTCTGTACCCGGTGACACCACCCTAACCAGATATTTCAGTCCATTGTGATACCACCCTGACTCAATGTTTCAGTCCCCTGCAATGTCTTGTCTGACTGAATCTTTCAGTCCCCTGCGATACCACCCTGACTCTGTTTCAGTCCCCTGCGGTTCCACCCTGACTCTGTTTCAGTTCCCTGTGATACCACCCTGACTCTGTTTCAGTTCCCTGTGATACCACCCTGACTCTGTTTCAGTCCCCTGTGATACCACCCTGACTCTGTTTCAGTCCCCTGCGATACCACCCTGACTCAATGTTTCATTCCCTTGTGATACCACCCTGACTCAATGTTTCAGTTCCTTGTGATACAAGCCTGACTCAATGTTTCAGTCCCTTGTGATACCACCCTGACTCAATGTTTCAGTCCCTTGTGATACCACCGTGACTCAATGATTCAGTCCCCTGTGATACCAGCCTGACTCAATGTTTCAGTCCCTTGTGATACCACCCTGACTCAATGTTTCAGTCCCTTGTGATACCACTCTGACTTTGTTTCAGTCCCCTGCGATACCACCCTGACTCAATGTTTCAGTCCCCTGCGATACCACCCTGACTCAATGTTTCAGTCCCCTGCGATACCACCCTGACTCAATGTTTCAGTCCCCTGCGATACCACCCTGACTCTGTTTCCACCCTGACTCTGTTTCAGTTCACTGTGATACCACCCTGTCTCTGTTTCAGTCCCCTGCGATGCACCCTGACTCTGTTTCAGTCCCCTGCGATACCACCCTGACTCTGTTTCAGTGCCCTATGATACCACCCTGACTCAATGTTTCAGTCCCTTGTGATACCACCCTGACTCAATGTTTCATTCCCTTGTGATACCACCCTGACTCAATGTTTCAGTTCCTTGTGATACAAGTCTGACTCAATGTTTCAGTCCCTTGTGATACCACCCTGACTCAATGTTTCAGTCCCTTGTGATACCACCCTGACTCAATGTTTCAGTCCTTTGTGATACAAGCCTGACTCAATGTTTCAGTCCCTTGTGATACCACCCTGACTCAATGTTTCAGTCCCTTGTGATACCAACCTGACTCAATGTTTCAGTCCCCTGCAATACCACCCTGACTCAATGTTTCAGTCCCCTTCGATACCACCCTGACTCTGTTTCAGTTCCCTGTGATACCACCCTGACTCCGTGTTTCAGTCCCTTGTGATACCACCCTGACTCTGTTTCAGTTCCCTGTGATACCACCCTGTCTCTGTTTCAGTTCCCTGTGATACCACCCTGAGTCTGTTTCAGTTCCCTGTGATACAAGCCTGACTCAATGTTTCAGTCCCTTGTGATACCACCCTGAGTCTGTTTCAGTCCCCAGCGATGCCACCCTGACTCTGTTTCAGTCCCCTGCGATACCAGCCTGACTCAATGTTTCATTCCCTTGTGATACCACCCTGACTCAATGTTTCAGTTCCTTGTGATACAAGCCTGACTCAATGTTTCAGTCCCCTGTGATACCACCCTGACTCAATGTTTCAGTCCCTTGTGATACCACCCTGACTCAATGATTCAGTCCTCTGTGATACCAGACTGACTCAATGTTTCAGTCCCCTGCGGTTCCACCCTGACTCTGTTTCAGTTCCCTGTGATACCACCCTGACTCTGTTTCAGTTCCCTGTGATACCACCCTGACTCTGTTTCAGTCCCCTGCGATACCACCCTGACTCAATGTTTCATTCCCTTGTGATACCACCCTGACTCAATGTTTCAGTTCCTTGTGATACAAGCCTGACTCAATGTTTCAGTCCCTTGTGATACCACTCTGACTCAATGTTTCAGTCCCTTGTGATACCACCGTGACTCAATGATTCAGTCCCCTGTGATACCAGCCTGACTCAATGTTTCAGTCCCCTGTGATACCACCCTGACTCAATGTTTCAGTCCCTTGTGATACCACCCTGACTCTGTTTCAGTCCCCTGTGATACCACCCTGACTCAATGTTTCAGTCCCCTGCGATACCACCCTGACTCAATGTTTCAGTCCCCTGCGATACCACCCTGACTCTGTTTCAGTCCCCTGTGATACATTCCTGACTCAATGTTTCAGTCTCTTGTGATACCACCCTGACTGTTTCAGTCCCCTGTGATACCACCCTGACTCTGTTTCAGTCCCCTGTGATACCACCCTGACTCTGTTTCAGTCCCCTGTGATGTCCACCCTGACTCTGTTTCAGTTCCCTGTGATACCACCCTGACTCTGTTTCAGTCCCCTGTGATGTCCTGCCTGACTCAATGTTTCAGTCCCCTGCGATACCACCCTGACTCAATGTTTCATTCCCTTGTGATACCACCCTGACTCAATGTTTCAGTTCCTTGTGATACAAGCCTGACTCAATGTTTCAGTCCCTTGTGATACCACCCTGACTCAATGTTTCAGTCCCTTGTGATACCACCGTGACTCAATGATTCAGTCCCCTGTGATACCAGCCTGACTCAATGTTTCAGTCCCTTGTGATACCACCCTGACTCAATGTTTCAGTCCCTTGTGATACCACTCTGACTTTGTTTCAGTCCCCTGCGATACCACCCTGACTCAATGTTTCAGTCCCCTGCGATACCACCCTGACTCAATGTTTCAGTCCCCTGCGATACCACCCTGACTCAATGTTTCAGTCCCCTGCGATACCACCCTGACTCTGTTTCCACCCTGACTCTGTTTCAGTTCACTGTGATACCACCCTGTCTCTGTTTCAGTCCCCTGCGATGCACCCTGACTCTGTTTCAGTCCCCTGCGATACCACCCTGACTCTGTTTCAGTGCCCTATGATACCACCCTGACTCAATGTTTCAGTCCCTTGTGATACCACCCTGACTCAATGTTTCATTCCCTTGTGATACCACCCTGACTCAATGTTTCAGTTCCTTGTGATACAAGTCTGACTCAATGTTTCAGTCCCTTGTGATACCACCCTGACTCAATGTTTCAGTCCCTTGTGATACCACCCTGACTCAATGTTTCAGTCCTTTGTGATACAAGCCTGACTCAATGTTTCAGTCCCTTGTGATACCACCCTGACTCAATGTTTCAGTCCCTTGTGATACCAACCTGACTCAATGTTTCAGTCCCCTGCAATACCACCCTGACTCAATGTTTCAGTCCCCTTCGATACCACCCTGACTCTGTTTCAGTTCCCTGTGATACCACCCTGACTCCGTGTTTCAGTCGCTTGTGATACCACCCTGACTCTGTTTCAGTTCCCTGTGATACCACCCTGTCTCTGTTTCAGTTCCCTGTGATACCACCCTGAGTCTGTTTCAGTTCCCTGTGATACAAGCCTGACTCAATGTTTCAGTCCCTTGTGATACCACCCTGAGTCTGTTTCAGTCCCCAGCGATGCCACCCTGACTCTGTTTCAGTCCCCTGCGATACCACCCTGACTCAATGTTTCATTCCCTTGTGATACCACCCTGACTCAATGTTTCAGTTCCTTGTGATACAAGCCTGACTCAATGTTTCAGTCCCTTGTGATACCACCCTGACTCAATGTTTCAGTCCCTTGTGATACCACCCTGACTCAATGATTCAGTCCTCTGTGATACCAGCCTGACTCAATGTTTCAGTCCCCTGCGGTTCCACCCTGACTCTGTTTCAGTTCCCTGTGATACCACCCTGACTCTGTTTCAGTTCCCTGTGATACCACCCTGACTCTGTTTCAGTCCCCTGCGATACCACCCTGACTCAATGTTTCATTCCCTTGTGATACCACCCTGACTCAATGTTTCAGTTCCTTGTGATACAAGCCTGACTCAATGTTTCAGTCCCTTGTGATACCACCGTGACTCAATGTTTCAGTCCCTTGTGATACCACCGTGACTCAATGATTCAGTCCCCTGTGATACCAGCCTGACTCAATGTTTCAGTCCCTTGTGATACCACCCTGACTCTGTTTCAGTCCCCTGTGATACCACCCTGACTCAATGTTTCAGTCCCCTGCGATACCACCCTGACTCAATGTTTCAGTCCCCTGCGATACCACCCTGACTCTGTTTCAGTCCCCTGTGATACATTCCTGACTCAATGTTTCAGTCTCTTGTGATACCACCCTGACTGTTTCAGTCCCCTGTGATACCACCCTGACTCTGTTTCAGTCCCCTGTGATACCACCCTGACTCTGTTTCAGTCCCCTGTGATGTCCACCCTGACTCTGTTTCAGTCCCCTGTGATGTCCTGCCTGACTCAATGTTTCAGTCCCCTGCGATGTCCAGTCTGACTCAATGTTTCAGTCCCCTGCGATGTCCAGCCTGACTCAATGTTTCAGTTCACTGTGATGTCCTGTCTGACTCAATGTTTCAGTTCCCTGTGATGTCCTGTCTGACTCAATGTTTTTAGTTCCCTGTGATGTCATGTCTGACTCGATGTTTCAGTTCCCTGTGATGTCATGTCTGACTCAATGTTTCAGTCCCCTGCGATGTCCAGCCTGACTCAATGTTTCAGTTCACTGTGATGTCCTGTCTGACTCAATGTTTCAGTTCCCTGTGATGTCATGTCTGACTCAATGTTTTTAGTTCCCTGTGATGTCCAGCCTGACTCGATGTTTCAGTTCACTGTGATGTCCTGTCTGACTCAATGTTTCAGTTCCCTGTGATGTCATGTCTGACTCAATGTTTTTAGTTCCCTGTGATGTCCAGTCTGACTCAATGTTTCAGTCCCCTGTGATGTCCACCCTGACTCTGTTTCAGTTCCCTGTGATACCACCCTGACTCTGTTTCAGTCCCCTGTGATGTCCTGCCTGACTCAATGTTTCAGTCCCCTGCGATGTCCAGTCTGACTCAATGTTTCAGTCCCCTGCGATGTCCAGCCTGACTCAATGTTTCAGTTCCCTGTGATGTCATGTCTGACTCAATGTTTTTAGTTCCCTGTGATGTCATGTCTGACTCAATGTTTTTAGTTCCCTGTGATGTCCAGCCTGACTCGATGTTTTTAGTTCCCTGTGATGTCCAGCCTGACTCAATGTTTTTAGTTCCCTGTGATGTCCAGCCTGACTCGATGTTTTTAGTTCCCTGTGATGTCCAGCCTGACTCAATGTTTTTAGTTCCCTGTGATGTCCAGCCTGACTCGATGTTTTTAGTTCCCTGTGATGTCCAGCCTGACTCGATGTTTTTAGTTCCCTGTGATGTCCAATCTGACTCTGTTTCAGTCCCCTGTGATGTCCTGTCTGACTCGATGTTTCAGTTCCCTGTGATGTCCAGCCTGACTCGATGTTTTTAGTTCCCTGTGATGTCCAATCTGACTCTGTTTCAGTCCCCTGTGATGTCCTGTCTGACTCGATGTTTCAGTCCCCTGTGATGTCCTGTCTGACTCGATGTTTCAGTTCACTGTGATGTCCAGCCTGACTCGATGTTTCAGTTCCCTGTGATGTCCAGCCTGACTCGATGTTTTTAGTTCCCTGTGATGTCCAATCTGACTCTGTTTCAGTCCCCTGTGATGTCCTGTCTGACTCGATGTTTCAGTCCCCTGTGATGTCCTGTCTGACTCGATGTTTCAGTTCACTGTGATGTCCAGCCTGACTCGATGTTTCAGTTCCCTGTGATGTCCTGTCTGACTCGATGTTTCAGTTCACTGTGATGTCCAGCCTGACTCGATGTTTCAGTTCCCTGTGATGTCCTGTCTGACTCGATGTTTCAGTTCCCTGTGATGTCCAGCCTGACTCAATGTTTCAGTTCACTGTGATGTCCAATCTGACTCTGTTTCAGTTCCCTGTGATGTCCTGTCTGACTCGATGTTTCAGTTCCCTGTGATACCACCCTGACTCTGTTTCAGTTCCCTGTGATGTCCTGTCTGACTCGATGTTTCAGTTCCCTGTGATGTCCTGTCTGACTCGATGTTTCAGTTCACTGTGATGTCCAGCCTGACTCGATGTTTCAGTTCCCTGTGATGTCCTGTCTGACTCGATGTTTCAGTTCCCTGTGATGTCCAGCCTGACTCAATGTTTCAGTTCACTGTGATGTCCAATCTGACTCTGTTTCAGTTCCCTGTGATGTCCTGTCTGACTCGATGTTTCAGTTCCCTGTGATACCACCCTGACTCTGTTTCAGTTCCCTGTGATGTCCAGCCTGACTCGATGTTTCAGTTCCCTGTGATGTCCTGTCTGACTCGATGTTTCAGTTCCCTGTGATACCACCCTGACTCTGTTTCAGTTCCCTGTGATGTCCAGCCTGACTCGATGTTTCAGTTCCCTGTGATGTCCAGTCTGACTCGATGTTTCAGTTCCCTGTGATACCACCCTGACTCTGTTTCAGTTCCCTGTGATGTCTTACCTGACTGAATATTTTATTCCCTGTAATGAACATTATCTGACCATTTGTTTTTTCAATAACTTAAGAGTATTCAAAGATTCATATTCATTTTGTTATTTCAGCTGTTTAAGGAGTTGACAAATGGAGAAAACCAGTACCATGTGAAAAGAGGCGAGGTGACCATCACAGCGAGGGACCTTCTACTTATGCCATCAGTAAGTCACTGAATGGAACATGATAATCTATTCACTCAATACATCATCCAGAATAACACATAATCTGCATAATGAGAAATCAAATCTTTCATGATCAGTATTAAAGATTTTATTTATAGTCTTATCTACTTTCCTTTTCTATAATTCTTCAGCAAATTTTGTCCCAGGAGACAGAAGTGGCGTATTGTGCAGTACTTTGTGTTTTCTCCTTCAGGGTGGAGTCACATACGATGGACTGATACACAACATTACTGTGGGGATACTCTTTATTGACAGCTGGCTTAAAGGTAAACCAGCTACAGGATAAATAAACTGCTTTCTCTTTCTGTCAATGAATTGGCCTTGTTCATACTCGTTTTTGTGCTGTTAGGATATACTTGACCTGCAGCAATTTATAGTTGGTATATATTTCAGACTCACAAAGTGATTGAGGTTTTCTTCTAGCTAAACAAAATGCATTGGCATATGTAGATATATGCCCTTACAATTTTATGTGCAGATGAGGCAGAATATAGTGTAACTGATGTCTGTCATATTTTGTTTTGTTGCATCAATTATCACATATCCTCATCCCTGTATCAATTCAACTTCACTTCTCAAGGTATTTCAATCAAATTTTATTGAAAGGTCTACTTCAGTACCTTGGACAAGTTCTTATGAGAAGCATATGGTTGTCTCCTTGTCAATCTGCCCTTCCATCAGTCTTTCCATCCATCCTTCCGTGTCCGGAGCATAACTTTGTCAAAAGTTAAGCAAGGATCATGAAACTTGGTACATACATTGGTCATGTGTATCAAATTCAGGGTCCTCAACCCCTCAACACAGAATTATTGCCCCTAGTTACAATTTTGTGTCATGAGCATGGCTTTGCTTGCAGTAAAACTAGGAACGTTAAACTTTGTGTATACATTGGTCATGCTAAGAAAATGAGTATTATACCAAATTCAGGACCTGCAAAACCTAAATTACAGAATTATTGCCTTTTTGTAAAAATTTTTTGTCCAATAAAATAATTTTCAACAAGCATTCATCAGTTTCACTGATTCTTCTGTTTGTTTTTGGGTTACATAGTCAGGGGTTAGATAACAGTTACTATTTATAATGTTAAACATTGATCATGATTTGCAGGGAGTGGAACATCTATTGATTACACAGATCATACCTATTTATTTATATAAGTTTTATCATTATATTGATAAAGGTCAAGGTCACTTCAGTCTGAAAGGAGCAATAGAAGATTCAGCAACAGCAGAAATATCAAGGTCACAGGTACCCAACTTTTTCTGTATATTTTTGAAAAGATTAAAAAAAAATAGAAATAACAGTTACCAACACTCAAGATTGTATTGTAGCTGTACATAGTGTTAATACAAGATTGTATTGTAGCTGTACATAGTGTTAATACAAGATTGTATTGTAGCTGTACATAGTGTTAATACAAGATTGTATTTTAGCTGTACATAGTGTTAATACAAGATTGTATTTTAGCTGTACATAGTGTTAATACAAGATTGTATTTTAGCTGTACATAGTGTTAATACAAGATTGTATTGTAGCTGTACATAGTGTTAATACAAGATTGTATTTTAGCTGTGCATAGTGTTAATACAAGATTGTATTGTAGGTGTGCATAGTGTTAATACAAGATTGTATTGTAGCTGTACATAGTGTTAATACAAGGTTGTATTGTAGCTGTACATAGTGTTAATACAAGATTGTATTTTAGCTGTGCATAGTGTTAATACAAGATTGTATTGTAGCTGTACATAGTGTTAATACAAGGTTGTATTGTAGCTGTACATAGTGTTAATACAAGATTGTATTTTAGCTGTGCATAGTGTTAATACAAGATTGTATTGTAGCTGTACATAGTGTTAATACAAGATTGTATTGTAGGTGTGCATAGTGTTAATACAAGATTGTATTGTAGCTGTACATAGTGTTAATACAAGGTTGTATTGTAGCTGTACATAGTGTTAATACAAGATTGTATTTTAGCTGTGCATAGTGTTAATACAAGATTGTATTGTAGCTGTACATAGTGTTAATACAAGGTTGTATTGTAGCTGTACATAGTGTTAATACAAGATTGTATTGTAGCTGTGCATAGTGTTAATACAAGATTGTATTGTAGCTGTACATAGTGGTAATACAAGATTGTATTGTAGCTGTACATAGTGTTAATACAAGACTGTATTGTAGCTGTACATAGTGTTAATACAAGATTGTATTTTAGCTGTGCATAGTGTTAATACAAGATTGTATTGTAGCTGTACATAGTGTTAATACAAGATTGTATTGTACGTGTACATAGTGTTAATACAAGACTGTATTTTAGCTGTGCATAGTGTTAATACAAGATTGTATTGTAGCTGTGCATAGTGTTAATACAAGATTGTATTGTACAAGTACATAGTGTTAATACAAGACTGTATTTTAGCTGTGCATAGTGTTAATACAAGATTGTATTGTAGCTGTGCATAGTGTTAATACAAGATTGTATTGTAGCTGTGCATAGTGTTAATACAAGATTGTATTGTACGTGTACATAGTGTTAATACAAGACTGTATTTTAGCTGTGCATAGTGTTAATACAAGATTGTATTGTAGCTGTGCATAGTGTTAATACAAGATTGTATTATAGCTGTACATAGTGTTAATACAAGATTGTATTTTAGCTGTGCATAGTGTTAATACAAGATTGTATTGTAGCTGTACATAGTGTTAATACAAGATTGTATTGTAGCTGTGCATAGTGTTAATACAAGATTGTATTGTAGCTGTACATAGTGTTAATACAAGATTGTATTGTAGCTGTACATAGTGTTAATACAAGATTGTATTGTAGCTGTACATAGTGTTAATACAAGATTGTATTGTAGCTGTACATAGTGTTAATACAAGATTGTATTGTAGCTGTACATAGTGTTAATACAAGATTGTATTGTAGCTGTACATAGTGTTAATACAAGATTGTATTGTAGCTGTACATAGTGTTAATACAAGATTGTATTGTAGCTGTACATAGTGTTAATACAAGATTGTATTGTAGCTGTACATAGTGTTAATACAAGATTGTATTGTAGCTGTGCATAGTGTTAATACAAGATTGTATTGTAGCTGTACATAGTGTTAATACAAGACTGTATTATAGCTGTACACAGTGTTAATACAAGATTGTATTGTACGTGTACATAGTGTTAATACAAGATTGTATTGTATCTGTACATAGTGTTAATACAAGATTGTATTGTATCTGTGCATAGTGTTAATACAAGATTGTATTGTAGCTGTACATAGTGTTAATACAAGATTGTATTGTAGCTGTACATAGTGTTAATACAAGATTGTATTGTACGTGTACATAGTGTTAATACAAGATTGTATTGTAGCTGTGCATAGTGTTAATACAAGATTGTATTGTATCTGTGCATAGTGTTAATACAAGATTGTATTGTAGCTGTACATAGTGTTAATACAAGATTGTATTGTAGCTGTACATAGTGTTAATACAAGATTGTATTGTACGTGTACATAGTGTTAATACAAGATTGTATTGTAGCTGTACATAGTGTTAATACAAGATTGTATTGTACGTGTGCATAGTGTTGATACAAGATTGTATTGTAGCTGTACATAGTGTTAATACAAGATTGTATTGTACGTGTACATAGTGTTAATACAAGATTGTATTTTAGCTGTGCATAGTGTTAATACAAGATTGTATTGTAGCTGTACATAGTGTTAATACAAGATTGTATTGTAGCTGTACATAGTGTTAATACAAGATTGTATTGTAGCTGTACATAGTGTTAATACAAGGTTGTATTGTAGCTGTACATAGTGTTAATACAAGATTGTATTGTAGCTGTACATAGTGTTAATACAAGATTGTATTGTAGCTGTACATAGTGTTAATACAAGATTGTATTGTAGGTGTGCATAGTGTTGATACAAGATTATATTTTAGCTGTGCATAGTGTTAATACAAGATTGTATTTTAGCTGTGCATAGTGTTAATACAAGATTGTATTGTAGCTGTACATAGTGTTAATACAAGATTGTATCGTAGGTGTGCATAGTGTTGATACAAGATTATATTTTAGCTGTGCATAGTGTTAATACAAGATTGTATTTTAGCTGTGCATAGTGTTAATACAAGATTGTATTGTAGCTGTACATAGTGTTAATACAAGATTGTATTGTAGGTGTGCATAGTGTTGATACAAGATTGTATTGTAGCTGTACATAGTGTTAATACAAGATTGTATTGTACGTGTACATAGTGTTAATACAAGATTGTATTGTACGTGTACATAGTGTTAATACAAGATTGTATTGTACGTGTACATAGTGTAAATACAAGACTGTATTGTAGCTGTACACAGTGTTAATACAAGATTGTATTGTAGCTGTATATAGTGTTAATACAAGACTGTATTGTAGCTGTACACAGTGTTAATACAAGATTGTATTGTAGTTGTACATAGTGTTAATACAAGATTGTATTGTAGCTGTACATAGTGTTAATACAAGACTGTATTATAGCTGTACACAGTGTTAATACAAGACTGTATTGTAGCTGTACGTAGTGTTAATACAAGACTGTATTGTAGCTGTACACAGTGTTAATACAAGATTGTATTGTAGCTGTACATAGTGTTAATACAAGATTGTATTGTAGCTGTGCATAGTGTTGATACAAGATTGTATTGTAGTTGTACATAGTGTTAATACAAGATTGTATTGTACGTGTACATAGTGTTAATACAAGATTGTATTGTACGTGTACATAGTGTTAATACAAGATTGTATTGTACGTGTACATAGTGTAGATACAAGACTGTATTGTAGCTGTACACAGTGTTAATACAAGACTGTATTGTAGCTGTACATAGTGTTAATACAAGACTGTATTGTAGCTGTACACAGTGTTAATACAAGACTGTATTGTAGCTGTACATAGTGTTAATACAAGATTGTATTGTAGCTGTACATAGTGTTAATACAAGACTGTATTGTAGCTGTACACAGTGTTAATACAAGACTGTATTGTAGCTGTACACAGTGTTAATACAAGACTGTATTGTAGCTGTACACAGTGTTAATACAAGATTGTATTGTAGCTGTACATAGTGTTAATACAAGATTGTATTGTAGCTGTACATAGTGTTAATACAAGATTGTATTGTAGCTGTACATAGTGTTAATACAAGATTGTATTGTAGCTGTACATAGTGTTAATACAAGATTGTATTGTAGGTGTGCATAGTGTTGATACAAGATTATATTTTAGCTGTGCATAGTGTTAATACAAGATTGTATTGTAGCTGTGCATAGTGTTAATACAAGATTGTATTGTAGCTGTGCATAGTGTTGATACAAGATTATATTTTAGCTGTGCATAGTGTTAATACAAGATTGTATTTTAGCTGTGCATAGTGTTAATACAAGATTGTATTGTAGCTGTACATAGTGTTAATACAAGATTGTATCGTAGGTGTGCATAGTGTTGATACAAGATTATATTTTAGCTGTACATAGTGTTAATACAAGATTGTATTGTATCTGTACATAGTGTTAATATAAGATTGTATTATATCTGTACATAGTGTTAATACAAGATTGTATTGTAGCTGTACATAGTGTTAATACAAAATTGTATTGTATCTGTGCATAGTGTTAATACAAGATTGTATTGTAGCTGTACATCGTGTTAATACAAGATTGTATTGTAGCTGTGCACAGTGTTAATAGAAGACTGTATTGTATCTGTGCATAGTGGTAATACAAGATTGTATTTTAGCTGTACATAGTGTTAATACAAGATTGTATTGTATCTGTGCATAGTGGTAATACAAGATTGTATTGTAGCTGTACATAGTGTTAATACAAGACTGTATTGTAGCTGTACATAGTGTTAATACAAGATTGTATTGTATCTGTGCATAGTGGTAATACAAGATTGTATTTTAGCTGTACATAGTGTTAATACAAGATTGTATTGTAGCTGTACATAGTGTTAATACAAGATTGTATTGTAGCTGTACATAGTGTTAATACAAGACTGTATTGTAGCTGCACACAGTGTTAATACAAGACTGTATTGTAGCTGTACACAACATTGGAGATTTTAAGTAAACATACCTACAGCACTAGATTTGCATGCATGTGTTTTCCTAATTTAATTAGTATGGATCATACATGACAAAATTTGGTTGAAATGAAATAAGATTGACTGCATTTTGTTTTGGAAACCAATGGACCAATCATCATTGAGGAATTGTTGACTATTCCTAATGAGGTTTACTTTATAATGGAGATACATACTTACCTCTATAACAGTTGTTGTTACTATATATAATAATTATACCTACAAAATTCAATTTCATTTGAACCATTTGTGGGCAGTAATATTAAGCAATCAGCTTTCAGCAGCTACATGAATTCAGAACGAAATCAGTTGTTTATTCTATTGGGAAGTTTTGGTTGTCACACTGATATTGTGTTACCATTGTTGTAATTATCTGGCAATAAGCCTGATATTGAGTGAGAAGTTCGGTCCCCTGCCCACTCATACTTAAGTAACACTAGGTGTGTTGTGATTGGCTAACACTGGTTGTTACATCATTGCATCACACTACCATTGATGCAGTGTAAGGGATGGGCATATTACAAGACCCCAGCCAACACACTACCTTTGATTCAATGTAAGGGATGGGCTCATTACAAGAACCCAGCCAACATACTACTTTTGATTCAATGTAAAGGATTGGCTTATTACAAGACCCAAGCTAACACACTACCTTTGATTCAATGTAAAGGATGGACTTATTACAAGACCTCAGCCAACACACTACCTTTGATTCAATGTAAAGAATTGGCTTATTACAAGATCCCAGCCAACACATTACCTTTGATTCAATGTTAGGGATGGGCTTATTACAAGACCCCAGCCAACACACTACGTTTGATCCAATGTAAAGGATGGGCTTATTACAAGACCCCAACCAACATACTACCTTTGATTCAATGTATGACGAAATGAAGGGGTTATTTCAGGACTGTAGGAGACCAACAAGCTACTATCTTTGATTTAATGTAAGGAATGGGCTTATTTCAGGACCCCAAAGGACACATACATTTCCTTTCATTCAAAGTTAGAGAGTCATTTCATTGCAGGACCCCAGGGGGCAGACACTCTACTTTTAATTCAAAGTTAGGGATTTACTTATCTCAAGATATGAATGAGATTTAATTCATTAACTTTGAGATTATGGTAAAAACAGTTCAGCCATCAATTGAAAGTTTTACCGGATTTGTATATTTGGAGTGACTTGTATATTTTTCACTTCAAAACGTTTTGTCTGTTCATAGGTTTGGCAGTGTATTCGTCATCAGGCAACTTTGGAGGAGGACAGTAAAGTCATAACCTTCGCATTAGTACAGTCTGTAGCCTATGGGGTGGTACAAAATCAGTTGTCAGAAATTCGTGCCAGAGGCAAGGTTTCCAATGATGACTGCACCAGACTGAAGACAGCAGCACAAATGTTCCTGGAAATTGTCACCAAGAAGGAATTCCCAGAATTCATCACCACCTATCTGAGTTTGAATCACACTTGGCTCAGATTCCATCAAACAAATTAAATAAACTTTATTAATTGGAAGTTGTTTTAGGTAAACATTTTCTGTTTGATCACAAATCAGTGATATTGATGTTTGTTACACCATTATCAAAGACTTGTTTTATTGTTTTACTTAGAAATTTTATTCATGACATAAAATATTTCCTGTTTGATCACAAGTCAGCGAGATCTATGTTACCATTGTCAATGAGGACTTGGACTAGGTCAGACAAAAACATCTTTATTTCATTTTAATCAGATTTTTTATGGTTACTTAGATGTCTTATACTTTTTACTATATACATGTAGATATATTTTTGATACTCTTTATGTTTCAATTAACTATTTTAGTAACTTGTCGCCCATCTTTAAGGATGGTTGGTGGAGCCAAGTCTTAATGTAATTTGTTGTTGACTTGTGTTATCAAATTGTTAATGATATCAAATGACCCCTAGAGAAATTTAATTTATATTTACACTATAGCAACATATAGCAACGTATGAGATACATCTCATGAACCTCGTCATAAAATGACCTCTTGATAGATTTAGATGGGAAGGAAAAGATCAGGGGTAGGTCTATATTACTATACCTATAGCCATCATGTTTTGTCTGTCATCGTGCGCTGAGTAATGTGTGTTACCAAGTTTGTTCATATGAATAACCTTGACCTACTTTCAAGGTCATAGGGATCAAGTATGTTAAAATCTTTAAACAACTTCTTCTCAATAACCAAAGGTCCAAGGTGGTGGTATTGGCAAGTAGTATGATGGGATGAAGGGCTACCAAGTTTGTTCATATGAATGACTTTCAAGGTCACAGCTATTAAATATGTTAAAATTTTTAAACAACTTCTCATTACCCAATAGGCCCAGAGTGCTGATATGAGGCCTGTAGCATGCTAGGATGTAGGGCTACAATTATTGTTAATATAAATGACCTTGACTTACTTCAAATGTCACAAGGATCAAATATTTTCTCAGTAACGGAAAGGCCCAGGATGATGATATTAGGCTGTAGTAAGCTAGGTGAAAGGGCTACTAACTCTGAACATATGAATGACCTTGACCTACTTTTAAGGTCACAGGGGTCAAATAAATCAAAATCTGTAAACGACATCTTCTCAATAACCAAAAGGTCCATGGTACTGATATTGGGCCTTTTAGCATGGTGGGATGAAGGGCTTCCAAGTTTGTTAAAATGAATGACCTTGAGCCAGGGAAAATGTCCAAGGTACTTGATATTGAACCTGTAGCATGCTTTTTCAACAAGCAATATGTCAGGAGTAAAGGCATTTGTGTAGTGCATGTATAAAAGATATGATTTCAAGTTTGCAGAAAATGTCTTAATGAGCCAAGCAATGTCTTCTATGTAAGCATTAGTGGTAGTTGAGCCTACACAGAACCTTCCATTTACGAGTTTTTATACTTTCAAGGAATGTTCAAAATTTGAATTCATCAGTTTTTTCAGACCACCATCAGCGAATTCTTTGGTTTATCCATCCATTTGTCAATTGTCAGATGACTGTTAAGGGCCATGGCCCTCGGTATTTTTTTGTTTTTTATTCTCTTTTGCTCCTTAACGTGGCAAAATATTTTGTATACGTGTAACTATAGTTTCGGATTTCTTATAAACTATGCATGTCCTTAAATTGACACTATCATGTTTCTTTTTTTTTTTTTTTAAATTGTACAGAATCTTTTCATTGGATTTATGTTTTTTTCGATTCTACTTCAATTAAAAAAACATTTGTTGACAAAAATGTCACCCTTGATACACTTTATGCTAATAGTTTTTACGATCTTCCTGAGAAGATACAATATAATTCCTTTAAGAAATCCATTGAATGAAGAGTTTTTATCACCTTTATCTGGATTGATTTTTATGCTGATAGTCTTACTGTGTACCTAGACATGGATGCTAACTTGCCCAATTTTTACCATACCAGATAAAGTTCTTGGTAAGTTTGGTATTTTAGACTATCATGCCACCAATAAATCATTCAAATCTGGATTGCTGCATTTCAAATTGTCCTTTCAAAGTCACCTACTCTATTGACTGGGAAGGGATTTCAGATTTGTTGGCTTCATTTATCTTCCAATCCTCTTTTAATCTTCATATTGAATTGAAGAAGGGTTGATAACTAAAGCTAAATCCAAGAGAACAATCAAGACCATCCAACATTTTGTTAGGACTGAAAAAAGTACAAGTCAATAAGTCTCGTGTATTGCTGAATCTTCTCATCATCAGGATCAAATATGTGTGTAGAGAGAAAAGTAAACTCAATCCTGAGCTAACAAAAATTTATAACGAAGTCTCATTAACAGCGAACTGTAGGTGAAAATCATAATCCGAAATGAGTTGCAATGGTCATACATTGATGCAAGTATATTCCAAGATGGTGATGACAACATAAATAACTTGAGAAATAAAGCTCAACACGAGTTAAAAGGAAAACTTTCACAGAGGGGTGGTTATAGATATACCAATATTCCATATTATTATGTACTTAGATCAATTAAACTTGTGAGGAGCTAAACACAAAACTTGATTATGGCACAATTAACAAATTCTGATTGTTAACTACAGGTCTCTATATATTATTTAAAACATGTACCAAGGTGTTCTTGTATATATATATACTATAACCGTTAATCAGGTTTTGTGATGATAGCACATGTAATTTAAAATCTTTTGTTTTATACTGTTGCAACTGCCACAAAAGTAGCACTTACATCTCACTTTGCAAGTCTACCCCGCAAGAGACAAAAATTACAAAATTTTGCCAGAGAAAAATATATTCCATGCTTCTACAGAGTCAACCAGTCTCAACACAGAATATATAATAATGGTATAAATTAGAATATAACAATACATATATCATAATGCTATTCTGATATAAGGTGATTTGAAATAATAATGGTGGACTTTGAATAGCACCGAAGAAATCTACACAAAAATATCTGACGGCCTAACTGGATCTCTCGGGATGATATGATCAGCCTTTTGAGGTTGTATTGTGCAAGTGGTCAAATTGGTTGGATCAGCTTAACCTGCGAGAGAATCCCAGATAGAGAATGGAACCGACGCTTGATATTTGGCATGTGAAATTTCAGAGAGCCAGCATTACCTGTCCGAGACTGAAATGCTAAATAGAAGTTTTTAGCATTTCTGCATCTTTTCAGATCTATTTTGCTATTTAGAAGGGGTCAAAATAGAACAAATTTTATAATTGGTTTTTTAATGTTTTTAGCATGCTATAGGAAATTACAAAACACTAACTGTTGAGCTTCACATGTACTGCAACATTTTTAATATCCGTTACAGATGTATTTGTTTATCGTAGAATAATTATGTGTTGCTTGAATTTTTCAAGCAGGCCATATGAACGGACTTGGACATGGTATGTGTGATTTATATTTATAACTTCAAGGGAATAGCTGCCAGGATTTGATAGGATGTCTTTGAAGGCTTTTTTTGTCCCAAGTCCATAGCAAATGTAGCCAATAACATATTTAACTCCTAGTAAACTGTCTTATCTCAAATACGACAGAAGTTTTCTATATCAAATATGAATGAAGTAAGAACAGTGAAGAACAATGGAACAAATATGTAGGTTTGTAGATAGAAAGTGTGTTTATTTCATGTAACTATCCCAGGACAAATTCATTTGTATTATCTCTCTTGCATACTCATACATCACCATAGCAACCATACCACTGTCTCTGGCATCCATGGCAACTACATTGCAAACTGTAGTTATCATAGCAAAATTTCCACACAAAGACAATAAAATAATCGATATCAACAGTGATCTTACAATCTCCTTGGTTCAAGTATCACTATGGTAACAGCACAGCTATCATCAACATGTCGCACTGAAAACAGTATATACCAGAAGAATAAAATAGTAACTTTAAAGTTCTACTGCGAAATCACTTGGGTTCCTTTGTATGATCATATATACTAGTTTTGTTAGCTACCACACGCCAAGTCCTGTAGACCAAGGGGCAGTTCGTTAATGCAAACTGGCCTGTCGGCACATTAAATGTAACATTTCAGACATAAATTAGGATGGACCTGCAAATATTAATATAAGCTTTGAGAGGCCTAGTTGAAGCTCATTGGAAAGCCAAATTAGATCAGTCGGTCCGCCGTTATAAAGGAACAACCCTCGTCCAACTGATCAAACCAATAAAGGAAAATGGCCCTGTAGTGGATTTGCAGAATGCTAACCAGTCTATTTACGCGACATCAAAATCAAAGATGGTAGAATTTTAAACCAAAGCTGCAGGAGATGTTTACAGCACATATTCTGTAAAGTCATGTCTGCTGATAGCGACACCTTGTGTGTTTAATTAACATCAGTCTTGCAGCTTTTGTGTTGCATGTATCAACACCAGTTCTAAATGTCAGACACTCCCCTAAGTTCTAAGTAACCGTTTGTGTATATATGTATATAATGTGGCCTAGTAATTCTTGTTTAACACTGTGATTTCTGACAGCTCTATATTTTTCACTATTTTTAAGGATAGAATAAAATCATGACATAGAGACACCTGGAGAATAAATCTCATAAAAGAAAATGACAGTATATTTAATGACTTCTGGAAAACGTGCATCCTTAAGTTGCTTCAACCTTTTTGTAAAACTGCCATAAATAGACCACTGAAAAAACCACCATCACATTACTGCAAGGAAAAATGGTGTAATTATCATGTCACTATTTCATAAATCTGATATAACTGGTCCAACTGTTTGGAATGAGATACAATTTGAAAGTTGCTGTACAATGTACCCTTGTGTTACAAATTCTACAACAGATTTGGGCTAAGAAGATAATGAAACACTTGGAGATATTTAATCAAGTTATTCTGCCAACATTTTGATGACGACTGACAAGTGACTTCTACATTAAGCTGTTTCAACAAATGTTCAATGCTTACAGTACCCATATTAAATTTTCATTCTATGATAAAATTGGACACGCCACAATTATCCTTATTCAGAGTCTCAGAGAAAATAATGGGCCACATCACTTAAACATTTCACAAATATTCATAATAAGAGTTCTTCTGGGAGCAATGTAAACGACAGTGGTGAAAATATGGCAGCTCTTGTGAAAATCATGCTCACAGATGGATCTATAAAAAATTAAATGATGTGATCACAATTATATTGTAAAACTTTTGCCAACATGTTTCTGATTCTGATGGTATCAAGAATTCCTCTTGGCCTCCGAGGCTGAGCCAAGAATTCCCCCTGGCCTCTGAGGCTGAGCCAAGAATTCCTCTTGGCCTCCGAGGCCGAGCCAAGAATTCCCCCTGGCCTCTGAGGCTGAGCCAAGAATTCCTCTTGGCCTCCGAGGCCGAGCCAAGAATTCCCCCTGGCCTCTGAGGCTGAGCCAAGAATTCTCCTTAGCCTCAGAGGCCGAGCCAAGGATTCCTCTTAGCCTCCAAGGCCCAGCCAATCATATTGCAGATGAATTTTCATGTTAACATATGAGATGTGACAAAAACAAATGGTTAAATAAGTCACTGCAATTTTCATCTGGGACTGACCATGAGTTGTCCATAGGCTCTTAATTATCAGGGTTGATTGAAAAAACTGATACACTAACATTAGTTGATAGGCTGCTTACTACCAGCAACAACACATGTCAGGTCTTGTTGGGAACCTTTATCAGTTGCAAATATTTAAGAAGATATCAAATTGAATGTAATAGGAGTCTTCATAACTTCACTAACAGTTGTAAAATATCTTGTTGATTTCTGGCTAGAGCAACTTACAATAAAGTGTTAGAGTTTCTTGTAATATTGAAAAATCCTTGAGATTTCATGAATACTTAATTTTGCAAACTTACCTCTTCAGACACGAATGATGAGCTATTACCTGAACTCTACAAGGCTCTGAATTTGGTAACTAAATCAACATGAATGCCATTTTTTTGCACAAATATCACAAAGGATTCCAATTCACAATTGACTCACCTTGCAAAAAATAATTCCAAGACATAATATAAGTGATTTACAATAGCTTACGGTTTTGAAAGAAAAGTTTCCCAATAGATTTCAAAGTTACAATTACTCCTATTACATTGAAGGCAGCTAACTCTTGTTGTATTTCCAGAAGGGTAGTTTTGTGGTGTCTACATGTTATTTCTGAAAAATTCCCTTTCACAAGACAAATGATTACAGACCTGAAGTGCTCTTGGTTAGCTTTTGTCTGCAAACACAGACAGTCTTTATTGCAACAGAAAATAAATTAATCCTGTTTCACGTCCTTATAAAGACAAAAGATTTACTGGTTGGTCACTTCATCCAAATAAAAGAAGAAAAAAAGAAAAACTTTTGCAAGAAAGCTGTTTGCTGCGGTGTGTTTCCCATTGTAACCAATGCATTAACCACATTTAGCATGCAAGAGCGGTATGTGTTAAAAAATAGCATTTTCAGAAAAAAGTCTGAAAGCTATCACACACTTCACTTTAATATATTTGTAAGATAAATGATTCCAAAGCAATGACATGGAGATTTGGCTATATAAGTGACCACAGTGCAATGTCAGTAATTTGTTGATGGCTATATATATAAAACAATGGTCGTACCATCAGCATCACAGCCCTACACATGTGAGAATCATTCACGTAGCACTAATGAAGTGGTAGTATCAACACTTTCAACTCGGACCACACTTTTGTTCATCATCACACTCAATAATAAAAATCATTCTCTCAACATGGGACACACAGCATAGTGAACGACGCCAATATGAGACAAACGCTGGACATTCTTGGTGATAATTGTCTTCATTACCACTTCAGTATAAATATCTGTTCGTTAAAAAAAAGACTGTAAAGTCCAGTTACTATGACACCTGTAAATGTAGCAAAGGAACACATGGATAATACTTATTTCTATAAAATAACTTAAAAAAAAAACTAGATTTGTCTACTCTTGAGAAATAACAATGTGCCACATATGGCAAGGAATTCCTGTAGCAAGCTTACACTGGTACATTTCTGATTGGTTAATTTCAGGCAAACAGGTGCACTCTGATTGGTTCATTCATGGTTTACAAGCAAGCACTGGTTCAGGCCACCACTCCCCATGTTAGCATTGAGTAGAGTGAGCATGGTCCCCAGCAAATGACAGAGCACAGCATCTTCCCTCATTGCACTTGAGCAAATAATTAAGCAGGAAGTTGTACAGGTTGGGGGAAAAAGGATTTCACAAAAATCACTCTGTTGAAAGTGGTGAACTTTCTTTTCTGTTACTGATGGCTTGTCCTGCATATGTTCGGTTAGCCTTTAGACGTCGTGTTTGGCGCAACTTCCATCCACCTGCATGTTTGTCGCTCATTTACTCAAACACACCAACATCTACACACAAGCTGCTACAGTGTTCCCTACAGAAATGTGCACAATGATAACAAGGAATCTAGTGGCATATCTGTGGACACTGTGACACTGTCCTTTTGGTTGTCGACACAACTCCTGTCAATAAGGTGCCGCACTGAAAACTAGTTTGTGCCAGCAGTGGTCCATTACCTCTTGTATGTGGGGCCACATCCAAGGTTTGATCACAATAATTGGCATGGTGTCCATCATACCCCCAACTCTATTGAAATGTCTGAAGAGTAATTACCTGCTATGATTTGGGAGTTATTTGTTATAAGAAAGCTGTCCTAACTCAGCACAAAATGAGGTGGATTATTCCCCTTGACCAGACTTCTCTAGGAGGCAGCTCCATTTGCAACAATCTGGTCTGGTTGACTGCTGGCGGGAATAATAAAGGAAGGAGAGAGTGGGAAAAGGCTGTGGCATCGGGCCTGATAGTCTTGGGCTACGCTCTCACACTGACCAAAATCTCCGCGGCACATTGCTTCCAAGACCTCTATACAGTTCTGGAGATAAAAACAAAAAAGCAAATAAAAACACAATTTAAGACCCTTTCACCCAAGGATGTTTCAGACCAACTTTAGGACAGAAGTCTGGCATTCCTACAGAAGGATTTTGAAGAATTTGGCATATTTCCCTACTGGTCCCCTGCCCTTTTGGACCTAGGGGGCCCGGCGACCAACCATTTATACAAATTTAAATCCCTTTTACCAAAGGATTTTTGTGACCAAATTTGGACAAAATTTAATTCCTATGGTAGGGGATGGATTTAAAGAATTTTCTTAATTTTTCCTTTTGTGCCCCTGGGGACTGACACCCATCATTTATTCAAACATGATTTGGATGCCTCTGACCAAATTTGGTTAAAATGCACTCAAGTAGTGATTTCTTGGAAAGAGTTTACGGATGCCAGACACCGCGCAAGGTGAGCTAATAACGCTGATATCATTCGCAAAGTTTACATTGCTTCTTGAGATAAAACCTTAGATGGTTTATGCAGATATATATACAATGAGGGTCAAAAATGTTTTAACCTGCACACCGAGAGCTGAAAAGGGTTTCAGCTCCATAATGAAGGAAAACAGGGGTTTCAGCTCCATAATGAAGGAAAACAGGGGTTTCACCTCCATAATGAAGGAAAACAGGGGTTTCAGCTCCATAATGAAGTAAAACAAGGGTTTCAGCACTAAGGACAGGGTGTTTTATTACACATTGAATGTAGGCATGTCACTTCCTTATCATGATCTTAGACAAAAAAGAAAACACTTGAGAAGGTTGTATTTCTGTTAATCATTCACACAAGGATGGACTCACCTTTATACATATTCCATCTAAATCCTCTGAAAGACTTGTGGCCATTTCTAATGCTTTTTTCTGGGTTTCTTCTGAGGAATCTAATTCATACATCATCCTAGCACCTGTTGAAAGGAATGTCATATGATGCAGTTCATGAGCCACTGTATACCACAGTAACACTCAAACAACATTAAGTCAAACCCTCTAATATCATCATTAAAATTTCCAACAATACCCAGCTAAGAAAAGTTCTTTGAAAGGAGAAAATTTCATTTTTTATCAAAATACATAAAATGGTAAAAAATAATGTAATTCAATGATTATGGGGTATAACAATAGCCAGAATACCAAGTTTGATTACGTTATTTAACTCATAATATCGTAACTTCCAGCCAGGTCTCATACTGATGGGTTTTCTCTACACTGCAAACACATTAAAAAAACCCTATGAGAAAGACATTTTACCAAAACAGCCTATAGAGAGACTACAGGTTCATGTTGAAGATTTATATGTTTCTATTAATAAGATCACATTCAATGTTACACCCTTTTTAAACAAGTTATTGCCCACTGAAACATCAACATTGTGAGACTGGCCTGACCAAAGTAAGGACAGACAACTCTTTTATCATTGTAGTAGCATGAGGTTTTTACCTGCTAATCTGTGTAGTAGTGATTTACTGTTCCTCAAGATATAATCTGTATTGAGTGTTTTGACATCTTTCCCTTGATGAAGTGGTAATGTTTCCATTTCTAACACTTGTTTCACAGCATCTGGCATTACTCCCTTCTTATTCACTGAAACCCAAGAAAAAACTGTTGAATGACTTAATATTTTCAAACTTTTGCTATCAACGTTGAAGAAAGAGCAAGATCCTCAATGTAATGAATTAGCCAGTCACATGATTAACCACCTAGACAAAAAAATAAAAGGATTTAAATATAGAGGTATAGGAAATTCACTTCTTTTCATGTTAAAGACTTTAATAAGACTATGGCGTTAGCATGCAAAAGCTTTAAGACAATGCAAGATTTTCCTCTTTGCAGAACATTCTTGTCCCTTCAATATTATTTTGTTTCAAGATATGTTACACAAATTATCAGGTGTCAAGACATTTAATCAAGCTTGACTTCAATTTGGTTTTAAGTCTGGTACTTTTACAAAATTCATTGAACTACTAGAATGAGTCAAAAAATTACATCCTTCAAAGATTAAAATATTATACACAAGTACAGGGCTAGACTGGTGTTTCTCTAAACGAAATTGTCTGATGAACGCAACAAGAAATGTCCACTGTACAATGCTTAAAACAGGCTGTACTCTGGAAGAGGTATTACAATCAACACAGGACTTACCTTTCTGTAAAAACCTCAGTAAACAAATATGTAACTGAGGATCATCAGAGTCGATACGACATCCCCGTTTTAGTGATTGTAACATTAACAGATGTTTACCTGCAAACGAATTGAAATTACAGTAAGTTTATAGTTTCAAATTAAACACTGACTCTGCCTCCCTTCATATCTAATCATTTACATACCTTGATTCATTACTTTAATTATTTTGCAGACAGTTACCTCCCTTACTAGTTAAATTTAATATATAAAGTTAACTGCTTTCAATGGTATAATGATCGTAAATGACTACCAGTATTACCTGACTTGTTTGATTTGCTAGAAAATATAAAAACAACTCTTGACAACATTTTCTGGACTTACCCTTTCTACTATAAATTTCATAAGCAAATATATGGGTTTGTATTTTGTCCTTCGCTAACAATTGTAGAGGCCTAAGGAAGCGGATGGCCTGTTCTAATGGTTCTTCCGTCTAAAATACAAACAAAACAGGTTTAAACAGATGGGTGAATTTGTCTTCCAGAAAATATGCAAAGATATACTTCCACAAAATGATGGGAAAACACTTCATCTATCTAGTTGAAAATTACACCAAGATTTTCATTTTGTATTTTTGAATCAATTGTGATTTTTTTCTCTCTAAATCAATATTGTTGGTTCAAGATATCCATTTTTACTGTCAGGATATATCAATGTCTTTTTGTGTTAAACACACATTCTCAAACTTCTACCTACTCACCCTGGCTAGTTTGTCTGGAATCAATTCCTCCTCCTTCGGCCCATCCATTTCACCATCCTGCTGTTTTTTGCTCTGTTGCTCCTTTTTGTCCTGTTCTGCTTTCTGTTTTTCTTGGGCTTGTTGGGCCTTTTTGGCAGCTTTTCGCTGCTTATTTCTTAATTTTTTCAATTCACTTGGTGTAAGATTTTCTGTTTCAAATGTGAATAATATGAATAAATGATACAAAATGACAGTCAAGCTATAGACAAATGCAATGTGGGAATATTTCAAAACACAGTTTGAACAGCATTTGCCATAAAAATCTGTTTCATGTTTCATAAAATAAGAGAAATATATCAAATATGAAAAATATTGCGTGATATCATTCCAGGTAGTACATTATCACTTTTTATAGAATATCGAACTGACACAGTGTGCCATGGTATACATTGTGCCAAAATTCTCCAGTTTACCTGTATCTAAAGATTTGTCTGTTTCATTCTCAGCCAGTGGATGGTCGGCCAAATGAAGATATATCTGCAACAGTAATCAGGAGAGCTTACCCACTTGACAGTGAATTGGAAAAGTATATATTGTTTATTTGCTCAAGTTGTAAACTTCAATAATATATTGATTCACCTATTTCCTTTTACTTTGTGACGAGTTCATTACCGACATGACCAGTAATCCAAATAGTTAACATATTCTACAATACAAGTTTCCTTTGTATATTCATTCTTCTGAGCCATCAGTTCTTAATGTAATGGAAATTACAACCCAGATTTCCCCCACCCCCCTCAAACTATACCCAAACCTCACAGCATTGATGGTTTTAATGGAACTGCCAAAAATTTTGTTGGAATACAGTATATTATCTTCAAATTACATTTCATTACAAATACAGTCACATGAGCAGATTTTTCATCATAGAATAACAGGGTTTTGATTTGATATCAGTAAATGAATACACAAGAAGACTAGAAAATGTCTACAATAAAGATAGGAATGTTCAACCAATCCTGATCTGACCACTTAGAAGTAATACAAACGAATTCTCTGGAGATTCTCAAGATCATAACATTTATTCTGAAAGGGATGCAACATGACGGTCCAGGACAGACAGCATGGGTAACAATGTATCCCTCCCCCTCTTAAATGGCTGGGGAACAAAAATTACTTTTAACAAGATTAAGAAGCATATCATTACAGGCCACTAACCTCTATTGCTATTTTTGCCGCCTTGAAGTAGAACGGATGATTTCGAAGTACATCCTCAAGGCGTAACAGTCCTATGTAAGCTCGTAATGTCATCTTTCTCATACAATATGTGTGGAAGTCAAACTGGTCCTCAATTATCTCGGTGAAATGCTGCGAATCAGAAGTAAACTTACGTCAAAAAACTAATTGTAATATAAACAACTCGCATTATAACAAAAACATGTTTAAAGTTGTAACATAAATCTTGTTTCATGAATAAATTAACTACAGATTTGATCAGTTCAATTCATCTGGAAAGCAAATATACATAGCAATATAGTTTGTCCAGGCTTATACAGATCAACTTCACTTCTTTACCAAAAAGTAATTTCTATAACATCTCTTAAATTCATCTTCATGCAACCCAGCATATTAGTTTAGATGATTTCAATCATAATATCATATATTTGTTTTCATAATTTCTCTTCAGCGTATAAAATAACACAAGATTATGCCAGTTAGCCAATCCTAACCATTTTTTCTTTGAAGTTGTTTATATCAGGGGAAACTTCACAGTATTCAGACTTACCCTATCTACCTCATGGCATTTCTTCAAAATATTCAGACTTACCCTATCTACCTCATGGCATTTCTTCAAAATATTCAGACTTACCCTATCTACTTCATGGCATTTCTTCAAAATATTCAGACTTTCCCTATCTACTTCATGGCATTTCTTCAAAATATTCAGACTTTCCCTATCTACTTCATGGCATTTCTTCAAAATATTCAGACTCATCCTATCTACTTCATGGCATAACTTCAGAATATTCAGACTCACCCTATCTACTTCATGGCATTTCTTCAGAGACTCCCCCCATTTGCCTGTGCGCTGGTGTGTGGCCGCACATTCTGTCTGAAACCACATACACTGCATCTCGTTCAAATTGTCCATGGCTGATACACCCTCCTGTAATACAAAGTATGAGAAAGTCATTTAGTGCCCTTATATCTTTCAGCAACAGCCACTAAAAGTACTGAACAAATTTTCACAATTAGCTAAATAAACATTGCCCTAGTTCATCACAAATCTAAAGCACTGATCTTCCAGTTCATTGACATGCAAACCAATCCAAAATACTATCACAGTAGCTATTGTAGAGAAGACTTACCCGTGTAAATTTGGAGCACATATCAGCAGCCTCGTTGATGAGGTTAGCCTTGAGCATGTACTTGGCACACTTGGAGTTAATGTAACGGTCGGCAGTGTCAAGGGACTGGGCCTCGTCCATCAGTCGCATTGCTTCTTCTATATCACCCGCATGCTACAACAAACAAATTAGTCTACAAACGTCTCCACAAATCTTTACAAAACTGACATAACTTCTCTTTTAACTCTTATTCCACAGGTGTCAATCATTAATCCAAAGGTAGTGTCTGGAACTCTTTCTACCAATATTGTGATTTTAAATTTTTTCTTCTAATATTTTAGTAAAACTAGCATTTCTTTACCTTATGAATTTTCGCTTTCAGGACATACAACTCTATGAGTAGTGGTGTGTGTTCCAGAGCCGCATCTATAAATTCCATTGCCCGCTTTGTGTTGCCCTGGTGGTCAAAATGTGAAGCCAGGAAGTAGTAAACCCAAACAAGGGAAGTGGGTGGTTCTTTCTCCCCTTCATCTGTAACAATAAAGCTCAAGGTCAACCTCTGTACTCCATTAATATTATATTCTGAGCTTGTAGCATACTTTTGTAGGACAATTAGTAACACAATTCGAGCCAGTGATGATGGGGACCACATCATAAAAAGCGGATAAGAAGTTAAAATTTTAAAACAGCACCCATACAAAGATTGAAAACTAGACTATTCAAGGTTATGTATGTCATATGACTGAGCATAGATAAATGAATTCAGCAAATAACCTGCTGTCAAAGAACTTTGAACTAAACTCATCAGCCGAAATTGACCAAACAGATATTCTAAATCAGGTACAATGATTCAAACATATTCCAGGGTTTCATTAAAAAATTTGTCAAAAATTACAGAAGCTAAGAAAGTCAGTATTTGTTTTAACAAGCATGTGTACAGTACTATTACAGTCAAACCTGTGTAAAGAGAGAAATTTACAAGCAGTTACACATGTTTCCTTTCCTTTATTAATCAACAACTGTATCTTATAACCTACCAGCTTCATCAAACTTCTCAACTCTCTTTAAGCTCTCCATGTAGCTCAAAACCAATTCCTCTATTACTTTGATCTGTAAAAGTAAATAGGATTTATTAACAGAGAGTAAAGCACACCGTTCTTGGATAATATTAATAGACAAAAAAGAAAATAAATTTCTTCGCTTAATAACAGTACAGATGTTGATGTTTGAGATTTGTTTGTTAGATTTGATTATTTGACTACCCTTCAACAATTCTAGAAACAATTACACCAAATAAAGAAAGTTTTAAAGATAAAGTTTGACGGTCATCTGACAATCGACCGACCAAGGAGTTTGCTGATGATGGTCTAACAAATCTGATGAATTCAAATTTTGAACATTCCTCGAGAGTGTCAGAAACTCTTAGATGGTAGATTTTGTTCATGAAAAACAGTTGCACAATCATGTTACAAAATAACTACTGTGGTTACCATATGGAAGTTTTGACCAGGTGGAGAACCGACATTTTCTTCAATAATTAAATATTTTACTTGGTGGTGTGAATGAAACTTAAGAAGAGTTCAGATTATTTATTCGAGATGAGTTATGTTGGATCTTGGACCAAAATGAAAAACAAGATTGGTCAGAACAATTTCTGTCTGGATCATTTCAGACACATTTGATATCATTGCCCTCCATAGTAATGTTTAAGAAAACATTTTGTTGAAATCTACCCAAGCATTATGAAGGAATAACATTTAGAAGCACATCATTGTCTGAACTTCATTTGGGGCCTAACACCTAAGTCCCCAGGTGCCAATCTGCATAGAGATTTAATGGTGACAAACAGGGGCGGTACACTTTTATCTCTAGTCACACCCTCCTTACCTAACTAGGGTCTGTGTACAGAGATTTAATGGTGACAAATAGGGGCAGTTCATCTTTATGTCTAGTCACACCCTCCTTACCTTACTGGGGTCTGTGTACAGAGATTTTAATGGTGACAAAGATTAATAGTGACAAACAGAGATGATACACCTTAATGTCTAATCACACTCTCCTTACCTTACTGGGGTCTGTGTACAGAGATTTAATGGAGACAAATAGGGGCAGTACATCTTTATGTCTAGTCACACCCTCCTTACCTTACTGGGGTCTGTGTACAGAGATTTTAATGGTGACAAAGATTACTACCGATGAAGGGAAGGTGTGAACGTTTCAAGTACTGTAGTACTGAACAAAGTATTGATAGTATTGTACTGAAGTACTTCACCAATCGAATTCCTTAAATTTATGCAACAAGCTCTCTGATTGGCAGAGCCAAGTCTAGATCGATTGTGGGTGGAGCCAGGTGAAAAAATACTGTGCAGACATCGGCATTTTACAAACACTCGACTGTCGCGAGAGGTTAATTGGAAGAGTCCAAGTCACAGGTGGCTTCAGATCAGACCTAATTGGATTGTCCCATTTGTTTCGTTCTACACCCAATGATACCTTGCTTTTCCATCGATGGTACAACGAGAAAACGGAAGTTACTCAGTACTAAACTAATTTACGTACAAAATATATATCAACAGTGTTTTCAAACTTCAGCCGTTTAGGTGGATGTGATGCGGCCGTGCCGGCATCTGCCGTCATTTTCGTTTTAAATGCACTTTTAGTTTCTGGCGTTTGCATGTTAATGATCTTATCTGTCACCATTCGTTTGTACACCTGTGGCATTTCCATGGAATTTACCTCACTTGGTAATAAATATCGCAAGGTATTAAGATTGCTGACATCACATTTCTTGAATTCTGACGCATATTTCGCCAACCCTGGGTCAATCTGACGTAGAAAATTTTGCGTACTGTTGCCGTCGTCGGACATTTTTCCAGCGATTACTTAGTAATTGTTATGTGACTGAAAGTGTACATTAACTCCGCCTACCAGAACAAATTGGGTGTCAGATCAACTATTCAGGTTGTCTAAACTCCGCCCCCGACCAATCACAGAGGTCGTTGTATACTTGACTCGATTATTTGAATACTTCAATACAATAGTATCAACACTTTGTTCAATACTATAGTAAGTGTGTCGTTCACACCTTCCCTTCATCGGTAGTAATAGTGACAAACAGAGATGATACACCTTAATGTCTAATCACACTCTCCTTACCTTACTGGGGTCTGTGTACAGAGATTTAATGGTGACAAATAGGGGCAGTACATCTTTATGTCTAGTCACACCCTCCTTACCTTACTGGGGTCTGTGTACAGAGATTTTAATGGTGACAAAGATTAATAGTGACAAACAGAGATGATACACCTTAATGTCTAATCACACTCTCCTTACCTTACTGGGGTCTGTGTACAGAGATTTAATGGTGACAAACAGGGGCAGTACATCTTTATATCTAGTCATACCCTCTTTTAATGGTGACAAACATGGGTGGTACATCTTTATATCTAGTCATACCCTCCTTACCTTACTTGGGTCTGTGTACAGAGATTTAATGGTGACAAACAGGGGCGGTACATATTTATGTCTAGTCACACCCTCCTTACCTTACTGGGGTCTGTGTACAGAGATTTAATGGTGACAAACAGGGGCGGTACACCTTTGTGGAAAGCTTTTCTCAGATAGGCATCAATTAAACTTGTAAACGTGATTCCTGCAAAGGCAATCAGATTCTGTTAGCAACTAAATTTTCCAAAATCTGTAATTCTATCTAAAATACTTCCATATACTATCTATCATATCATATATAAAAAAAAATACAGTATTTCTATGTGTGGAGGGAATATTTAATAAATTTTTGTTTTGCATTTTTTTCTTTTAGTGTTTATTTTATTATAAACAACAAAAGAGTAAAGATCAGTTTGTGACAAAATTCAGAAATCCTACAGACTCTCTACTAGTTTCTCAATGAATGTCATTTGATGTCTTGAAATGTCAAAGTCACCTTATATTATGGACAAATATGACACCATACAAGCGAAGTTACCTGTCATGAAGGACAGATATATGAAGGTAGTCCAGTTACCTGTCATGAAAGACAGATATATGAAGGTACTAGTCAAGTTACCTGTTGTGAAGGACAATGGTATCCTCTTCGGTGCAGAAGCGCGTGGAAATTCCTTCTCTATATCTTTATACAGCTGAAGACGTTCTTCTACAGTATCTGTAAATAGAGATATATACAATGACAAACAGACCTTGTACCATTCTGAAATCAAGTTTTTCAACAATATTACAAAAACATGCAATATATTTGGGGTAGAAAAATATGCTTAAAGTTGTCATCAGTTCTCATCCCAAATTCATGAAAGTTAATATCCAATGAGTAGACCAACAAAAATTTTGATATACTGCCAGTTTTTTTTCCCTTTTCTTCCCTTTTTGCTTTGATGTCTATTGAATTTCTCAAGAATTCTCAATTTCTTCAAAAGGGGAGAATCATGAATATATACCCTTGTGTAGTAAGTTCCTGTATGTAGTAATATGACTGTAATAAAGATCCTGTCCTTTATTCCATGTATTCATACACTGTAACTATGTGTAACACCCATTAAGGGCTGTAACAATGAATTTGGACAGGACAGAAATTATATGAAGTGGACAGAGCTCACAATGACAAAGACAACAAACCAGGTTTTGCAGCCTCCTCCTGCATCTTGTAATGACCCCAATTCTCTGGATTTCTTTTGATCAGATCAAGGTAAACATCTCCTGCTTCTTTGTGCCTGCCCAACTTCTGATACAGTTCACCTAAATAGAAGATGGTTCAAATATTTCTTTCTATTGTAAAAAGCTATGAATATGTTCATCTTACTTATCCATGGTTTCAATTTCTATTATGTGAGCTGTGGAGTTTCTTTATCATAATATATTAAAATATTCTAATGTATCTTTGAGACATCTATTAAAATGTTCCAATGTTTCAACATCACCCACAAAATATGTTGCTATACAAAGAAATAAAAATTTTAATTGTGACAACAGGATACCAAGATACAGAAGGCTTCAGAAGATCTTTACCTCTAATTTCTTGAACAGCTAGCTTGTCTACAATTTGTTTTTCATATTTTTCTAAATGGGTCAGTGCTTCAGTATTCATTCCTGATTCACGCAGTACCAGGTTTTGATACATCAGGAGTTCACTGTGCTCATAATCAAGTGGTTTAGGCTGAAAGTAAAATTTCAGGACGTGTTCAATTAAATGGTTGTTTTCACAGCTTTGTAAGGATAATCGAAGTGACTCTTATCAAAAGTTCCAACAATCTGCAATACGTAATCTTCATAAAGATGAAAATACAAATGTTCCGAAGTGAACAAAGATTTGTGCTTAAGATCATCCTATACAATATCATTATAAATAATCTGCAATCTTTTCCTGTCGAAATGTTTCAGTATATCGCCATAAAAATTTCTACCATATTGAACATCTTATTGGCAATCAAATTAAAATATCTCAAAGTCAAGACTGATAGCTGTAGTCTGACAACAGAAGCAAAGACTGCAATACACTTGACATAAAATTGAAAACAGGGTTTCTCCTAGATACCATTTAAGTCTTCACCCTTATCCTGTAAGATTTAAGTCTGAATTTCTAGATGTTCTTCTTTTACATAAAAATTGTATGAACAGTTGATTCAAAATTTAAACAAAATTTAAAGTGAAATTCAATCATGTTTTGAATAATACCATTTGTGTCTTGCGAAACTCCTCGATGATACTGAAGGCCATATCATAGTCCTTCAGGAGATGGTAAGACATAGCATAACCAATCCATGAAGCACGCTGTCCAGGCCGCAACACAAGCAATTGGTAACGTGTATCCTACAAATTACAATACAATTACGAACATGCAGTTACAGGGATATAGTTAAGTGGGAAAAAAAGCATAGTGACATTTTCCATTTTTCAAAATGACAGGCTTGTCATCACATTTATCTTCGTTCTAAATTAAAAGGAAATTACAGACAAAAAAGTGTATGAAATGCCATAAAAGTATTAAAATTTTCAGACATAGAATAATGATTTGCTATCTAAAAAGTATTATCAGCACTACAAATGATGGTCTTTCCGACTACTTACTCTGTACCCTTCCAAATCTCGCATCTGAATCTGTAATAAAGACAGATCTCGCAAGATCTGCAGGTTATCCTGGAAAGAACAAAAACAAAGTATGATGGTTTTTCTACAGAAAGTATCCAATACTTTACAGTCCATCATCAAAGACTAAAGCATGTCCATAGGACACGAATGACTATTTCTATGCAAATCAATTATAGTCATTGTTTGGACAATTTTTTTAAAATAGAAATAGTGACCTTGGCCTTGGAACACTTAAGTGCAAAATCATCTGATGCACAAACTCACTTAGCTGATACACAAATTCACTTTGAGACATTCTTATACACAACTAAGCATGTAAGTATTCACATGAAGAGAAATGTATTGTCTCCTGATATTCCCTGCAGTACTTGCCTTATCCCACTTCAATGCATTCCTGTACGCCTTGATGGCTTCATCATATTTCCTGTCTGATCGCTGTAGTAAACCATACACATGCCAGCCTGGAGATCAGCATTAAGGATTACATGTGTACTTGAAAATGAACAAACAATGATTTTGCACTACAGGAAGAGGATAAATATACACAATGCCACAAGAAACAAGAGCAAGTGACAAAGGTAACTTCTGGATACAAATATATATACCAGTATCTTATGATAACTAGCCAGCTAAAACAATCAATCCAACTGAAACACACAAACATGCAGAGGTTAGAAGTAGTATACAATACTACTCATGTTCAATAGCAAAGGCAGTTTTAGACCTATCATTTGGCCAAAACTTTTAACATTCAAACATAGCAGCCAATATCAAATCAATAGCTGTCACTGTTCATTGATTTCAACATTATTGTATCTTCATATGTGTCCAAATTTGGTAGGAATGGCTTTTATGGGGATTTCAATTGATGGTCTCTGATTTTACAGCACCGAGGTACCAATTCATTCTGATATTTTTCAGCCTTTCAGACAAATCACTGTTATACTTGTCCCAGACATTTTGCAGTATGTTGACAAGGGTCAACTTCAATTCATTTTGGTTAACATCAAAATACAATTCAAGCAAATATTCATTTTAGTGAGAATTTATCTACAAAGAGTGTGACCTCTGACAGTTCATGAGGGAATGTTTGACAAGGATACAGACATGGCTGCGAAGGTCATTCCTCAATCCTCGACGTACATGATCATAGGCCTCCTCCTTCCTACCAAGGCAGTTCAGTGTCAGGCCCTTCATGGCTAAGGTCTCTGTAAATAAGTAAATAAATAACAACAGGCCTGACAATCCAGAATCAACTGAACACCAAAACTTTCAAACAACTAATGTTCATAAAACTTTTCTCAACATTTTTCTTACATTTTTGACTGGATTAAGGTCATAATTAAGATAACCATGAATTTTCAAACATTTTCATAACATGAAAACCCTTACCTCCATGTTCTGAAAACTTGGGATTTGTCAGAATCTGTTTGGCAAACTTCAGCCCATTTTTGTACTGCTTTTGCTCGTAGCATTTCTGTAAAGCAGGAGAAAATATAAATAAATGAAAAAAAAATTGTATGAGACCAATTCATGAAGTAGCATGTTTGCCAAGTGGAGCAGATTTTCATGAATTTCACTTCCTTCCTCAATATGAAATTCCCATTTCTGATAATTCATATACAGTAACCCTCCTACACAACTGCTTACTCGGATGTGAATTTGTTCAGAAGAATGTTTATTTCTTGAGTGGGGAACTAGTGTGCATGTGTTCAGAATTTGGTTTAAACAGAAATAAGGAGAATAAAATGAGCGAGATATAAGTATCATATGTACTCCAAGCTTAAAACATGTAAATATATAAATATATGGTTAAGTTTGTGTTGATGTTGACTCTCACACAACCCGGAACACTGCTGTTCTGCCCTCCAGATATTGGTCTTAATGTGACAGATTATACATATTTGCAATACATCATCTGATCCACTTATTAACAAGCTGACACTGGTAGAGATATGTAATGTTATATGGATGATTTTGTTGCCCTTACTCTACCAGAACTTTCTAACTGCATGTTTCACCCTTGTAAAACAAGAAAATCTTTAAACTAGGTTATTCATGATGGTTTTCTTCTTAATTTAAGGATATAAACACACTTTTTAGCTGATGGAAACTGACTGTTTTATCAATGACATTACAGCTAAATACAAAATATTCTAAGAAATTCTGTGTTATTATGCTATTTACACATATCACCACTTTTATGGTAATTTTTTTTTCAATCACATTCACTGTGCTGGAAATTATCACATCTACTGTTGATAGTATGGTTGAATGTGAAATTGAATGAGCAAAAACACTTAGCTTAATACAGAACAAAAAGAAACTACAAATCAGTAACAAAGAACTTCCAAAAATCTGTGATCACTTTCCATAATATTATTTCCATCAAAACAAGCATAAATTTTCAAAAGCAAGATCCATACTTCTATTTAACATAAATAGGGGTTACTAAATGTCATATTCTATTGGAAAATTTCATCCCCTCTTATTAAAATGCTTCCATGATTACTAAAGAACAGTGAATCAACAAAGTATCAACAGTATCATACATTTTTGTCCAGCTTTTGCCTAAAGGTCAAAGCATTAAGTTTAACAATAATCTATTACATTCCTGTTAATGCTTGATTTTGTCCATGACATCATGTGATAAAGTATGTCAGGAAATGACAGTGGTTGTCCATATTGAGACTACTTCCAATATCTGGAATCTGAAATTTCACCTAAACACAAAAATTAACTTTACAGGGTTAAAAGATTCGTCAGTGCGGTTGACTTTTACATAAGTTGTTTATGGTCGTTGTCATTGAAATGATATTGCATATTCATGTTTCAGTTGTTAGAGCTGCAAATGATCACATATCCTCAATAATTTCTGCTGGGGCAAGCCACAGGATAAAAAAAAACCAGAAGGATGTTTTCAATTACGGGAATCCAAAGAAAAAGCAGATTGACAAAAATGGCTTGATCATGTCAAGACCTGTAATACTACTAGGTATACAGGATTTTAAACTTATTATGTAGAGTGGATCCTACTTAATGCCACATCTGTTAATATATCATACTTTCCAGTTAATATTATATTTTCTTGAAACATGATTTTCCCCCCCAATATATTCTATGTAATCCAACATCTGATAATGTCACTTATTTCAATGTGGGCTATGCTTAATATTACTTCATTTTGCCAACTATCACCAAAAAACCATACAAAGTAATCACAAGTAAGTGAGGACAGGATCTATGGATTCATCCCTGAAGGGTCGTATGTCACACCTGGATGGGTTATGTATGCATCGCCATTGCCCTACTGGCCAACTTTTCACAACTTTCAACTCCCAAACAATAAGATTGACCCACTTTCCTGTAAGATCAAACTAGGTCAAAGGAAGTCTAGTGTAGATGTTTTTTTAATTGGTATTCCAAGTGTTAAAATGGGTTTTAAACCATGTTTTCCAATGTCCTGCCGAAACATCTCTAGACTGCATACTGGGATCAATGTCATCAAATCAAAAAAGATTATTTGCCACAGACATTTAAGAAAATAGTCAACCATAAATCGTAATAAACTAAAAATTGTGTGTGTTTTGTTTCCTTTTTACAATGACCTATGGGACACCAAACTGCAGCATGTCATGTCGTCATTATGAATGTCGCCATCTTTAAATTTATGAGAACACAATTCTGATACAAAGCTTAAAATACTAAAATAACCAAATTGAACTTCAGGTTTCTCGAAATGCTTAAGCGAAATTCATCATAGAAAATTATCACCTGCCCCAAAAAGCTTCACTGGGTTAAACAATTTGTTCTGGGAAAAAACGTATCATATAGAATGAAGATTGAATACCCAACTGGTTATTATATCAGAATGTCAACATTTTAATATTTCTTCAAATCATTTATTGCTTTTATTACCGTGAGCACTGATAAGGTGACAGTAAAATGTTTTGAAACCAGGTTTTCCTTAAACAGTGTTTCCCGACATCCGACTGGTCATTAAAAATAACCACTAATTCAACAGTCAATGAAACATGGTATTTGGCATCTGTTGGCTATTTTTGTCAACAAGGATCGACTTGTGATCTTCAGAACACATTCTATCAAAGTTAAGAGATACACACTGTATATATACAAACTTTGTGATCATACACCATTATGGAGCCTATAACGTAATGGATGAATAAATTATAAAACCCTCAGCTGATGTCACATACCAATCTGACGTGTAAACTGAATATCGCATGAACTGTCATGATCGTTCACGATAATTCATGACTGCAGTTTAGATATTTCAAATAAATGAGAAAGTCATAGAAAATCACAGTTTGGCACATCTGAAAATTAACTTCCAGGTTTAGATGTTTAAAAATGTGTCAACTGTTAATGCCACATTACGCTTATTAATCATATTTGCCCCTGACAAATAAAACATATTGCAGGTTTCACTGTATTGCGGTACCTTATTAGCTACTGTCAACATTTCATCTCCCCTTGTGCTTCTTAAAACATAACAGCAAAATGACTCATATACTATAATACATGTTCCATTCATAAAATCAGATGTACATATTACTAGATAAGATAAGTTTATTTCCAGATCAGGACTTAAATGCAAGTCCTCTATACCAGACTCCAAAAAAATACATTGTACAAAATATTACGGTATTTATTGTACTACTTATAATAAAACTTTGCTTTTTTAACCATATTTCTTTCTTTGTTATTTCACACAATGATGTGATCCGTCTACAAAAACAAATTCAAACTGATGCCTAATGAAGAAAAGATAACTTTGGTCATGAAAGGAACCTGCATGTTGTTTGATTAACGGAGTATTTTATTGAATTAGACAAGTAATCACTTATACAGGGTATATCACCTGATCTTCCATTTCTCGTTACCAAATAAAAAATAAGCCTATTATCTAACGACATGCTAAGTAAAAACATGATCTTGGGTCTGCAGTCAAATGCATGCTATTGATCGTGGATTCGAGAATGAAAGTAAGGCATCGACTAAACGAGAGGTCGCTTCTCTTGTACCTTGGAGAATGACGTTCATATTGTTAAGACAATTGCAACTCGCTAGCACATTTCGATATCAATAATCGTTAATATCCATGCAAACATTTTCAATACAACGTTCTTAGCAGTGACAATCAAGCATTCCCAACATGAAACATGAACCTGGTTTGAACGACATCCGTTTTCCATTTGTAGCACCCAACCCACTAGGTAGTGTTGCTCTTGACTTTTCCGTGTACATTAATTTCCCTTAAAAAGGCTTACCAATATTCTCTTGAAGAAATTATTTTCCTTTGGAGGTAAAGGGTTGTTGGTAGGCATTTTTATAATGTTTAGGTGGCCTAAACGTAGCGGCAAGTGTCAAATCCCATAGAATCAACAAGCCCAAACCACGAGGTGAATTTCCAATATGGAGGAAATGGATTCTCCGCTAACATACCGATTCAACGAGATTTTCACTAAGGGAAATATCTTTGCATCTTTGATCCAAAACTCGAATATCTTTTTTTAATTCTATTACATTTTTACAACATGAATAGTAATTTTAAATTTATTAAAATATAATTATAATTTTCTGTTTGATATTTTCGACGTCTGTCGTACGCTTTACTGCACGGAAATTATCTTTACAGTCAAGCGTGTTCAAGACAAAGATATATCTTTGCACCAAAACAAGTCGACATTTTACAGCTGGTCCCCGAAATTTTCACATAATCTTCGTCGAACTACTGAATACATAATGATGTCATCTTGTGAAAATTTAATGTAGCGATATTTTTACAGAAGTGGAATTGTATAGAGGTGATTCTGCTTTTAAAATCAAACTATGGCACAAGAACTTCCGAAAAATCGTTCCGATTCTGAACAAAAAGAGGAACTTGAGTCGTCTGTCACCGTCATAGAAAAACAAGCACAAAGACGCATATTCAAGATTATAGTAATCGGCGATTCCAATGTCGGAAAAACTTGTTTGACATACAGATTTTGTAGTGGAAAATTTCCTGATAAAACGGAAGCCACAATTGGCGTCGATTTCCGAGAAAGGACTGTTGAAATTGACAAGGAACAAGTCAAGGTATAACTGAAGGATCCAGCTGTTTTGTTGAAATGACTGACGTTTCTCCCCATCTCGTTTTGCACCACGACTATTCGTCCCATTATGATTAATGTTCAAAAATGACAATCCTCATCCACATCTTATGTGTGAAATAATCATGATAACAGAAAAAAAACCAAACAATTTATAAGATACAATTGAATAAAGAAAATATTACATTTCGACTTTAAATAACCAAATGGTGTGAAATGTCCTGCTCTGATGTTTTGCAAAACATGTTGGGTGAGGATGCTGTGTGGCGAAACGTTGGGATACTTGTCTATGTTTCACACCAGTATATTTCTGTAAGAACAGTTCAGTTGTAATAAGTCATGAAATGAACTGGTGGACTTAATACACACAGTTAGGGCAGTCAAATTTGTTAAGATGAAGTATAGACTTTAACCATGACTGAGGCCACATGTCAAATTTGTCATATTTTAACAACACTTCTCAGTTCTGTGAAGATGTTCATAGTCATCATATTAATCAAGTCATTGGCAGTATATAGAATTTTAAGTTCAGTTAAAATGAATGACTTTGACCCACCCAGAAGTTTATAGAGGTAAAAAAGTGAGATCTTTTAAATCATTAAACAAAAAATTCCTAGTAGTAGGCAACATTTTTTGTCCAATGATGAAACAAAAAATTACAAATTATTCCAAATGGTTCAATGAATGGTCTTGACCCAAATTCAAGGTTCCATGAGACCAATGGTTCTGATATTATTCTTTGAAAAAAGGAGTATTCAGATTTAGAACAGATACACATGGATATTATAAGCATGGTCAACTTATAAGACACATAAATATAGAATCTGTCCGCCAAAAAAAAAAAAAAAAAATTTGAATTGCATCATTCATAGTTCCAGAGAAATATCTTATTTAAAGGAATTTTATATGCCCAAATTGCTGTAGATTAATAACAGATGAGAAATGCAGACTTATTTAAAAATTGAAGATAACAGTTCTGTTGAAGTAGAATTGAAACAAGTAACCAAATTAACTGTAAATAGACTAATACTAAATTAAAGGCATTTTTCAGCTTTTGTGACAGTATCAAGCAAAAAAAAAACCAAAAACCATAAATATGCTCAACTGATTTGCATAAACATTCTTTCCAAATAAAAACAAAACAAAACATGTTGTGATCAAAGATTTTCTTTGTCTGCCTTATCTTCCTTGTTTCTGCAATTGACTTGCATTTGACCCAGGAAGCTAACATCTGACTTAAGTGACAACATGACAGAATAGCAGTTGTTATAATACATGTACTACTGAACTGCAGTACTTTGGATGGAGTGATTTGTTCCCAAATAAATACTGTGAAAAGTAGTAATGCATTATGAACACTCGGGTGCACCAAACAGGTGGTTTCTCCCTATGAATATTTTATACATTGCCACTAGTCAAGGTCTGAAATACATAACTTTATTTCCTTGGCTTCTTTGTTCCATTTTCCTCATTTTAGCAGATACCACAAAGGATATAAAACAGGTACATTTAGCATTTGTTCTGAATACATGGCAATATTGTAATATCAACACATCTTTCTGTTTATGCATGTGTTTTGTTTGTTGGGTTTATTGCCCCTTAACAACCAAGGTCATTTTGAGGCAGAGTCTGATGGCTACCTCATTAAACAACATACTGGAGATCTGTCACATGTTATCCAGAGCAAGTAGGGTAAACTGTCCTGCTCTTGGACACAACCACATCAGCTCAGACTGGTCTATTTTTCAGGGTCCCGAGAAACACAAACTACCACATTAGGAAACATTGAAATGTTGAATTCAGTTATCAGAGTATTTTTATGTTAAACACACAAGTGGAAATACTTTAAAAAACTAATTTTGTCATAGGGTATTGTAGCCTGCTCGATATATATAAATACATTAACATATTGAGACATGCTGAGTATCTATTCGGGATACATCTCAGTCATGGTTGACTAACCCCAACAAGTAATTTTCATGCTACCATACTACCTTAATTGGTATGTAAGGTATGTGAGGGAATTGTTCAGATTGGATGGTTAAGTGAGTATGAATGTGTGCGCACACTAAACACCTGTGAATACCCTGCACACATATTCCACAATATCATTATGAGCACTACTTAAGAGGAAGAGTCTTTACAATGCTTTATATGTGTACTATTATGGGTTTTTATTCCTGGTAAGATATTTCACTTATTGTATTTGTTGATGTACATTTGTATTCTGTACGTTTCTGTATTGTACAATTGTCACATGTTCATGTCAGGCTTCGTGTACATTTTAGGTCTCAACTTTTGATTTACCACTGGCTGCTGATTGAATGAAACTTCATTACACAGCTGTTTTGTTTGTCTTCTAGTCGTCAGTGAATCAAGAGGCCTAAATCTAAAAGAATAGTTGTAATCAGGAAGATAAGAATTGGTTGTTGAAACCAATTGGTTAATTACAAAAGGCTAATATGCACACATAGACTCCTTTAGTTTATTGATATCATACAATTTATTATTTTATATTACAGCTACAACTGTGGGATACAGCCGGACAAGAGAGGTTCCGAAAGTCTATGGTCCAGCATTACTACAGGAATGTACATGCTGTTGTATTTGTCTATGATGTCACTAAGATGAGCTCATTTGATAGCATGCCTAGTTGGATAGAGGAATGTGACAGACACAACCTGAACAAAAACATACCAAGACTTCTTGTTGGAAACAAATGTGATATGAAACTACGTATTGCTGTAAACACAAATCTGGCTCAGAAGTTTGCCGACTCCCACAACATGCCACTGTTTGAAACATCAGCCAAAGATGATGAGCGTGCCAATCATGTAGATGCTATTTTCATGACGCTTGCTCACAAGCTTAAGAATAGCAAACCTTTAATGTCGCCATATGTTGGTGATGAGCAGTCAGGCCTACCAAGTAATGTTCAAGTTATCTCCATCGGTAAAAGTTCCCAAGGAAAGGGACTACAATCTATGGGTGTGGAAGGTGACAGGAAGGATTCTTGTGCCTGTTAATTATCATGAATATGGCTGCTGTTACCAAAAGTATTTCGTCTAATAAACTTCAACCAAAAAGGTTATTTTATCTTTATCAATATTTCTTTTATCTAATTCGGTCCTCCATATATCACAAAGCAAACAGTTGTGTAATACATTTTTCTCTTATTCTGTGTTGTATTTGGTACTTAAACCGGGTTTTTTTGTGCATTTGATTAACAATTCTGATATAATTATACATATATATTTTTGCAGAAAAATGATCAAATCAGGTAAAGGACTGTTTTAAATTTTGCATCTAGGCTACTTATATTACTTAACACATGATTCACTGATCAACGTTTCTATGTGGCATACAACCTTAAAACATGTACAAATTTGAGACAAAATATTAATTGTGTTTCCTGATCACCAACTGAGCCAGTTCAGTTTGCCAAATATCTTCATGAATAAATCTATTTATAAGCAAAATGTATATATTTGATGTTAATACTGTTCCAGCTACAGATTTGCCTTACTTGAATGTTTAATATGATGCATTTGAAAAATGGAACTAGCATTTTCTGAAATTGATTAGATGTTAAATATATAAAATAGGGTATCATTATTAACAAATGACAGACATATCGTACACTTTAGAGCCAAAACAGGAAACATAACTATCATTTTGCCTAAATTACCTTGTTACATAAACAGACAGCTAAAAAGTATTTGAATCCACTTTTGTTTGGATTATTTCATTGTTTGTTGATGTTGTCAGATGTAATATTTCAGAATATTCCATTGTATAAATTTATATTCAATATGGTTTAATATCAACAGGTGTCACATCGTACTATGAAATATGAAATAATGAAGTAAAAAAATATTCATGCAAAGAATAAGTTCAACATTTGTTTTATTTAACTACATTTTGTATTTTCTAATTACAAAGCTTTCTTTTCAAGCAGTGAAAAAGGATTAAGAATGTACAGCTTTTTGTAACTGAAAAATTTAGTGAAATCAGATAGTATAAATTTCGTCTTATTTGCTGTTAACTTACATTGGATGGATTCCTGAAGCACAAGTATGTATTTAACACGCTCTGTTCCAGGATTTATGGAATCTGATAAAGATTGATTCTGTTCTATGAAATCAGTACAGGTAATTTGATATTAACACTATTTAGTATGTGCTATCATGGATGCTATGAAATATTAACTACCAGTCACAGGTGTTCTCCAATAGATTGTACAATAGGCACACTAGTGAATAGCACCTTTTCATAATTTAGAGTTAGATACAGTAGAGCCAAACAATGAATTAAACTGCATAATACAGCTGTTTGGTCCTTCTAGAACTTGTCAGTGATGCTAGACTGGGAGGTGCAGCAGCCCAAAGATTAAATAAATTTCATTTTTCATCTATCAGAGAATTTTAGAACAGTTTATGTGTATATTCTGAACAGGGCCATTATTTGAATTAATTAAAATGTGGCATAGAGGTTACAACAAACCTAGGAGACTTAAAATCCAAAACTGTAGTCTGATTTATCCTTACATACTAGCAACTGCTTTTGTTTTTGAGTTGATGATAGAGCTTATGACTCGATATAAAAAAATATTGAAAGAACATCAGAATAATTCCAGGTAACAAGACAGTGGAGCCGAGATTGTTCCAATGTGGGAGTCTTTCATTTGGTTATAGATGTAGTTTCTTGGTAATCAAGTCGGATATTAATGAATTCTTTATTGATGGAAAAGAACTGGATAATAGTTTTAATAGCTTTGATTCAATATTGATTTTTTTTTCTAGACAATTCATTACTGCAACAAATTATGATTAATGACATAAGGTAAAGGTGTTTATGATTAATAGCTTATAAAATCTGCTTTGTGGTAATGGTGAAAATGATCATGTATAATTGTTATGATATTTAGTCTTATGTAGTTTGTGAAAGTTGATACCACAAATATATGAACCATGTGGTATATTTAGCATAATGTGATATTCATAGCTCATCATGACTAAAGTGAGCTGAAGATTTGCTATACTGGTGTGTCTGTCTGTCAAATTTGAGTTTAAAAGGTACTCTGCATGAATGTATGAAGAGATTTGACCTTATATGTAGTAGATGATTTTTGTGGTAACAAGAACTATATACCACAGTATTCATAATATATAATATTATTAGTCAAGACATTGTAACTTCTTAGCTTCAGTCAAAGCAATAATATATATGAATAATACTTCCTGATCCAAGTAAGATAGCATTATTGGTTGTTGAAATGGTATCAAAATTCAAAATGGAGCTTTCAACTAATTTTCAATTCCACATATTGAAATTTTTAACAAATATTTTGTAGATATTCTATGGATGTCCTTGAAATGCTTACATTTTGTTTTTGAAGTCAAAAATTGGTTTCCAAGTTGAAAGGTTGATCTGTAAGTAGTCTTAAACAGCCATTGTCCAGTTCAGATAGAAGCCGGTAAGCAATACAGGCCTAATGGACCTCTTCTTCAAAAACTAAATTTTCTCTCTAAGTTCCTGGTATTAAATGTTTTGAATTATGTAGTTAGTGATGTGGTGTTTACATTTTATTTATGAATAATTGAAAATCATGCATTTTATTACATGTGCATGCATGTAAAATTTGTATTTAATTTGTTAATGAACAAACGATTTGTTGTTTGTGATAAAATGAAGGTTGAGGAATATTAACACTGAATTTGACATCAATTCTCAGATCAAATGAGAATATATTTAAACTGAGATAAAAATACTGTTAACTGCTTGATATATATGTTGACTATTATCAAGCCTATTTAGTTATTTATGTAACTTGAGACATGTTTTACTGGCACATTCATTGAAGAACTCCAGAAATTTTCTCTGTGTTTTGCGTTATATTACAATATATATATATATATAGATAACAATATATATTGTGTATGGATCCATTCTGGTCCTTTTCGATCTCTTCAGCACCATTTTTGTTTCATAGAGGAATTTCATTGATGACGTATGAATCAATAAAATTATTTCATCTTTGAGTATTATATATCTGTACATTATTACTAAGTCATATTTAAGTTTTATGATTCCCTAGACTAGCTTCTGTCTCAGGTGATAGGTTCCTGGTGATGAACAGACTCATCGCTTTATCTAGTTTGTAAGTTTGCTTGTCTTTCTTGATGACAGATCCAAGCTGTCCTCTTTATAAAGTTTGTAATTCAAGTTTGTACTTCAGAAGTCTTACCTTGTAATGATATTGCCAGTGATAAAAATAGCAAAGTATAATATGGATTGTGTGATATAGGATATGGACTTCAGATGTAAAAATATACTTTTAAGTGTTAAAATGATTTGTAGATAGGTTGTAAGATGTGGTGTAATTGATGTTTTTTTTTTCTGAATATGGAAAATAATTCCACAACAGCCAGCAGAACATTTGTTCAAATTTTATTTGCATAGATAACATTCAGTCGAAATATCATGAACTTTATTTCAGTGGTGAAGAATTCTTGTATCTTCTGTCATTACAGTCACATTCTTCATCCATGAAAAAGAAATAGATATCTATCTCAATATAGACCAGATGCTTGTTACCCTGGTACTTTGAAGCATTTGATGAAGAAAAGAGTCCTGACTGTTGTGTCATATTAAACCCTGAGACAGTGATTTGTGATTAAGATTCTATTAACTTATTGTTTTGGTACCGACACCTGCTGAAATGGCTTGAATTCATCCAATATAAATAGGAACAAATGCTTTGATGATAATTAACTCATGTTTTGCTTTTGCTTTTTTATAGTCATCGAGAATTGTATCTTCGTCATATTTAGAATATGTTTGATATTTTTTACACATTACAATGTCACATGTTATTGAGAGAGATCTGGGTATTATTACATTATTAATGCCCTTTTCTAAAGAAATATTACCAGTGTTCAATATTTTGGCAAAATAATTTACTGCATTTGAAACACTGATCTCTATTAGGGAGAGAAAAAATTGGGGAAGTTTATATGGCTCTTAATTAAATTTCTCTGGATTTTGTAAAGATGTACACTTCTCCAAGTACAGACTTCATTTCTATGGAAAGAGTACATGTACTGAAGAGAAGAGTATATTAGAAAGGCAGTCATATCTTAATATCTTCCACTTATCTTTTCCCAGATAAATCAGAGGTGTCATAACATGGCTCAGACAGGTCACCTTTTCAAGTTCAATGAAGAAATTGAATCTTCACTGCCTTGGTGGAAAGGATGGTAGTTTATATCCTGCACCTCCAGATGATTCATGAACAAATGAGGTTATGCCGTCACGCTGTGTCCATTGTCTAAAGGTCCTCAATAATGATATTGGGCCTCCAGTATATTGGTAGAAGGACCACCAACATTGTTCATATGAATGATCTTGACCCTCTTTCAAGGTGGTTAGAGTCTGATGTGTTAAGTACTTCAAACTTTTTCTTTTCAAGATCCTAAAGGTCATGCTTTGGTATGTGCTGCAAAGTTTGCAGAAATTCACTAAAGTGACTTAGGGTTCTTTTAAGGCTGCAGAGCAGGTGTATAATTCTGGAACATTGGACCTCTTGTTTGTCAGTTTATTCTCACCATACTTAATGAATATTGTGATGCTTGTATATGTTTAGTAGCAGTACTGGGTATATAAACAGAATTTATTTTTGTTCTAGTTTTCCTTCTAAAACATTTATGGTCAGTTGTGTATCACCCTTATATATAAAATGAAATTGTCAGACAGCAGAACATGCTATTGTATTGTGACATAGGACATTTGCAAGTCAATGATATCTCTTAACAAAAATTGTAATAAAATTTTGTCGTTGAAAATGCTTTCATATGTTTTTTAATCTAAACTCCATTTTAATATTTTCCACCACAACAAGCATAACCTTTCATGTACATAGTTACAGTTGGAAACTTACGTACTCTAATTGTTTATTGTAGTTTTGAAGCAAGCAATCTTTTTAATTAACCACACTTTTTGGTCCAGAATGAAGTGTGTGCGATGAATCCAGAAGTACCTAGAAAAAAATCACTTAAGTTGGCAGATGACCAGTTCACAAACACTTCAGAAATATAAGTCTAGTCACGGTGGTGAAAGGCAAGTGTGCTGTCACCACGCTACACAAGCATCATTACTAGTAATGCAGGGTTAGATCTATCGGTTCCAAGCGTTCAGATGGCCAGGCTGGTGACATCTAAATCCTGTAAAATGTTGTCCACATTGATGAGATGCTATTTCTGCACTGGTTAAGCTTCGCACAGAAAACCAGAAAGGTTTTGAAGATTCAGTATTTTCAATTATCTAGTATGGTTGTGGTAACTTTTGAAGTCGACTTCACTCAGCTATATGAGCAGTTTTTACTGGGTTGGTCTTGTATCACTGTTAGACTGTCACATTTTGTTACATGGATGTTGGCAGGCAGTTGTGTTGTAAAAGTTTTCAGTTTTTCTGGTATTTTGTTAGAAATTTAGTTTTTGGAAGATATTAGTATGTGTAAACAGGTGATACCAGATCTTGGTATTTTGTATACAGTTATACATAAGTATGAATGTTTAGTGACAGGATGGCAGTTACTGCTACCATGTATTATGCTAATTTGTCTTAAGGATTTTCTGTTTAAGAAAGTGGTTGTAAGTTCAGAATTCTAATGCGTACAATTGTTATCAACAAAACAAATGAAATATGAAAAATCCATTTATGAAGTATATTTTGTTGAAGTAGGATTTTGGGAATGATATGAATGCATTATCCTTTATTTGTAAAATGTTTGTTGACTTTGCTTTGAAAGTCTTTCAATCGATGGACTGGTGCTGTTTATTTCCCAAACTGGAAACTATTGGGTGCTACTCTGAATGATGGAAAAATTTGACTGTTATAAGATTACCATCCATAATTCACACTTTAGTATTACATGGTGTACCTTATATTTAAAGTTTAATATCAAGCCTTAAACCAGTCAATCTTCGTGTATGAAAATCTATTACTACAGTGAATCATGGTTCTTTTAGAAAGAATTTACTGTAGTAATCATGGGTATAGTATTATGTATAAATCTCCCTTTGAAGTTTGGGATTTTGGCAGCCACATGTAATATTTAGGAGTGAATGCATGAATAGTGTGTTTTCAATAAAAAGGAAGAAAGGTTACTATCTTCACATCTTGCTGAATTTTCATACCTGATGATTGTCGTGCTGAATTAATTTTCCTATAATGATAACCAGTAAGTTTAATATATATAACAAAAGACTTAAAATGAGTAATAATTTGCAGTCATTTTGGTGCAACCATATTTAGCACAGTATGATACCAAGAAAGGCGTTAAGATATCGATTACTTGTAAATTGAAATGAATATTTTTCTGTACCAGATACTGTATCTATGTTTGTAATTACCATGTTTTGCAGGTACCAGGTAATAAGCCCACCCATGTCTGCTACAGTCTTGTAAACACTATATTATTGCCCAATAATAAGCCCACCACACCCTGACTATGAGTAGGTGCCTTGGCTTTTTCACTACAAGGAACAAAGTTTACTTTTATAAATCTGAATTTCCTAGCTTACCGAGGATTAGGATCCAGTACCAGTAGAGGGATGTAATTGACATATCCTCGACTACTTTAGGAAGGTATCTTAGCTCAATGAGGATTAGGATCCAGTATCTTATCCTTCAGTTGAAGTAACATAGATATTTAACACCCATGGCTAGCAAAGACAATAGGGAGGTTGGCATTGATAAGGTTATTATATAACCTTTTTTGTCATCTCTTATATATGTATATTTATGTGTCCTGTACTTTAAACATGCATATTATAGCAATAATCTTATTTAAGCACTTTTCACGCTAACAATATTGTGCTTAAATATTATTGCTCTAATTGCAATTTCTGAATGTTGTCAGTCCTAGCTGATGCACTGATTTACCTAAAATTTTATTGGACCATATTGAGTTTGTTACAGCAGTTTTCTACACTGAATAATTTTACAAGAATAAAATCCTTGTCATTGTAAATACATCTATATAGATTTTGGTGGCTTATTACCAGGCATGTGGGCTTATTACAGGATATACATGGTATGCTTTGATTACTTCATGTTCTGAAGGCCAATGGGATGGGAAATCAAACGTTGTCTAAAAGACACTGTGGCTGACCCTAAGATTGAATGAGGGGAAGTGCTAAATAAGTGTCCTCTTGGAAAATGAAGTGAGTGTGAACTGTATAAATCTATAGATTACCAACTTCCCAAGATATGAACCACAGTAAGGATGTGCTCCCATCCCTGGGGATTAATTACTCTGTAGGTTACCTCATGGAAACTGCTCTACAACCATGAAGATTTCTGTTTTGACAGAGTATAGATAGTCTTTTGCTTCAAGGATTGTTACGACCCTCACCTCAGAACGAAAAATGCAATATCTCGGCATAAAAATACAAATTAATTGTAATGCGCTCATGGTCTAACCATGCCTTTGTAAGAAGTACTTTGCTGAGAATTGTGGGTCATAGCATGGAAATATTCTCAGACTTAATAATGTATGTAATTAGTGATCTTTTCAAATTTTACCTTCATTGGCCTATTGTGAAAAATAGGGTGCAGACTTCTTATGGTTTAGAAACATTATATGGTGTCTGTACTTTTCAAGAGTCTGAAATGAGTAGAAAGAACACGGTTATATTTTAGTTTATTTTAAGCAGTTAAGAAGTTAGATTAATTTAGACATGTCATATCCAGGATAAAATGAACAGTAAATGAAATTACTTACCAGTTTTGCTCTCTTTGTGTGCACATTTCCTCATTGCTACATGCACAGTTCTTCACAGGGTTTCTTTAGGAAAAATAGTCAAGAATCCACAATTTGTCACCACTAAACTCAAACAAATTACTGTTTCTGTTGTTGATAAACCTCTTGTTTTAGGAAATATCCATAGCAACCAAAAGTAAAGTCAGTAAGAGTATGACATATATATATTTGTTTTTATTCCAGAATGTAATCAAGATCTTATTAAAGGGCCATATGTGTATAAATGCTTTCAAAGGATTATTCAGAATACTTAATGACATGGTGTTCAGCTTTAGCATTTCTTAGTTTCATCACACTGAGCATAACTGTTACTTGTACTTACTGTTGCCATGGCAATAGACAGTTTTTTTTTTTTTAGCAGGACATTTGGAATTTTTTTTTTTTTCAGATGGGTTCTCTTGTTATTTGGACCATCATCAGTATTGTGTTGTTCTACTTGTTATTTTTTATTGATGTGATAGTCTGAATTTTTTCTGCAATTTGTAAATATTCTTTCTTGTCAAAAGTTAGATATTACAGCTACAAGGATAAAGTAGCAATCAAAACGATCCGTGGTGAGACACAAGAATTTAGAAATAATGTCCCTAGTTATATATAAGATTTCCATACCTCTTCTACATCTTTAAAAAATAGTGCAATATTTGTGAATTTCCTCTGTATCAATATACCCAATGTATCTGTATAGTCAGCATGTTTTGTAACATTGATGTTCACCTAGCACAAAATTGTAGATATTGTTTTACAAATTTATGTACTCATTCTGTCGTAAAAATAAACCTTCTGATGATCATAGAAATATCTTTGTTTTTATTTGCATAAACTATATTCTTCATTTTTAGCCCACCATCATCAGGTTGATTGCAATTCAAGTCGCTCTACATTCCTGGTTCGTCCTTCAGTGAACAATTTTTGTTATCATATTTTACTTGATGGATCTCTCTCAAATTTCACATGAAGGTTCCTTAGGTTTGCAAGTTGATTTTGGGACTGATCTGAAAAAAATTACTAACAGGCAGTTATCTTGGACTTTGCCAAATAAAGTGGTTTTCACTTTTTCTTGCAAGGTAATGGCGGACTCTTTCTCAAATATTATATGTAAGTTACCCAAGTTGTGTTGGTTTTATTTTGGGATTGATAGAAAAACGAAATGGCTGACAGGCGGTCATCATGGATTTTGCCTAATAAAGCTTGTTACCTATTTCTTAAGAAGTACTGAATGGATCCTCATGAAATTTCACACGGAGGTTCCCTTGATCCCTAGTTGTAACCACTTGAATTTGGTACAAATACAAAAACAAAATGGCTGACAGGCAATCATCTTGGATTTGGCAGGTAAAGATTATTATCACTATTTCTCCAGAGAAATGTTCAATTTTTATATCATTAAGAGCAAAAACAGAGGAAAGAATAGAAAGGAAGGGAAGAGATCCAACTGTTAAAATATCCCCTGGTAGTTCTTGTTTCAATGTGTCAAATCAGAAACCTATTTCCTTATATGGGCATTTAATCAAATGTTTCCTGATTTACCTCAAGTGGAGAAAAATGAGGTTGAGGTTGAAGAGAAATAAAAGGGAGTTCTGAGATCAGACAGCCAAACATTTGCTTTCTGATCAAGTGGAGATAGGGAAAACCAAAGTTCAAAAGATTGGAGCTTTTGCCTTTTCTTTTTCAAAAAGAATCCTGAACAGCAATGGTAAAATGTATGATGCCAGTCCATTGTCAATGTAATGGGTTTTAAGACCTATTCTAAGGTTGAGAAATTCGCTTTTATGAAAAAAATCAGTGATAACATATATATATATATATCAAAACGTTTGACGACCAGTTAAATTCAAAGTCAAACAAGAAAAATATCAATAGTGACACATAGTGACATATTGTCAAAATTCAAGGTGACCTTCTCTCAGTCGTCTGTTTCGTTATCAAAGTTTTGAAACCTATATTTCGTTTCAAACTCGATTAATCTAAGTCATATATTCCTTTGTGACACAGGGCAGACGAAAGGCTGGGGGGAAAGTTTTTTCCATTGGAACAAGAATTGGGTTGCTAAAGATTGACTGAACACTCCCCAAGTATGTATATACTGGTGACCTGGGCATTTCATACCTTTGTTTAAGACGAACTGCAGATGCTTGATACCACAACTGCTGCATTATGTTTTTAAAAAAAGGTTAAGATACAATTTCCAACATAATTGTTTGCCTGCTTTAAGACATGAACTATTTTAACTGTCTTTATGTTTGGGACAGATGAAATTCCAGTTAAACATATTGTCGTTTCCTCTAGTCTGGGTACTTCGCTAGATAAGAGGAACTCATTGTAGCTGTCAGAACACTTGCATGAAAACTGCATTGTTTTATCAGACTTACAGTTTAATTCGATTGACGTCGACACAAAGGTCACGGGCTGAGTTATATCTGGTACGTGTAAGCCTTAATTAATTGGTTAGACTCTGTGTCATGTACATTGTATCTTTGTATTGTAGTTTGATTAGATGTTTTGTTCTCAGTCTTAGATTGCCCGTCTAGACTAATAAGCATGTACAAAGTGACAAGTACTTGGTAGAGTCTGTTACAATTATAAAATGAGTTACGACAAATACCATAACATTTCCTTTGACTTTTCTGTACCGAAAGACATATCTTAGTCATCTTTGTGTTTTTTGAAAGACCAACAGTATTCGAAAGTTCCATGTCCTTCGAGTTTCAATTTTCAATGGTTTCAATTAATATATTTCAGGTAGCCTTATATCTCACCAGCCAGATTGAGCATATGTTTTGGTGCAGCGTCCGTCGTCCTTTCTTAAGTAGGTAGCATGGTGGATTTAAACCCTGAATAAACTATATTGACCAAATTTCAGCGTCATCCGCGGAGTCAATATTGTTAAGCTCTGCTTCTTTATGATAAAATTACACAGGATCATGTTTGACCAAAACAATGCTAGTGGATAAGCCTTTCAAGTTTGTTCAAATGTATGACATTGACCTATTTTATAGGTCACGTGTTTATGTTTTGTTAAATCTTCCAATGAAGGGATTTGGTTGGGGGACTTGACCCCTTTAATCTTCAAATTAGGTCCAAGAGAACATTTTTCAGTACTCTATCCCAGGCATTGGAAACAAATGTCAGTTCTCAACACTTGCTTTCTTCGACATTGAAAATCGTTCTTAACGTTCATTCAAAGGAGGGAACTGTACTTGAGAACACTCCAAACTGCCTAATGAGAAAATAGCTGGTCCCTCTATAACTTACATTATTAGATAAGGCTGCGAATCAAAAAGCGATGTTCCACTATGTTTAATGTGTTCGTATTCTATACCGTCCCATCCCCCCGCTTTTTCATATTTGAGACCTCTAGACACCAAGGCAATTTCTGAGGGGGTAATGAGACCTCTAGACACAAGACAATTTCTGAGGGGATGATGAATCCTCTAGACGCCAAGGCAATTTCTGAGGGGGTAAGGAAACCTCTAGACGCCAAGGCAATTTCTGAGGGGGTGATGAAATCTCTAGACACCAAGACAATTTCTGAGGGGTTAATGAAACCTCTAGACATCAAGGTAATTTCTGAGGGGGTGATGAAATCTCTAGACACCAAGACAATTTCTGAGGGGTTAATGAAACCTCTAGACACCAAGGTAATTTCTGAGGAGGTAATGAAGCCTCTAGACAACAAGGCAATTAATTTCTGAGGAGGTAATGAAGCCTTTAGACACCAAGACAATTTCTGAGGAGGTAATGAAGCCTCTAGACAACAAGGCGATTAATTTCTGAGGAGGTAATGAAGCCTTTAGACACCAAGACAATTTCTGAGGAGGTAATGAAGCCTCTAGACAACAAGGCAATTAATTTCTGAGGGGGTGATGAAATCTCTAGACACCAAGACAATTTCTGAGGGGTTAATGAAACCTCTAGACATCAAGGTAATTTCTGAGGGGGTGATGAAATCTCTAGACACCAAGACAATTTCTGAGGGGTTAATGAAACCTCTAGACACCAAGGTAATTTCTGAGGAGGTAATGAAGCCTCTAGACAACAAGGCAATTAATTTCTGAGGAGGTAATGAAGCCTTTAGACACCAAGACAATTTCTGAGGAGGTAATGAAGCCTCTAGACAACAAGGCGATTAATTTCTGAGGAGGTAATGAAGCCTTTAGACACCAAGACAATTTCTGAGGAGGTAATGAAGCCTCTAGACAACAAGGCAATTAATTTCTGATGAGGTAATTAAGCCTTTAGACACCAAGACAATTTCTGGGGAGGTAATGAAGCCTTTCGACACCAAGACAATTTCTGAGGAGGTAATGAAGCCTTTAGACACCAAGACAATTTCTGAGGAGGTAATGAAGCCTTTAGACACCAAGACAATTTCTGAGGAGGTAATGCAATCATTCAGGTATATGTCTACCTCGTTATGATTTTTTTCCCCAATTTCATTCACGCGGTTTATAATTTCTCTTTGGAAAGTGTTGTCTAATTCTTCGTTTGATTTACCATGGAACAAATTTTCGAGATGTGACGCCCATGTTTTTGCAAGGTCTCGTAACATCACATTGTTGTATTTCATTTCCATCTGAAGTGCTCTGTTTTTACATGATTTTCCTTTGTATAACTGTCAGAATAAATTCTGGTCAAGTTCACTATATTTTTCTATTTCATTAAACTGATCAGACCTATTGAATGGCCCAGAGGCTTTCTTCTAAAAGACGTTTTACTCTCTGTGCTGCAGGAAATTTCGAGGTTTCCCTTCATTTATCCGTGTTTGTCTTTTGACTTATACAGTAGTGTATATTTCTGACAATTCTTTCGACCAATATGGTTTTAAGTAAATTTTGTACTTTGTTATAGCCAAGTAGAGTTAAAGGGTTGTATTATAGCTGAAGTAATATCTTTATACATTCGTTAAACATTTTTCCATTTTCCGTCGGTAATTTCTATTAACTTCAGGCTATTTTCCAACTCCAGAAAACAACTATTAACACTACCGTCATACAGGGATTTTTTCCAATCATATTTTACAAAATTTAATGTATTACACCAAGATGACAACGATGAGACCTTTATAGAACATACTATAGGGCTAGGTTCAGACACATTTATAGCTTCGTCATCTAATACAATATATAATGGACTGGTATGGGTTTCGGTTTCTCGTGTGTCTGTTTACTCCTGATATTATCGTTTGTAGATTTTCCTAGATGAGATTTTTCTGCACAGATGAAGGGCAATGAACTGGTATCTGTTTTGGCTTCTCGTTTGTCTGTCGTACCGTCACTTGCAAATATATTGACAGTTTCACTTTCTTTTGCTTATTGTTGCTGGTGTCGTTTAATACTTGAATTCTGTTTGATAGATTGTGTTGGATGTGTTGCTGTCGTGTCCCTTGATTCACCATGTTGTGTCCTCCGAAACCATCTTTTTGAGCTCGTTGTTTTTGAAGAGTCGACAAGTTCTATGGATTCGTCTAAGTGTTTGTACTCCGTATCGTGTTGTTTGTACTCCGTATCATGTTGCTTGTACTCCGTATCACGTTGTTTGTACTCCGTATCATGTTGTTTGTACTCCGTATCATGTTACTTGTACTCCGTATCATGTTACTTGTACTCCGTATCATGTTGTGCCATTTTCTGATTTGTAAGCCTTAATTGGTATCTCAGACTTGCCACACCGTTCTGTTGTTCGTCATCGCATCTATGTGAGATATTCAGACAGTATAACATTTATTCCTTGGTTCCGAAAATATCTTATTTCAATATGTTAATTTTCTTTGTGATATTGACAAGTTTTCGTATTAAATTGTCTTGCTCGTTGATGTCTTCCCTATTGCTGTAAACATTTGTCTATAGATACTCTTCCTAACACACACAGACAATTACTAACAAGTTACAATAGTACCAGACAGAAGACAAGACAATATAATGTGTCACCTGTCTCAATGAAATGATAACAACAATCAGCTTTGTTTTTTGTATACCTGTTTATTTTTTTCCATTCATATATATAAAACTATGCAGTTACCCTCCATACAATCATTTATTTCAAGCATTTATGTCTTCAGACACATTCAGACAAATTAATCACACGTGGACCACATTCTAACAACCAGCACTTCTTTTAAACCACATTCTAAATGCTTTGCTTCTAATTCATAAATCCTTGGACATCATAAATAGTGCTATCTGCTTTTTATATGTAACATAACTCTCTCGTCAATATATCTACACTAAGCACTGCTTCAAATTTCCAATAATTTTCTATTATAATTCCAGTCTCACTGGATAGTTACTGACACAAGCACAAAGCAATCATGCTTTTTAGGCTGTCTTATCACTTTGAAGACTTCACTACTGATACCTTACTTCTACCATTTGATGTGCTGGTCAAGCTAGGCGACCTGAGAATCAGAAATCTCGAGTGTCAACATACAAAAAAACTACGGAGTTTGTCCACCATCATCAAACTTTTCATTTGAATATAGCACATCCCCTTAGGGTTTGATTAATTCAATTATCAATTCCATTGTTTCCAAACACAGAGTTATCTGCTCTTGTAAGCAAGTATTGATTGTTAGGTCATTAGTTTGCCGGAGAAAATTACTTCGTTTTTGCAAATTTACAATTCTATTCTCTCATTAATAAATAAGAAAACAACTGATACCTGTTCACTAGAGCAGATAACTTTGTATGTTTTACAAAAAGACAGAACATATCAGGAGACAGAAAACGAACAAAAGATTTTCTTCTCCCTTTAGTATTGAAAACTCCCTTAACATCCTCTAAATATCATAATCACATATCAAAATAAAACACAAACAAAAACAATACTACCCTGTAACATCAAATAACTAAGGAAATCTAATGGAGGACAGCTGAGAGTTTTCAACACTTTTGTAAATCTGTACATCTTATCTGTCCCATTTCAGTTTTGGAACAGAATCATACCACCTCTGAGCTCATCAGTTTCTTCTTGTTGTCAATGGATGTTGGACTTACACTTAAAAGCACTTAAAATCTAGAACTTCGACTGGAAAAATAAATTCCATAATTAAGAAAAAAAAATTAATTTTTAACAATGTACAGCATATTTACAAAACAACTCATAAATACAGGATAATTACTTCATAAAAAAAACACATACATTTCACAAAACAGAATGAGAGTAAATCACTGAGTTCCTAACTCCTAAAGTCTGATTTCCATATAAGGTTTTACCATAAGAAACTTGTAATGAAGGCTGCCTTGGGTGGGAAGAAATCCTATTTCCTCATGACCTCACACAGAATATTGTGATATTCACACTTTGCCTCAGGAACTCCAGCGTATGGACTAGTTGACATATTACTGTAATCACTTAGTAATCAAAATAAATATTTACGAATTTATCAATTATAAAAAAAAAATACAAACACTGCTGTACTTACAATTTTGAATGACCTTGCAAATATTTTACCCGTACAACAGTAAAGGCCATTTTATCACATAATGCTTTGGAATCTGTGGATGAAAGCTGTACCAACAGCATGGGGTTTTGTAAACATTCTGGACAAAATCCTTCACACATATCATACTTCACGTGATGTGACCCTGAAGAGTTGGTACAGCAATAGAAATGGAGACTATAATCTGACTAGTAATGCAGGACAGACAATGCCTTTAATCACAATTTTCTTCTGTCTCACTGCAAATGTTGATGGGTGACTTAATTGATGATGGTCCTGACTGATCCACTTGGAAAATGCCCAGTTTATTGCTCAAGTATATGTCATAGCCCGGGTTCTGTTTTCACCAAAGTAGAGGAAGGCTCTGTTTTCACCACTGACTTAATGATTGCCATAACACTGTCTCTCTCTGATTCCTCCTCTTCCTCACTCTCTCCTTGAACAGGCTCCTCCTTCACCTCTGTTGCTGCTGCTGGCTCCTCTTCATCATCTTCTGGAACAAATAACTTGGTCTTGTTCACCTTGACCTTACTCATGTCGATGGCAGAGACTGGAAGCTCACCTAGCTCCTGTCGAATCTGTAAGATGATGGGATTGGCCTCTTCCTGAATCTGTTTTGCAAGGGGGTTTTCCAAAGGAGCCTTGATGGGTGTGGGTGTGGGCTCCAATATACTGCCCTGTAAGGAAATCAACACAAACTTATGATTTTATGAACATACCATCTCTCCTTCTTAACTCCTCACTCAGTTCTTGTCTATATCTTTAAACTTTTCTAACAGTTCAATATCAGTTAACTACACGACTCATTCTGGTGTCACATACCAAACATCATGTCTTGGTACTTAATGAAAGGTATAAATACTTATTCAATTGAAAAAGTGAAAATTATTTTCAACTAAAATAGCTAAGACTTAAGCTAGGACTGCTGTTATTGAAAATACTTAAGGCACAAAGTGAACTACTGACCTCTTTTTCATCTTCGTAACAGATAGGATGGTATGTCTGTAAAAGTGTAAACATATATTTATATTACATTAATTGAAGCATCAGAACACATTGGCTTAGAGAAATAAACACTCTAAGTTAACATTTAAAATATCTTCAATTGTGTCTTGTTAGAATCTAACCTGAAGTTAGAATTCAACATTAGAAAACTCAGTTTCATGTCCATCAAATTTTTTATCTAGTTTCGGTGTTTTAGGAATATTATCCTCTACACAGGAACTGAACAAGGCAGTGACTTCATTCTCACCAAATACATGAAACTTTAGTTAACCCCAACAGTCATGACAGATGGCCACAAAAATATGACGAATCTGTTCAGGCATTCATTAAAAGCTATGTACAACAATAGTTTACTTCAAAACAGTTGAAGTTTGATTTTGATCATTCAAATCTAACAAGGTATATAAATGTCCTTATTGTAATTCTATGGCTTTCGATCCACATAAATAACAAATCTAGGTAAATTGTAAATAGATAATAACCTTGTTTTCCACACGAATGGCATCCCTCAAGTGCCACTCCTCTTGGTCCTCATCCCAGAACTGTTCAAATGGATCTCTGCAAATCTCACACATCTGCAAAAAATATTGGAATGCTCATCAAATCTTTCATTGAAGTCATCCTAAATCAGTATCAAAGATATCTGTCCTCTTGGTTTTAAATGAAATCACAAACCTTACTTATACAACTTGTGTCAAAAACAGATCTGAGATCAAAGCATGCAAGATTTCTGAATTGATTATAATATTGTTTCATAATTGGTAAACAGTATTAACAAGCATTTAAATACTTTAATAATAATCACAAACATATTTGCATGAAACAGGAGGTTGAAGACAAAGTTTACAATTTAGACAGAAGGTGAGAATGATAGATATATATATATGTATTAAAGCTGTATTTTTCTTCAGTACTTACGTCTCCCTTCTCCTCTCCAGTAGCTGGGGGACAATGGATGATGTCTGAACCCTCAGGGGCATTCACTACAGTCTCCTGGGTAATACTTGGGGCATTGGCTGTAGAAGCCATAGCCAACATCTTCTCAAACACATTACTGCGACCTGAGAGGAGAAAAACAAGAAAGCATGTAACTTAGAATGTTTAGGACAGAAAAATGTAAAATATTATTTAATAAGTATCATTTATCTATCATCATGGAATTTTCAATAGTTCATCCTTCGTGTACAATATAGCCTTTGATTTTGCTTGACATAAAATGAACAGCTATGGTAATTTTCTTTAAATGGATTAAAAAATCACATAAGATACCTTCAAAATAAAACATGCAAAGAAAATTATCTTATGTTCCATAACTTCCACATAAAAATTTGAACCTTTGTTAAAAGAAAAAAAAAAAAAACAACAACATAGTATATTTAAAATTGGACATTGACCCAGTAAGCCAATGTAAAATACCAAATGGTGTTTCCAGAAAAAGACAAAACATTTCCCCAGATTGTCTTTGCCATCCTTTTTACCTGACAACTATAAAAGGGCAATTTTATAAGAAACTCTAAATATACTAATACTGAAAATATATAACTTTTTACCTTTATCTTCAGATTCATCTATTTCTTCATATGTTATCCAGTCCTGCAAGGAAATAAATTAAAACAGAAGATATATTAAACAAAATCTCATTGATTTAAATGTCAAAACTTGCTAATAAAATGATTAGAATTGCACGTAACACTCAAGAAGTTTCAGTTTTCTTTCTATTTCATCACATTTCTTCAATGACTTATCAACATCATCAACATATCATATTATCATATCCTACTTACTGAAACATCATAGTACCACCGTCTGTACTTAGTGACTTTAGCATCATCTTTGTCTCGCCTGTTCTGTCGGAAATGCCAGTCTAAATGTTCCCTGTACCTCTCAGTCTGTTGAGCAGAGAAACGCTGACCACAAGCTGAGCACTGAATCCCTGAGAACAGACTTTGTATAACTCCCTCATGAAACCTGTAAAAAACAGATTTGTATGATTGATATCAATTAAATAACTATTCAGGGGTTCTGTTCTTTCTTTTACCACTTTTTGTTTACATTGTTACAAGTAATACCAGAATTGTTTCTTTGCAACCTTCGTCTTGTTTACATCGTTACAAGTAATACCAGAAACATTTCCTTGCAGCCCTCATCTTGTTTACATCGTTACAAGTAATACCAGAAACATTTCCTTGCAGCCCTCATCTTGTTTACATCGTTACAAGTAATACCAGAAACATTTCCTTGCAACCTTAGTCTTATCATCATAAAGCAAAGCTTGGTTATATATAAGATAAATTATGTCTTGATTTGGACTTTATAAGGTCAAAAAAAGGTCGCCTACTGCTATATGCAATTATATCCAGGATGTTTGTTTAAAATTTTTTGCGCTAATTCATCATTCCAAGTTTTTTTTTAAGTTCTTCATATTGACATACCGTATTTCACCACAATTAAGTCTTTTCCCCACTCTATTGTGTCTTCCAAGAACAGGTTAGTTGCTAACTACTAAGCCTCCCCCCCAAGTCAACAAAATATAACAATATAACAGGTAATGTCAACAATACCAAGTTGCTCTATTCCTCATCACTTGGGAGTGTGATTGTATAATCTGATGCCCTATTGTTTTCTGGTTTCATCAATATTACACTTACTGTTTCAGTTTTTCTGTCTTTAGTTCGGTCAGATCTGGTACATCTTTTATCTTAACTTGTTTAAACACCTGTGAAAAAAAAGTTTCTTTGTTGTAATCATATACACCAGGAGTATAATTTGTACATTTATATATTTATAAAATAAAATTTTGGTCTGTTAAAATCATCTTCAATGAAACTTCTACATCATGGAAATTAAATATGATCTGTTAAAATTATAGACACTTAAAAAAATAAAACAGCTACAACTTGAAAATTCTTAATAAAAGAAAAAACTCTATTGGACTGCTACATTTTACTACAACTAACAACATTCTTAGTATGATAAAAACGGTATAAAAACTGTACTCACTGGCTTAATGAAGTTATCCTTTGCAGTCGTCTTTTTATTCACATTTTTGCCACTTATCTCCGGTGGTTTAGGCGTTTCGGCTGTTTCGGTGGTGTCCTTGTCGCTGCTGACCTTGCCTGGGATGATACCAGTAGCCATGAGACGCTGAAGTAGTGAGTCTACATTCAACTGGTTAGTTGGTGCCTGTTGGACTGTGAAATAAAACATACTTTCATTGAAAACAAAATATTAAGCTTTTCATGAATCTTCGATGCTGCTAAAGGAAATATTGAAAAGCAAATATGCTGCAATTCATTAAATGATATGATTAGAATTCTCACAATGAAAACTTTTTTACTTCTGTTTTTCTTTCAAAATAATTATAACCAACAGAAAATTTATATTTTTTTGTTTGTTATATAACATGATTTATTTTTATAACATGCTTGTGTTTAGCATCTTTTAATGGAAGTTGTGAATTACACTATTTAACAAGAAACAACTGAAGTTATGCTTTAAAACATGAATGGTCTTGGTGAATGTGTGAATTGAATTCTGATGAAGATGGAAGCTGACTGATGAGTCACAGTGACCTACTTACCTGGTGCCTGACTAGGGAAACCAGTGGTCATTGTGCTAGACACAGCAGGCATCAGACCTGCAACAAGACATGTTGCTTATTATGAATGTATACACCCTCCACATAAAATGCCATTCATTGAAACAAATAAGATACCTAGCATTTATTATAAATATGCTTTCAAAGATTTCAAATGTACCTCCTGGCTTTGCATTATATTTAAGTGTTGTTCAATTTTCGATGATTCAACAAAAAAAATCATCAGATTCTTATATTGGCACAGTTTTAAGGTTAACTTTCATTTTCTGAAGGATTCTTAAAATCACTTGCCAATCTTGCAATACTTTTCTAAGTTATATCAAGACCTCAGTAAATAGTGAATTAAACACAATCAAATTCACTGGAAATATTCAAAGTCGATAGTTAGCAGAACATTATTAAAACGTGTATTGGTTCAGCCTCCTGAAAAAGGGTAGGCTGTAATGATGGAGCAATATGCACATTCAAAATTGAATTGACCACTTACATTGATAAAATCAAAATAAATTCATCATGTTATATTATCTCTGCTTACCTTGGATTTGTGTGGGAAGCATTGGGTTTTGCTGCATCACACCACCAAACCCTGGCTGTCCCTGGGATGCCACTACTTGTTGTTGTTGGAGGGGGTTCATCATGACCTGTCCTGGCTGTGGCTGCATCATTCCTTGCTGCATCAGTGGCTGAGAGTCCATGGAACTGCCCATTACCATTACTGAAGGGCCTTGTTGTCCTGGCCCAGAGGGCTGCATGTGCTGCACTGGACCATTGGGTCTTGGATCTTGCATTGCTGGAGGGCCACTCTCATACCGCATTTGCACAGATTCAGGTTCTTCAATAATTTCATCCAAAATCTTTACTTCTGGTGGAGGTCCTTCTAGCCTTACATATATCACACGGTTTCCTAAGGAGATCTCCTTGGCTGGCCCACCAAATTTCACTTCGAACCATTTGCCATCCAGAATCACCTCGTGAGCTGGTCCTCCAAGTGCCAAGTAATGAGGCCTGTTGTTGATTCGTATTTTCACACAATCGTCGACAGGAACCAGGTAATTGATATTGTCTACAATGATCTCTCTCGGGGGACCATCAAAGCGTATTCCCCTTTTTTTGTTATTGATTACAATACAGGGGATAGCTCTGTCTAGCTTCAGTTCACACATATTGCCATCAATTAAGATCTTGCGAGGAGGAGGGTCAAACCTGAACTCACAACGGCTATTGTCAATAAAGGCATATCTAGGTGGTCCCCCCACTACACCCATTTCTTTATTGTCTATCAGGATCATTAGATCTCGCCCATCAATGCGCATTGTATGCTCCTTGTCCTTAATGTTTATAATTTTTGGTGGTGCATCGACACGTAGTTCCCTCATTATGCCGTCAATCCAAATAGAGCGTGGCAAACCATGATAGAATATCTTAACATTCACACGGCCAATGTTTACATCTCTAACCATATCCCCAAACCTGTATACAATAGCTCCATCCAGACGAATTGCACGTTCATTTGGATCTGCAAAAACTTCTATAGTCCGTCCAGCTGCCCTAATCTTCCTTGCTGGTTGTCCAACAGCAATACCAAAGGGTCGTCCGTCAATAACAAACTCCTCATTTTCGTCAGGTCCCCGATAGCCAACAATCCTTCTCCACCTTGGGTCTGTGGATTGTTGCCGTTTGATAAATGGGTGCTGATGAGTTGGACCTCTATGTCCTGGTGGACCCATATGTGGCCCTCTGTCATTGTATGGTCCGTTCCTACCCTGTGGGCCATCTGGTGGACCTCTTTCATCTCTATACCTTGACCGCGGGTCATGATACCGTCCTGGGGGACCATCCTTTCTATAGCCAGGCTCATCATTCCAGTGACCCTGATTCTGCCAGCCCCTGCCTCCGTTTTCATTATAATTCCAGTCTCGATTATGATCACGGTTGGGTCCTGACCTCTGACGGCCATCTGGTCCCTGCCAGTCTCTAGGAGGACGGTTGGCATCCATTAGAGGTTCACGTCGTCTATCAAAGTCCCTAGGTGGTCCAAGTCTACTGTCATAGTCCCTATTGGGTCCATCCATGTGATTAGGTGGTCTACGCCTGTCACCAAATTCAGGACCGTGTCGAATATCTATGTCTCTGTTTCTATCCCGCAGGGGACCAGAATGATCTAAAGGAGGTGTCCGTCGTCGGTCAGATCCATGTCTGTCATCAAAGTCCTTGAGAGGTCCGTCTCTGTATCTACTAGGTCTCTGAAAGTCTGGTCGCCCTTCATAGGATCTGCTGTTGGGTGGGTCTTTGAGTGGTGATCTGTACTGCCAGCTATCTCTACCGCGGCGGTCTGTATCACGAATAGGACTACCATGCCTCTGGGCATTATCAGTGAACCCAAGCCGGTCTTGCTGGCGTTGTACATTATCCAATCTGGAAAGTTGGTGAAGTAATTCCTGATGCATATCATGACTCAAATCACCAGACCTCCGACGCTGCTCAATCTGTTCAAGAATCTCCTCCCTATGATCCAGCTGTAGGGCTGCAGGTATATGGACGGGTTTAGGACGCGGTCGGTTGTCGTAGTCTTGTACATCGTGGTCTAGGGTGTTACGAGTTGTGGACGACCGTAGATCTGTATCCTGAGGGAATCCTTCATGTCTATGATCCACATCCTTCAGAGGGTCAGATTCAGAACTTGCTCTTCGGTGGTCCACATCCTGGGCAGCCAGTTCTCTACCCTTTTGCAGATCCAACTCATATTTAAAGTCACCTGGATGGTTTTCTCTAAACTTCATCCACTTATCATGGTAGGGACTTTTCATTGGAGGAACAGGGCCATCCCTTTGGCTTCTGTAGTCTTGGTCTTCAGACCCAAACAAGGAGCTGTAAAATAAATAACAATATATTACTCTTCATTGGATTGCATTGTTGCTGTAAATGATTATCAGCAATGACAAAATAAATCTATATATCATACTAATTCTGTTCATTCAAAACCAGTTCCAGATGATTACTTCTATGTATCATTAGTTAACACAGGTAATACTAACCTGAGGTCCTCATCCATAACCTTGGCTGTACTAAGTTCAGGTTCCTCTTCCAGTCGAGCTTTCTTACTTGAACTTGGTCCATCCTCTGTAACATCACTCTCCTCCTTTTTATCTTCAAGATCTCGCTTCAGACTCTCCGGAGTCTGAGTGGGAACCTGTCGGTCATCGACATCCATGTCCTCTAACTGGGAGGCTACTTTTGGCACATCTTGTTGTAAGGGTTCAACAGCTGTCTCCTCCACCTTTTCTTTCTTTATTTCCTCCACTTTCTCAGGCTCCTCTATCTTAGGTACTTCTCTGTTGTCAGTATCCATGTCAACAGGTTCTTCCTTTACTTTCACACTTTCAACTTTTTCACTCTCTTCAGTAGTCTTTTCTACGACCCCCTTCTCTACTTTTTTACTTTTTTTCGAAGGAGACAGTTTTTTACTTCCTTCCTTTGAAGGCTTTTTCTCATTTTTCTCTCCTCTGTCCAGTTTCTCCTTTGCCTTATTTTTAGATTTTCTTGGCTCTGGAGATTTGGATTTCACTGGTGACCGTGACCTTGTTCTAGTTTTTGAACCACGTGTTGAGCGCGTACTTTCTCGTCGCCGATCATCCGAGTCATCACTACGATTACTCTTCCTGCTATCTTCATCAGAATCTCTGCTGCTTCTTTTATGACGGATATCATCCTTGTCACTTTTTTTTGACTTTGATTCACTTTTAGAGTCATTTCTCGTTTTAGGCTTTTCCTCTTTTGAACCACTGCTACTGTAGCTTGTTCTTGGACTTTCTCGTCGACTTGATGATGATGAAGATGAAGATGATGATGACTTACGATCCTTACCATCTTTATTGTCTTTTTGATCACGATCTTTCTCCACAGATGAACGTTTTGATTCGGAATGTCTATTATTTTTAGCACTTGTGCTGTTGGTATCACGTTTATCGCTGTGTTTACGATCAGCACGCATATCACGACTTGATCTAAAACTTTCCTTCCCATCCTTTGACTTGTGGTCAGTACTGGATTTCTGAGACAAATGTTGCAAGGAAGAGCTTTTACTCAATTTACTGTTTGATTTCTCATGACTATGCTTATCAGTCTTTGGATCTTCCTCTTTACTAGGGATGGCCTGGTTGTTGATATTGACAACAGGTGGAGGCACTGGTATACCCATTCGAGCTGTTGGCATGGGAAAGGGAAGCATGCCTGGTAGCACAATAGATCGTCCAGGTCCACCTGCAGGAGGAAGAATATTTGTTTGTGGCTGTATATTCATCACAGGTGGCATGTATCCTGGTACCATGCCAGGTGGCATCATCCCAGCAACAGTAGGTGGCATCATGTTTGGCAAGGGAGGCGGTGGGTATGCCATCAGAGAAGTAGGTACAACCATAGAAGTAGGTACAGAGGTCAATTCAGAATTCTCAACAGCTGCAGGACTACTTTCTGACTTTGACACCTGCGGTGGTGTAGAATCAGCAACACTTTTGCCTTTAAGACGAGGGTCTCTGCGGACTGAACGAGGATCCCTGGAGGCTAGGCGGGGGTCTCGGGTGGTGGGTCGACTAGGAGCACTAGTCACAGTAGGTACTGAGGTCTCAGTTAAGGACTTTGAGGTAGGAAGGATGGGTGGGTTCGGTATCTCCACTGGATCTATTGGCAAATCCTCAGAAGGCTGGGATTTACCAGAATTGAGCTGAAAAACAAAAGTTTGTATTCTTATTGGTACTGCAAAACTTTTAGTCCTGTAAATACATTCACCAATACATTATCCTGATATTGATTACTGTGATGCGAGTCTATACAACAAGAAACAACTTAAAATGACCAACATTAGGATAAAAATTACAAAATATTTCTATTACTGTTAACCACTAACTTTGATCTCCTAGAGACTTAAATTCTCATTAATAGAGTCCTGTGTGTAGCATACAGACTGTGGGGTCAGATTCCACTGCACCGAACCATGATCCTTGAACTTACCTGTTTTTGCTGATCTAGTTTGGCTCTAGTCTCCTTCAGTTCAAGCTCGAGACGTTGTTGCTGCAATTTGAGTAGTTCCTGTTGTTTAGCAATTAGTTGTTGGCGCATCAACGCCTCCTGTTCCTCAGTTACAGTGTCGTGGATGATGAGATCTTCGTCGTCCAAAATCTCTTCTTCTTTCTGCTATTAAAATAACAATTGTTTCCTTTAAATATCTAACATGTGTGAAAATTCCTGATAAATTCAAGGTGGATGCAACATTTGATGAAATGTCCAAATTGTTCATGGAAATGTACAGCAATTGAGTTTCCATAACTAGTACAGAATGCACTTTTGTTTCAAAAAACTTCATTTAAAACTGAAAAAAAAAACCCACTATTTATCTTACCAAAAAGTTATTTCCATAACGATTTAAAAACATGAATTTTGAAATTGAAATATATCCAGTCTAAGACTGGATTACAAGCCTACAAGATTTAGTCAGAATGTGACTTACAGTAATTACAAAGACCAACGTGGTCCTTTGGACCTGGTGACAAAGCAGTTAACAGGATTTAGGTTTAAAATGCAAAATATACCTCCAACTTCACTTACATTGCATTGTCTGTAAGTATATTGGTCTTGTCACCTTGTGAGAATCACACTTATTATCCAATATACAGCAGACTATTCTCTTTTAGCACTATGTTTCTTACAAACAAGAATTGACAGATCATTAGCCGAGAAAGCAACATTTTAGAACTTTAAAAACTATTTTGTGTGCTAACCTTTGAAAATCAATATAATAGTGTTCAAATGTAAAACACCTATTTAACAAAAAAGAAATTCTATTCGAGCAGGCCACCAACAGCTTATTGATGAACACTTGCTATGCAATATTACTGTTCTCACTTTTCTCATTCATCATGTTCCCCCCCCCTCCCAACATCTCCTGAATATGCTGCAACTACTTACCTCTTCCCCCTCCCCAAAATAATCCTATCAAATTGTGAAATCAAAGGCTGATCAAGATCACTTAATATCAAAAACGATGACAGGTTGGATATTTTTCCAGTAAATTTCTACCATTTATCATTTAAGTGTAAATCTTAAGGAGACATTGAATAGTAATTATTTAGTACTATACAACACCTGTCAACCAAGCCTACCTTTGCAGCCAGGAACTTTGGGTTGACATGGATACTAGACTCAACAGGTGGCTGGGCAGTGATCGGCCAAGCTGGATCCACAAGGTTCACTCGTACATCTACAGCATATAGTTTCCTATTTGGAAATATTTCGTTCCACGTCTGTCGTACTTTGAACATACATTGTCTTGTTTTCTCATCCACCTAGCGAAGGCAACCAGAGCACCAGATAGTGTTATTATAAATTAAAATGCAATTTTAGTTTCACACACCCTTCTAGTAGTCATCCTGCAGAGGTATGGTGATCAATACCCCCTCTGCCCAACTCCCTCAAAAAAAAAAAAATTGTAATGGTAAATCATCGCAGTTCCTTAATTTTACCGATTCTTGTTTTTGTCCTTGTTCCTAATGTGAATATCAAATTCATCACAACCATGTAAGATCAACACATTCCCCCACGCATCCTTGTTGAATTTGATATTCCAGTTTGGACTATCCTGTACATCATATTACAAACATTTTTTCTGCAAAACATGAACAGATATCTTCTCTTCCAAATTAGATATAATCAAATATTTAATCATTTGATCACTTTTGTGATACAAATATTTAATACTCTAACAACAACTGTATACCATAGTTTTCTATTATTATTATTTCAACATCAAGTTTAACAAATGTCTATTATTATTTTGTTTTCAAATAATATTTATTTTGAAGCTAATATTCGTCATCAGTTATTACATTTAAAATGCGGTAATCAAAGATTCTTTAGCTGACAGAATACTGATCACTTCTAAGATTTAACTTAGTTGCTTCACGATACTGTTGGTTAACAGACACCTGCCAATTAATACTAAAATGATGACCTGTGTTTCATAGCTGAAATTGACCTCAATGTATAGCAATATCATTCAAATTGTATTTAAACAGAATATCTGGTGATAGAAGTGATGGCTTTGTCCTTGACCTTAACCAGGGGAGACAATACTATGTGAAGTTTGATCAAAATCTGTTATACAGGAAGAACACCAACTATTCAAGCCTCTTGGAGGCATGTCACATTCACCTATATATGGGTAACAAAAATTTGACCAGAACAACAGACTTTGATATCCTGAAAAAGTTCTTACAAAGCCAATTTAACAATCTTAAATACTTGAATAGATTTTACCTCAACCTGAAACAGATTTAATGGTTTTCCTCATACTTTACAAGTATTGTACAGATATTTGTGCAACATTTAAGCAGCAATGATTTTTTTACCATTTACACAGTTGTACTGTATGTAAGGATGACCGGTTGTACTGTATGTAAGGATGACAAGTTTTACTGCATATGAATTATGACCGGTTGTACTGTATGTAAGGATGACCAGTTTTCTTTCAGGTAATAAATGACCAGTTTTATTTCCTATAACTTATGACCAGTAGTGCTGCCTATAGTTTTATGACCAGTTGTACTCTAATGACTAGTTGTTCTGTATTCAATCAATGATCAGTTGTACTGCAAATAATTTATGACCAGTTATATTGTATGTATGTAATGACCAGTTGTACCGTTTGTATGTAATGACCAGTTGTACTGTATGTAATTCATGACCAGTTGTACTGTTTGCATGTAATGACCAGTTTTACTTATGTAATGACCAGTTAAAGTGTTTGTTTTCAAAATCATGACCTCCACAATGTGTCAATAATTGAAAGACAAGCTGTTAAGGACATGCAAGTTAGAATGGAATTGTGTTTGCTGAACAGTCAAACTTCATTAAGTGTCAGGTGGAGGATCATAAACCTAGTGTCATGTTATCAAACCTGAAAAGTGCTAAAAGTTGGCAAAATCTTGGATATAAAACTGACCTGTTTAATGGTCTTGAACCGATATGTGCAGAGGCCATATGAGAGCAATGACTTTAAATTTGATACAAGACTATATCATGTATTAGCTTTTTTCAACTACATAAACCAAGAGTGTTAACTCTGAACATAAAATGAGATATACTTTCAATAAACAGGCAATATCCAAGTAGGCTTCCTTGAAGGATAAATAGGTAACAATGAAAACAGCATGTTTTCTTCTTGTTTTTTATAACCAGGAAAAGAAATTAGAGTCGTATGTAAAGTGCATGAATTCAGACAAAATGTCCTGCAAGGTGATAACCGCACATACGAAATTGGATCCAATATTCAATGAGTGGTTCAAGATTTTTCAATTACTTCAGAACTGACAACTTGGATATTATATTTGATAGATGTGATGATTTCAGAATTAGAAATTAACTGTGACTATGAATTCAGATGACAGATACGAATACTGGAAAAAAATAACTTAAATATTTTTTACAAGTCCCGTGGACATTTTCACTCCTGAGCAAAGGCAGCTGTTTTCCAAACATCCAGAGATAAGAGACAATTGTTTGCTCTTTAATGTTAGTAAATCCATGAAGTGATGGTCAGATTGTTGTAAGTTTGACTCCATTACATTTCTGATTTAGAAATCCTTTCATCTATTTGACTTGTTGTAAACATACCACACTGCCATATCGTTTAGTGTTTTCATTTTGAATATAACAAGAATTTCTTTCCTTTAAATGGCAAGTCCTAGATTAAGTACCAAATTCTCCATCTGTTCCACAGTCCATCTCCTGGATAAGTACAATTTCCTGTACATACACTGAGACTTATATTCCACCAGGAAACAAATGTACCATGTACTGCAGTGTGTGCAATCTCAGGAAAGTACATAAATTTCATTTTATTTCTTCTCAATTTTACCACTTCAATTCAATACCTGCAGGTTCCATAATAGTCTCAAGATGAAGGGCATGTCTCCATCTCAACGAAAGTATCATAGCTTAATCTAACAACATTATCAGAGTACCGAGTTAAATAATAACACAATTTCAATGTCACATGTGATGGTGTTGGAATGAAAGGATTCCTTTACTCATATATATATTTATGAATTTGATGAATTCATACTAAACATCTCAATTTCCATTTGATATCTCCATGAAAAGGAAAGAAAATAAATTTAAATTAAACCAAGTATCCTGAAAAGATAGTTTGTCTCCAGTCATAGAAGAAAATTTCAAATATGAAATGGAAGAGAGTATGCAAAGAACATTTTCTTCTGAAAAAGTATTTGTTTTACCAATATTCTCATAGGTTAGGCATTTCCTGTCCTGACTTCCTCTTTATTTTCAAAGATAAGCGGGATTTGACATATTCCTTAGATCAATTCATAATAAGAGACCAAAGAAAAAGACAGAAATCCTAAATTCATTGTCATTTCATGCATGTTGTATGAAAGGTTACATTACAGGGAGTCTCTGGTGAGCAAATAACAAGAAAAGATTGATAAAATTAAGATAAAGAGATGAGTGATTCCTCAAATAATGGGACCCTTGTAGCAAATCATACTTCTGTTAAGTAGGATTTTACCTTAATGACTTGGCTGTAAACTGTCAAATGAAAGTTGCCCATCATTTCCATGTCAAGAAATTATATCGGAAAGATTTTAAGATTGTAGGTTTCTGGAAACAAATGCTTGTATAACTTAGCATGCAGTCGATTGAATAACAGCAGAACAATAAAAACTTATAACAAGAGGTTCCTTAGTCTTTTTATTGGTTCTATTAAAGTTGGATTTTTTTCTCTGATTTTCTCATATGAACAGCTAGTTTTTCACCTTTATTACTTTCCTTTCAAACTCTTTTGTGAATCGCTGGGTCCATTTACTTGTACAATTAGCAGGCTACAAAAGACAAATCTGATTGCCCCAAAAGAACATTTTCAGAAATGTGATTCATCATATCCACGTTATAACTTTATTTTTGCACTAACACATGGAATTTTTCTTTCTTTCCTTATATTCAAAACAGAAATGATTATCAGTATGAAATGTGTTACTGCATGATGATTGATGAATACTAATGAACATTTTCTCCTCTGTTCAGCATGGTACATGGTATCAGAATGATCGGACTTTTAAAAAAAATTTCTTTCCATATTCTTTTGCCATAATTTCCTTATCAAACTTCTTAATGCTAGTTTGACTAGACAAGTTACTTCAATACAATGCTTTTTTTCTTTTGGATTTTTACTGAATGCATTTTGTTAGTTCTAAAAAGGATCTGTAAGACATGCAAACTCAAACTCTCTCAAATCATTAAGCTTCAAGACTTGAAATGTATTGAACACAAGATTCAAACACCATTTTATTAATATTCCAACATACCAAAAACACTATCAAAGTGATTCACTGAAAGAAATTCCTCACTTTCACCAATACTGACATTCCCATCACCTCGTATCATCACAACTATCTGTTCAGAGTCTTGCAATAAAATATAATTCCCTACAAAATAATTTTCTAAATGACTGCGGCACATATGCTACCTCACTGTGACAAAACTTCTCATTCCCAATCATATTACAACAGGTCAATACCTTGCATGAATAGATATGCAGTAAAAAATTTCAAGGGACATATGCTCATACAAAACTCTGACATGAATTGTACAGCAGTTTCTAGCACAAATCCCTATTGATTCAATATTATCCATTAGATTATATATACATCATACATATTTATGAAATATTTTTATTCACTCATTCTTTCAATGAAACATTCTGTCAAACACTTTCAAAGACATCATTCGTCTTCAAAGGATCAACATGATGAATCATTATGTACACTGTGTTACATGTGAGGATGACACTGGATGCTAACCTTTTCAAACATTCCACAGAACACTGAGACAATGTTGTGAGAAAAAAGACTTGGATATGTGGTCTTGGGCAAATTCTTGACAATGGAGTCTATTAGATAGAGCGATGGCAGTTTCTTCTTTTCATCCGCCTGTTAATACAAAAACAGAAAACATGAAATACAGACATAAATCCTTCTTCATCTCCAGAAACAGTCCAGACCTTGAAAATCTGCAATGAGAAAGCACAGCTATAAAAAGATATACAGTAAAATCTGAAACCAGGCTCCCACAGCCCACTCTTTCTTCCCCTCCATGTTGTTCTAAACACAACATGAAATTATGTTTTACATTACCTGTAAGATATGAGATTTAAACCATTGAAAGATATCAGAAATAATCGTTTTAATCTCTTTTGAAAATATTGCACTTTATACTTACCAAAACAGGATTATTTTGAAATTTTCTCTTTTTAGTTTTGTATATCATTAAAATGACTTTCAATAATGTTGAACTACAATTACTTATGAATACTTTTTTTTTTGAAAACTTTGGCATGCTGTTATTTCTTTTTCTCGCTTGCAATCAGATATTCTTTAACATCGTTTGTTGAATTGGTCAATATCAATTCATACTATAGAAATATTGGACATCTCCAGTTTGTATATAAATCCAGTATAATCACTCAAATTGGGCAGTCAGATGTCATGTTTGGCTGTACAACATTCTGAGTGCACACTTTCAGGTATCAAACCTTAGTTTCAAGTTGTTTGGTTTATGACCTTTTCATTCCCCCAAAAAAACTTTCCATTTACACAAATTATTTCACAAATAAATCTCTTTCACTTTCAAATGTTTCCTATGCATAGGTAAATAAATTTAGTAGTTGTTATATATTGCATTTTTAAAAAGATTTTTTCAGGTGAGTCCAGAGTTCCATCTGAAAAGCACAAGTCCTGGCTGAAATAGCGGAGTCCCAGAATATCACTGTATATATCTATACTATGGACTGCTACCAAATTAAAGCAAAACTTTTTTCCCCAGATCAAATACCACTTTGTATACAAAATGATCCCTGAAAGTGCACAACCAATTAATGGTGAACATTTTCCAATTTGTAACACCAACTACCTCATTAACTAGATCATTAATTACAAAACTTTTCAAAAACTTGACTAATTCACATATACACTGTTGTAATTTCTCCCATTACTAAAATTACTAGTATGGTGCTATGGAAATGTTACATCATGTATAATTGGTCTGTTGTGTCTCATTCAACATGTCAAAGGTCTGAAGCACATAATGCTTATCAGTACACCTGATGTATTTCCATCAATTCTTCAAATATTCCACTATGGATTGCAAACTATCGTGATAACCAATGCAAATGTCAAAATATGTTCACAAATCATAATTCTTCAATTTTTACCCTCTGTATACTATCAGTCCAGTAATTTACAGTAAGAAGTCTGCGATCAATTGATTCACTTGTACCATATGGAAGCTACAGTCTACCTTGTATCTTCCGATGTCTATGTAATGTATTCATTCATTACACAGAAGCAGATAAAATTACACCATTATTCACCATATATGATTGAAATTGAAAATGAATTTACAGATCAAGCTGTGTCCGAAATTCTAATATTTAGATTGTTTGAGATAGATTCTGATTCCAGAATGAATACATTACATATTAAATGAATGATCCAAGTATATATGAATGTTTGATACACTGCATGGCTTTTTCCAAGTCATTACTTCCAAATGGGTCAGAATTTCAATACTTTGCATGCTTGACACATTCACACATTTTTTTTATTCATTATAAAATGACCAAATATGAAAATGGATACATCATGGACCGACAAGGAAAAAAAGCCATGCATCTAGGGTACCAGAAGTGAATGAAATTCCAGACATGAACCTGAAAAGGTTGCATTTTCATGAAATATGGTATGTTTTTTAGAAATTTCTAGAGGGTCAACAAATCTATTAAATATGCTTATAAGAGACATGAAAAATCCCTGCAACCATATTCAGAATCATGCCAAATTCAGTGGGCAAGGAATATCAAACTCTGACAAATAATTTGTTGAAAATCTTTATTTCAAAATTTATATAACAGTCCATGTCATTCCAGCCACGGGGCTGAAGAAAGCAGGAAACCTGGTTCCTTTGGTTGAGTCGTCTTTTTATGTCTACAGCTATCAACACAGAATTTACACTCCGGTATGTATATCTGTGTCTTTGAATGGGACAGCGAATTCAAGTCAAAAATTACTGTACAGAGGACAGTAAGGGATCAAATTTAGACAAAAATCCATACGACCATGCCAAAAATATTCCATATTACAGAATTTCCCTCCTGACCCATGTATAGAAATCAAAGCAGATCTATATACATTACATTAGTATATCCATTCAGGAATGAAATAAATTCTCCAAAATAAATGTCATCAGATGCAGTTTACATTTCCTTTAAAAACTTTTTCAGAATAAGTGCGTATTTCTAAATTAGTAGAATCTTGATGTTTAAATATTGTAGAGAACATGGACATGTGGATTTTTATCAAAATGGTCCGATTCTGTCTAGATTTATTGTTGTCAGCTTGTCATGATCGCTTTAAAGCATATGTAGTCATATAAAGGTCAAGGAAAATCTGCATCAGTGATTATGTCATTTGGTATGCTTTCATCATGTCCATCACTTATTCAGTGCCATGTACTAGCTATTCACATTTACAGTAATTTCTAGATAATACACAAGTAATGTTTTTCTAAGTATGCGTAGTAACTTGTGAGAGATGGTACATTGGTTGCATTCAGTGACCCTCATTAAGGAACCTATTTTTTTGTAACCATGGTCATAATGAGCACGACATGTACTTTCCTGTTAGCTGTGATTCCACAATGTAAATAACAGATTATGCAACATTTTCTTTGGACACAAGATGAATATCAAGTCCCAACTGATATTACAAACTGGTACAGACTACTTTTAGTGTGCATACTTATTATTTTTTTCTGAAGTCTTCACAACTAATGCGGTGTGTGCATGATAAATACCAGGAAAACATATATTTTAGTATGAATACAATGTTCCAGCAATAACTAGTACAAACCATTTATTCTCATAAAGGTTTCAAACTGTATCGGGACCAGTGCATTTCATCCCCACATGAAATTGCAATTTTCTTCATAAGCTTATGAAAGTAGATAATTTATGGCGAGATAAGTCACATGATTTCTTTTATGAGGGGAAGAAGGGAAGGATTTTAAACTAGCAGTTACTCATACCCTTTGTGCTCTCGATGTATCACTTCAAACTACATGTCATGTTTTGTCAAATATCACGAGTACGCAAGGTAAACATCCAATGATTTCATTAGTAAAAGAGAATGTCCTTATTGCAAATTATTCACATATCAAAGTTGGTTTTCTTATTACAACCAACCGGGTCTCAGAAGATGTTATAAACCAACTGTACTCCTGTGTTCATGAAACGTTTTAAGTCATTTAAATTAGATTTTGATTATAGATTAAATTGTCATTTTAAGAGAAGAAATCTGTTTCAGTTGGCACTGCCATTACCTTTTCTGAGCATGAATAATGTTCAATTACTACTTGACTTCAATTTTTATGATATGGATGACATGACAATCAGAACTACTGCAGATCACAAACAAAGTCTGGACAATGCTCCTTGGATTCACCACCAGACCATATAAATAGTGTTTTCCCATGGGGTTTTAGTAAAACAATTAAATCACAACTTTTAAAAAAATTTCAAGTTTTTGCATATATATTTATCTGGTTCACTAATTACTTACATGAAAGTTGATAATCTTACAGCGAAAAAAAGAAAGAAACAAATGATAATGGGCTAGATCACTGCCCTAAAACCGCTAAGCTGGGAAAACACACAAGTACATAGCAACAATACAGAAAGTATGAACAAGTGTGAACAGAACATATACATCATAGACTCTCCAGTCTTCTTCACCATCTGGCTTGACTGAACCTCATCATCTCTCAGGCATTTCTGTCACAGCTGACCACATCAATCACCTCTTCATTGGTCTTCGCCATCACATCACTTCTTCAGTTGTCTTCATCAAATATCTTCTTCATTTCTTTTATTCTTCAAACAAATTATTTTTCATAACACAATAACATCAATTACACTGCAGTAGTTCTGTTGGTAAAACCATCCATACAATTGAAGACTAAGTGACCATAACTTTCTTTATGGTTCTCTTCAAAATAAGTTAGGTAGAATTATGCTAAGATTTCTCAGCTTAGCAGAAAATAAATGTATTCCACTTTTTAAAACAGACCTCATCTAAGTATGCAATTAAACTTTACTAATATAAACCAACACTGTCAGTTTAAAAGGGAAAGTTTGTTGAAGTTGTCAGCATTAAATTTTTTTATTAATCAAAAGAGAAAAATTCTTCTCTGTTTTGAGCAAGTCATTCTGTGGTATGTTTTTAGATAATTTGGGTGATGGTTCAGAGGCCTGCTGTCCAGGCCAGTCAAATTTTCAACCAGACATGTTATAGTATAGCAAGAAACAAGTCATGGTGTCTTCCAGAATTATTTCAAGAATTTCATAAATATTAGGGTAAATATAATGTTTTATATGTGAGATGTTGCATTAATTTTATACAACTGCTAGTTTAACTTCTACTAATTTCTGTCCTATAACAGAAAAGTAACACTTAAACAATTCATGTAAGAAGTATTTGATAACCTTTTTGACCAAATAGACATGATGCAGTCTAAGCATTACAAATTTTATGCAAAGCCTTAACTTATAAGGGAACACATGAGCACTTCTGCTTCAGCAAACTTTCAGTTCCAACAATCTTTTGAAGTATTGCATTTTAATCTTATACTTACTCTATTTAAAATACTTATGATACCACTTTGTCTCTGAAATGCAGTCGGTCAATATTGATTTTTTAACTTTTTAAATAAAAACATAACACATTTGACTACACTTGCACTCACAAAGAGGTTCTGAATATTATTGATTTAAATTTGGTGGTTTAGATTAATGTAGTTGCAATACTGCCAACAAATTTCGGAGATTTTTATTTAAATACTTGTGCCATATTATTTCACGAATGAGAAATTCTTCCACCTTAAACGTCACATTACTAGCATTCTATATGTCTATGGGTTGGTTCCTGTATGTTGGGGTAGTCTGATATTGACAAGTCACACGTGATATATCAAGGATACTTTAACTTTATATTAGTTATCACCAGTGCTTTTGCTTATCTCAGTGATCAGTCCACAATTTATTTTCATGAGTCCTTTTCAACTTTATGCTAATATTGCTAAAACAATGGGTCCCGCAATGCAAATTTTAAAGTATTTCTGAGTTCCATGAAAATTCCATAAGTCCAGGACTCAAGACTGACATGTAGATTGATCACTGTTATCTGTCAGTAGGTACATAATCCAGTTATGAAATGCACATATGGTAACTGGATTTGCTGATATGTAAATGGTTACAAATTCAAAAAATTCCAGTCCTAAAATTATCATTGGATTTCTCAAAGAAACTTTCCATTCTGTTATTGGCTCATCATAAGCGTCACTGTTAACAAAATACAGACACTGCAATGTCATCTTTATTCATATATCAGCAAGTTGTACACAATAAATATACAATGCCAAAGATATGTACTCATAAAGACAACAATATATAGCCTGAAAAACAAATTAATATAGTAGAGAAGGGATAAGAAGATTTCTTTAGAATAAACAAATAAAGACACATTACAAAATAGCAAAATAAGCATGAAACGAAGTTGTTAATTTATGAACAGCTGTTTCTTGTGATCAGTCACGTGACTAAACAGGGTGAACAACGAGAACGACTATACAGACTAACACATCATTCAATTCAACGAAGCGAAATAGACTATATTGCTATAACCATAGTATTATAAATCGAAAAAATAATAGAAGACCTGATTTATATGCGATTCGATCACTTCGACAATATGCGATGCATATTGCTCGTTTTCTTCTGCCAGCATGGTCAGCATGTTGATCAACGGCTTGCTGTTGCACGTCAAATCCACCAGGGACGACTGATAGTCGCTGATAACTTCGTTCTCCATCTTCACGTACGAATTAGTAAAAGTCTTTCACACAAATGGTGTAATCACAGGCCAAAAATGTTCATAATGAAAAACAAAATGCCACTCCACACAACCTTCCTTGTTCCTCGTACATTGCAAATGGCGAATTTCTATCGATGACGTCAATATTTGTAAGGCGACATGTGATTGGTTACTCTTCGGTGAGTGTGCCAATCAACATCTTTGTTATATTATAAGATGGCATACGTGCTTTCAAATTTATATGAAAAATATCAAATTTCCACAGAAAGTGGAAGATAACTTTCGGAAACTCAAAACACAAGCGTTTTCAATTCGATGTTGTCTCAAACAAAAAAAAAATGAAACTTTCTTCCTTTTATTTTTATTCTTTCCAATATAGCAATGATTGACGAATAAAGTCAGAGAGTATCCAAAAGTATATTTACTTCCGGGTGGATGATAATTTTCTATCTGAAATGTATTGAGCTATGTGAAATCTGAAGACCCGTCATCAGTCGACCAACTGTACGATGAAACTTTGCAAGTGAAGAACATGGAGCAATGTTGAAACCATAGGATTTTTTTTCAATATACAGGTGATTGTCTTTAAAGAAACTGGTATGTGCCCGTATTTGAGCAAATGAGAGCTCAATGCTACCTCATCCATACTATAGACACCATAGGGAGATGGCCATTGTGAATTTATGTTGCAGGTCTAATAAATAAAGAATAAGAAACTCGAACCTATTCGGAAAAAATGTCTGAAACACATCATTGGCGACTGTCAATTATAGGATAACAGCTAAGGATATCTTAAGATCTTCAGTGGACGCTAGCCAATTATATGGCCACTATGTCAGACTCTGTACTGTAGTGTAATTTTACTAAATTTCAGCATTTTCCCATTTTCCCAATTTGATTTCAGTTTTCACTGTGTGTGATTATATTACTTCCAGTGGCAGGCTATTCCAAGTGTATATTATGATATTCGAGAAAGACATTTTCCTGCTGTTTAGTCTGCAGTGTTCTTTTCATTATTTATCTGTATGCACTTCATAACACTATGAATGTTTAATTAACATCTCTTAGTGGTACTATATCAGAGTAGTACAACCTTACCAAAGGTAGGGCCATTTTATACAAGGGTTGTTTTTAGCAGTGAGAAGTAACTGTACACAGTGTAAGACGTTTTAGTACTTGGTTGTTTCGGTAGACAGACATTTCAGTACCTTTACAAGATCTTTACTTTTCCCCGGACCTTTTATTGCTCTCTTCTTTTCAGGACCAAGATTTATAATGAAACAATCAGATAAGTTTATTATGTAAACCAGCTATAAAATGTTGTAATCATAATCATGACTTCTTGAAATGGAAATCATCAAAATCTATCTATCTTTATATTTAATGAGTAATTCATCTTCTGATATGTGACGTCATTAAATTGAAATTGCAGTAGTTTGTCTAAGTGTATGTATTTTAATAAAAAATTGAAACATATTTGAAGTATCAATTGAAATTCTAAAATTGGGAAGTTGTGAAGAAAAGTGGTTGTACAAAATTAAGATATTGTCCATACCTGTTTAGGTTCTGTGCCTGACTGAGTTGAATGTGCATGTGTTGTACTATTATTATTAATATTAATTATCAAACCGGAACTGGATTTTTGACTGAGGGACGCTACACTCTTTGTGAGTTTTTGTTTGTCCAAACATCAAAATATGGAGGACTTGTTGTACGTAGTGCACAGAAAAAAAAAATTGAAAAATTATTTGTCTTTTATGTTGCAAAATGATAATTGAAAATTTTAATTGAAGTATAAATCACTGAGTACATATGGTGTGGCAAATTTTATATTAGTTGATCTTTACTTAATTTATAGGCATTTCCATAAAGCAGTACAATGGAAGATTATAAATACCTATTCAAAGTAGTTCTGATTGGTGAGGCTGGAGTCGGAAAAACATGTCTTGTGAGGAGGTTTACTCAGGTATGTTGTAGATATTAAGTGCTCCTTATTTTCAGTAAAAAAAATTCTGTTTCAAACCTACACTCCGAAAAAAAAGTGAAGAAAATACAAATAAAGCAGAAGCCATAAAATTGCATTGCTAAATGGGGGATTTTCTGTTACCTAGTTGGAAAAATGCTTTGTTTCAAAGTAGCTCTTGTGGAGTACAAGTCGTACTTCTTTGGTTATCAGATATAAAACATCTACAATGTCCATGTCATGCAAAAGATATAGTATATTAAATTTCCATTAATTACAAATTAATTATGAATATTTGATCTAAAAACCATTGAAGACTGTTCTCATTATCTATTAAAAGAGACATTGACAATGATTATTTTTAATTATCATTGAATTGTCTTGCAACTTGTAAAATGGGATGTGAAATGTCCTAGTGAAGAATGTTCATTTAAATTGTTGATTCACATTCATAACTGATATCCCTTCATACCCTAAGGCTGTGTTTTGTTTTAGGGCTTATTTCCACCTGGCCAAGGAGCAACTATAGGTGTTGACTTCATGATCAAGACAGTAGAAGTAGATGGCGAGAAGGTCAAGGTAGTTGATTTTGAAAACTCATTGCTCAATATGAAATAAGTTGTAATTTTGACAATCAGTCAGTACACTTATTGTGTATAATGACTCTAGATTTGAGGAATATTTCAATAAATTTGTACACATTTGTTCTACGTTATAAATAATAAGTCAAAAAAGGAATCACGCCATTACACACACCTACATTTTATATTTGTTTGTGTTACAGCTACAGATTTGGGATACAGCGGGTCAGGAACGCTTTCGCTCCATCACACAGAGTTACTACCACTCTGCTAATGCCCTGATTCTTGTATATGATGTTTGCTGTCAACAATCCTTTGACAGTCTTCCGATGTGGATAGAGGAAATAGAGAAATATGCCAGCACCCAAGTCTATAGTTACCTTGTTGGTCAGTTCAGTAGACACCATATTTTCCAGATTTTAAGCCACACCTAAAACTGGCCCTGAGGCTTATAAATTGATGCTGCTTATAACCAGGGAAATACAGTATATAATTTCCTGCAATTTGTATATAGTCACAAATTCATATATATCTGTATCTATATATAATTTGTATTATTCGTATCCATGTATATATAGACTTTGCAATCCAGATGCACATTGTGTAATAGACAATTTGCCACTGTGATCATGTCAAGAATTTTTTGCTGTCTATCACCACAACTTCCAAACATACATTTAAAGGATGTCAGAGTGGTGTATTTGGTTTGGCATTTGTCAAATTTCTTGGCCAGACATGAGTCAGAAATTGTTTTCCAATGTCACTTGTGTTACCATATATATATAGGTAACATTATAGTTACTGAGAATTTCAAATGATCTTGAATACTTTGTATACTCTGTTGAAGTCAAAAAGATATTTAAGCATTCAATGATAAATAATTTAATTATCACATTTTTCATAAATATATCATAGCAAATTTGTTGTTTTATTTACTGTAACTGCTTTTTGATCATTTCAACGTAAGAAACTCCCAGGCTTGGTTATTCAGTATTGATGTATTTTTTTTTCTTTTTACTGTTGACTTATATCATTTCCGATATCTAATGTAAGAGATGAAGATATCTATAGGTTAAGCACACAGGATATTCATAAAACTATTGAATTCTGATATAACTCGACACAGAAAAGATTAATTAAGAATTTCAGCTGATGTTGGATTTTATTGTCTATACTTATTTCTTTATTTTTTAACAGGAAACAAAATTGACCAGATCAACCAAATTGAAATCCCACAATCTATTGGTCAGCAGTTTGCAGACCGTTATGAAATGAAGTTCTTGGAGACATCTGCAAAAGAAGCAGACAATGTTGATAAACTGTTTTTTGACATTGCACATCGATTGACTGCCCAAGCCAAACAACAGGAACTGGAGGTTGATAAACCAGTCAGCTTCAATGCGAATAACACAACAAATATCTCCAACTGTTCAGGCTGCTTAAAGTTTTGATAGTCCTGTCACTGAGTTTAGAAACGGATTGCATTATCAGAATGTTTGAATGTTGAATAGTCTCTCTCGTGAAGATTCTAGTCTAGAATTCTGTATCAAGGGTCTACATATAGTAGACTAAACAAAAAGTACTGGTTGTCTGAGCTAAACAAATGTATCTATAATCTGCTTTGGTAGTGTACACTATTTTTCTTCGGCATCTGCTTCAGCTGGCTGTTTTGCAATTCAGCAACAGATGAACCAATGTTGCCAATGTAACATAATAGCAAGCACTCCATTTGATTCAGTGCATGTAAAATTTTTGTTTGAATGCATATGACATTCAATTTTCCCGCAGTTTCATCCACATTGATTAAGGAAAACTTTAGGAAACAGTAACTTGAAAAGGGGAATAAGCATTGTAGAATAAATGAAACTTCATGGATAATTTTCACACATTACAACCTGTTCAGAGCATACACTGTCATTGTAAAATACTATATATAAATACAACTTGATTTATTTTACAACAACAGTGAAACAAGTCCCTTCAACTGATATTATTCACACTTGTTAGCCCATTATGGAATACAAAATTAAAATCCTGTTTAAACTTATTGATAAGTTAACGGTGTACAGATACTGCCAGGCACAGATCAACTTTCCTGTCCTTTGCTATATTGATTATATAAATATTTCTTTTTTTTTTGAATTTGTCTTCATCTCTGTTTCATATGACCAAGGAAAACCAAAATAAAATTTCGACAAAGAAATTTCATAAATAATAATGAATATGTAAACATTCACATTAACTATTATACTTTTTACATTACTGTTGTACAGATTATTTACATATTTGTTTTGTCAGCTAGTTTTAGAACTACAAACCTAGAGTTTTAACTTAATGAGTTTACATGTTTTGCAGCGATGTTACAACACAATCTATAAATCTTGGATAATGAAGAAAATCTTAATTGTTAATACCTAGAATAATGATGCTGGACATTACTTTAAAGCTGAAAATAATTATGAAATGCAATTTTTGGATATCTTTGTAGATACAGTTGTAATTTATCTCTCTGAAAGACTTGACTTTGAGGAAATTTTGATATGTTTTGGATTGTTTTAAGAAAATGTTTCCGTTATGTTAATCACTCACTTGGATTCCTTGTTTGATTTATCTTGAAGTGTTCTCTGTTTCCACTTTTTTTTCTTGGACCAGTGGATTCTCCTTACACGATTGTCAAACATGTAAATGGTGAGTTTTTGTTTATCAAAGAGGAAACATTTAATGAAAAGTCATTGTATATGATAGATATTACACTGACAGCAAACTCATAAGAATGGGTATGCCATTTTTTTTTTTTTTTTTTTTTGTTAATTAATGTATTTTTTTAACTTGTGCCATATATACCCAGTATATACATGTATGTCTTCCTGTCAGTGAACAACTAAGTATTCTGGAAAGAACAAATGAATTAGAATGTTCAGTTATAGGGTTGATAGTGTGCTTGGAAAATAGATTATTCTATAGAAATAGAATATTGCTCTTCTTGTTCATGGTTGTAAGCAATGACAAAAATGAATAACTGGACAAAAGAGAGAGACTGCATAACAAAATGGCTATAGAATCATGATTATATCTAATTTACATATATACCTAAGAGTCCCAGTTTTTGACCTGGGGCTGACCCCTGGTAGGATAAAATATATATTTGAAGCAATGCACAGATTGCTATGATAATTGAAATTTAGGATATGATCAAAAATTTTTGATGTTGAAGTTATTTGTATTTTTGTATTGGAATCAAAAGTTTGAAATGGTTTTTGTTTGAATAGAATTGATCAAACTTGTAAAATAGGGTTGTTAGTTTAGAAGGTTAAGTAACAAATACATACTTACTAATATTATGTGGAAAATATTGATTGTTTTCAGAAAGATGACATGCAAGTTTGATGATGATGAATACTTTCAATGCTTTATGTCAAAATACATTAATTCATTTTGACTCTCAAAATTTTGAAGTAGATTAACCTGATTTTGTTTAACCATCTGACATGTTGGATAATGATGTGTTTCAGTCTTGTATAACCAGGTATTATGAACATTTGTAAGGTAATGAAAAAAGAAAGAAAAAAATGCAAAATTTCTTATTTGATCAAGTAATTTTTGGAATAGTTTCATGCAACACCTTAAAATGATTTGGGTTTTTTTTGTTTTTTGGGGGTTTTTTTTGGTAAATAAGCCTGTGGTAGTTGAACTAATGTTGATAATGTAGCTTGTTAAGGCTGCTGTGTGTAATTATTAAAAACAAAGTTTGGTTGTGCATATACAGAACTTATAATCAGCTGCTAGGGGCTGTTGGTGATTTGTCTTGTGTGAGCATCTATATGTAAAACGATGTTTGAGAATGTGCATTACAAAGTTCAGCATTAGTACATAATGTACTCTGTGTATGTGTGGCCTGTGATTGGTGGTCAGTTGTGTTATCAGATTGAGACTTGGCTGAAATTCTCAACCCCACAGTACATACCTATTATCTATTGTTTTTATGAAAAAAACTGGGAGGCAAACTCACTAAAAGCCTAGAAAGTCAAGGTATAGGATTATACGTGACATTTGCAGGAAATTCTGTTGAATAACAACACATTAGGATGGGCTTATTACCAGGCATTGTCTTATTGTTATTACAAAAACAGTAAACATATGGACTGTGAGGATCGGAATTTGTACCAAGTCACAGCATTTCAGTGTATTGGTTTGTTCATAAAGTTTAAAAATAAAGACGTTCCTAGGATTTCCTAATATGGTAAATGAGGTTTTATCCTGAAGAGAGAAGTATTTGTTGTATATATTCTTATTATTGAGGATGAAGATAGTGTTCTGAAAGGCTGAATTTTTAACTCGTTTTAGAGGGTTTTTTTCATGATGTGTTCCATTGTTATAACCATTCGTTGTGTTCAGTTATTTACCATCATTTCACTAGAAATGTGTTTGTTTTAACTTTTACTTTAAATGGTGATGCACCAAATATATCTAGTCGCATAAATAGTTTTGAAGTATGTTTTAATTATATGACAGCTTATATACATTAATATTGCCATTTCAAATTATATCCCCGTTATAATGGAGGTATATTGGATTTCATTTCAGGAGAAAAAAAAACTAACATCATAGAAATTTTTTTGATATAGCCATTTTTTGGATTCCCTCTGTGTATTTGGGATTGCCCTAATACAGTGCAGACTGAATGTTGATCAAATATCTCATTTGTTAAAACTGCAGTTAATGCATAGACCGAGGTTGAACTTTACTGCCAATGTTCCTTTAGGACTAACTGTTGCCATGCTAACTGAGACATGTCATAGATGGTACGTATTGTTATTTTTGTGCTTTTGCAATTACCACATTCATTTTATGTGATCTAGTCAATATTTATTTAAAGCTGCAATTACACTGCAGATATCATTGTAGCCAAATTTACCTTCTAAACTACAGACTATTTATACTAGCTTATAATAGAAACCAGAGATATCTGTCTCTATTTCTGTCTCATCGGTTTGTATTTTTACAAGTCCTTTCTAGTCTTTATATATCTTCATGTTATGAAGGCTTGAAATACCACTTTAATAATGTGAATATGGTGGCATTAAGACATGTTTTGATCATGTGCTATCCCTTAATTGATAGTAATTGTGGTTTGATGTAGTTCAAACTGTATTTTAATTGAGGACATTTTCCATTCCTTTTAGATATAAATAAAATGAAATATGTAATCATTTGAAATCCAAATAAATTTTACATGTGAGCAAGAGAAGTGATCAATATACCATTATTATCCTGCAATAAGCTGAGATGCCCAATGACCCAGTGTATTAAGTCTGTATATGGGATTATTACAGGATGGTAAAAAAACATTAGTAATTTGTCATTAGACAACAATACGTTTATAGGCTTATTACCAGGCACAACCTTATTGCCAGATAAATATGGTATTTGACATTGAGGAATGTAAACAAGTAGGTAGGTACATATTGATGTACCAAGCCTGTCAACTTACTTTACATCACTGACAATAAATCCCTCCAAAATACTCAAAATGATATTTCATTTTTTAACCTCATTATGTTAATTATGCTTACTACGATTTCGTTTTGTAAATAATAGATACTTTTCCCTTGTATGCATGTAATACTTTAAGTATTTTTTACAATCTCATTTTACCTTATTTCTTATTGTATTTTACATTTTCACCTTTTTTACTTAGAATTGTCTCATTTTTTTTATACAGGCTAACTCAGCATGATATGGAAAAATACTAGTGAATGCTAGTGAAAGTGTTTTGAATTTTTTATCCAACTACAATTTATAATTGATATTTTATGGTGAATCATTTTATTAAATAACTTCTCAGAGAACATTGATTATAGAATCCAGTGATAAAATTTTAGTGACACCTTAAATATGAACTCCAGTCAAGAATTTGGAAATTTCTGTGATTTTGTTTTATTATTTAAAAACCATGTATAAAATAATACATGTGCATGCCTAGCTACCATTTTAATTATTCAAAGGAGAGAACAGTGTCTCCTATCTCATGATTTAAAAGTTAGAAATAAAATTACTACATGTATTACATTAACCAAAACAAAAACATTGACATTTCACAGCATGTTTCTGATTCTTTAGTTAGTAGAGAAATAGAGACACAGGACTTCTACAATGGCTTTTTTTCTTCCAATTCATTTTCAATTTACTTGTGAATTATAGTGAAAACCTTTTTGTTTTGTTCAAATGTTTGTGTTTGGGATTAAAAAAAGTCATGTTCTTTGAAACAGTGATTGATTTAAATTGTTAGATCTTGGTAAAGCATGTACATCATGTGTTGGGCATTCATAAGAGTTAATACCTAGTATGTTTTTTTATATAAAAAGACCAACTACAGAATGATCATATAAAAGTAAGGATCACAACAGCAAGAAAGAATGTTATTCACTCACAGTACATCTATAGTACAGAGATTCATTAGTAAGAACATGCTTGAAATTTGTTGCTTTGCAAGTCTATCCGATATTGAGATTTGTTTTATGTCATATTAATATTAAAATAAAGATCATAGACAAACTTTTATCTTTGTATTTTTTCAGACAACTATATAAAGATACTATCTTTTAATGTGGATAAAACTGGTACATTTTTCAAGGCTTTTGAGTTACCAGATCAAGACGGAGTTCTGTACCAATGTTTATAACATAAAGAGCATGCAAGATAATAATTAACAATTATGTATAAAGCCCAGATTTTGGTCAGACTCAAATGTTAACTGACACGAATGTAACCAATTCAGCTGTGCACATTTCTTGAAAGCCAATTAAAGTAGATACTTTTACAGTATTTATGTATTGTAGGAAAAGAACTCTGAATCTAGTAGGATTGTCTCGCTATTCCAATTACACCTACAGCTACCTATAAGGTAAATTACGTCTTGAAATGCAAGTTGTAGTCTGTAGATACAGGGAAAAATGTAAATCTAAATAGTAAATAAAATTCATCGCTAAAAATAAATGAATTGTAAGCTGACGGTCCAACAAGCAAAACCTTAAATGACTAGAATACAGTGCAAAGCGAAATAGAAATTTAAAAAGTGAGAATGTATTATCAAAAAATAGTCTTCATCAAAGTAATGGTGAACAGAGCACTGATGACTATTAATTTTATGGCCTTCATATTTGTTTCGATGGGGTTGCGACATTTTTAATTACATACAAATTTTGTTAATGGTACACGAATGTAAATAATGACATAAATCAGCATTTATATATAGGGGAAAACATGTATTGATCACTATCTAAGTCTATGGAACTGACAAGCGTTTTAATCCAAACTTTCGAAAAACGAAGAAAAAAGTTACGAAGTTGGAGACCCTCTGGATTTTTTTTTCATGATTTTAAGGGTTATTTCCCTTCGCGCACCTGTTCCAAATCTGAAGTGCATGGATTATTTCAATCATTAATTATTAGTACCATGCCATTTTGGAATTAGGGTAGATTTATTTTCATACACATTCATTATAATCTTTTAGTTTTTATACAATATTGGTTGTTCAACATAATCTCAAGTTTTGTGAGTTTTCGCCAAACTGAAATTTGGAACTCTTTACCGTCGGAGGTGCATAAAACCTAGCAACACTGAAACAAAAATGGCGACGACGTAAAGGAAAACTTGTTAATTTAATTTTAGTATTTCCTTACATAGCACAAACTTGTTGAATACTGCTGGAATAATTATAGCAAGAGGGTAAGTCATTCATAATATGATTTTTATTCGTTGATGCTCAGTCAGCAGTGAGTGTCGAAGTTGTATTACTCCAAAAGTAAAAGAAGAACAAGCCTATTTATCTACACGGTCTCTATCGTGAACGCATTGACAAAGCCAAATGCTTTAGTGTAGCTATATAACAAGATAAAGCAGGGGACTATCACGGATGGGACTAAACACCCACCTTGCAACAGTGGACAATTTGGAAGGCTTTAGAACCTACATCCAGAATTCTATACAATGTGTGTGTGTTTTTTCTCCTGTATATAAAGCACACCTTAACAGTGTTATCAACTGCAGTAGTCATCTTATGTTTGGTTATAGCCCTTCAAAATCAAGGTTTATTTTGATGCGACATTATGGGAAAAAATACCTTATAAATAATTTAAACAAATCTGTTGTGTAATTCTCACAATTGAGTGTTTTTAGATGGGATTATATGTTATTGTGAACATTATGTTGACAACATTAGGTCCAAAATTGAAAATTTTCAATATTGATCAAAAGTAAAGAAACATCAAATGATGATGACATTTTTCATTATTTTCTGATATGGCCAATATCAGGTTGACCTAAAAAAAATCAAGTGTGTCAGCAATATTGCAGTAGTTTATGAACAACATTTTTAATATGATAAATGATGAATGTTTTGGGAAGGAAACCTTAAAATCAAGATAGGAAATGCAGAAATGTTTGAGCAACCAGTATGGTTTATTTGATTACTTGTTATCTTAGCAGAACATTTTAAACAATCTCTTTTCTTTCTTCATTTGCATAGAAATGAAGACACAGCCAGTTCAAAGAGGGGAGGAACCCCCAATGTTCCTCCAGCGGCCATCCACAGGCAAATCACAAGATGTGCGCCACATATTAGCGAAGACTTTTCGAGAATTATACACTAGAGATGCTATTAGCGCTGACACGGTAGCAAATCTTGGTGTCTCTAAACATGGTGATGACCCTTATCATGAACGCTATGTGGAGGCTCTAGAGAAAGTAAGCTTTGGAATTTCTGTTGAATCAGATTTACATATTAATTGCGATAGTTAAAGAATACAAGCTTGGTTCTTAATATATATGTAGTTGTTAGAATTGATTAATATATATCTTAATGAAGGAAAATTTATCAATACATCTGTATAAAATAGCATATAACTTGTGCTTTAAACTTTTGTAATGATGTTACTGTACATGTGCATAATTTGACATGAACTTAATTTGGATTCCATCAATTTAACAAATGTCAGATATATTAACTGTTACAAAAATATCGTGCAACACAAGGCAATGAATTAATTCAAAGTGGCACACCTCAGGAAGAGTTACCAGGTATATTATGTCCAAAGTAAATTTCTGTTTGATTTTGTAAAAGTGATATAACCTAGATACAGTTGAGTAGATATCAATGGTATGATAGACAAACACATAACATTTTTGTTATTTTAGTTCATTTTTACTGCCTTTAGCTGTTAGATTTACCTGTTTTCAAGTTTGTAAACTTTTATATAACAGGTATTTGAAGAACGACAGAAGCGACTAGAAGAGGCAGCTAAACTGGAACGTCATATCATGCAGGCACAGGCCCGTGCCATGTCAGCAGATGAACGTCAGCTGAACAGGGTCACACAGAGCTGTGACAACTACTCTGAGCTGGGGCTACCTCCTGGTAAGTCAGGAGAATCAATGCCCACTAATTGTTTGTGTCTAATGAAATTACTGAAGAAAAGTGTTTTATTTTTATGTGAAGAAAATGGTAAACCAAAGAAAAATATGATTTTCCAGGTCGTTCTCATTTCCGATCCTGCATTGACTCGGATTTGCTGAGGAAACACAAATTGTTGTCTCCAGAAGACTATGCTACAGAAGAACAGCTAACAGTGCCACTACCACATGGTGTGTATACATACAGACAGTGTCTCTTCTGTAAGGAAAGGTAGTATAGATCTTAAGATAGTCACTCTGAATATACTACTATGCATGCAGGGTATTTGTTGAATAAATGGTTGATAATTTAGTTCTGTCTGAAACTGATTGACATTTTCTTTTGTTAGAAAGAAATGAAGATGTTCATTTATGATTGCTTTATACAAGGTCCCAAGGTGCCAAGCTATGCACGTGAGACAGTGTCTTCACAGCAACGAACTCGTCCTGTTGACCAGCCAGAAGAAACACCACAGCCTCAGATCTTTAACAGTAGATCCGACCTGGTCCAACAAAGTTATGTATCAGACAGCATCAACGTTGAGCAGGACATTCTGGAGTCTGAGCCTGCCTCAGATGACGCAGAATCAGTCAGTATGATAGAATCACTTGACATTGTTGTAGCATCTTTCAGTTTGTTTTCATTGAAAAAAATAACACAGAAAGAGTTTCTTTAGTTATGAAATAACTAATCCCATGGTTTAACATTTTTTCAGTAAAAGGAAATATTAAGAAATGGAATGGTTTATTAATTTTAAGTCTATAGAGATGTATTGTAATTCCCAGTTACCAAATTTTCAGTTTTTGAATGTGAATCTCTATGAGAAACATTATACATGCAGGACTTAAGTTATGAAAGATAAACTTCAGATCTGTGAAATATTAGTTGAAAAGGAATAAGGCAAGGTAATACCCAGATTTATTTACTAAAAGGTCTGAAGTCAAAGGTCATGGTATATTTCTAGGTTGTGTTTCCAAAACGAGGAGGATGGAAAATCCACATGAGTGAGGCTCAACGAGAAGTGGACAGAAAAGACCTTGCAAATCTTCAGGCTCGTGTGAACTATGTTCGTAATCCAAGATTTGTACCACCATCAGCACCACCTGGTGGAAAATCTCTGATAAAACCATGTCGTCCCAAACCAAAGGAAATAGGAATACAAAGTAAACCTGATATGGGAAAGTAAGTACTATTTATTGATAATGCTTATTCTATGAAAGGATTGTACAAAAGATATACAAGTGAAAAGTAGACCCAAACCATGAATTAAACTGCATCATACAGCTGTTTCGTCCTTTTAGGACTTGTCGGTGATGCTAAGGGCCTAAATTTTGAAGCCTAAGAGGTGACTAAGGAAAATCCAAAGTGATTGAAAGAAAGTCCAAATCCAGGCGTAGGACTCAGGTGCAGCAGCCCCATAATTAGATAAATTTCGCAATATTCATACATCAGATAATTTTAGAATAGTGTCAAGTACATGTGTATTTTCTGAACTGTGCCACTATTTGAGAGAAGTAAAATGTGACAAACAAACCTCAGGGACTTGATCATCAGCTTGATGTACTTTTACATGTACCATACTTATCTGGCAATAAATGCATCCAAATGCATCCTGATGATGAGTACACATATTAATTTTAAGTAACGCTAAACACTTCATGTTTGAACCATGTGGTATTGTATGGTAGTTACTTGATTGTTAATAGCTAATGAAATTAATTGGTATCATCATAAATGTTTTAATTTTATGTTTCAGACAAAAGGAACCATCTGTTGTTTTCTTAGTCTCTCCACCAACAGTTCAATTTTCAGATTACAAAGTTGGCCAGGTTTATGAGGTAAGTGGTTGGGGACTATATCAATTTGAGGTATGTTAAAACATAAGCTTTTCAAATGCTAAAACAGAGCTGTAATTTTCATTGTAGATCAGTAATAACATATAGAAATCTTATCTGTATGGTTAAGATGTCTCTCTACATCACACAGAGTTGATTGATTATTGCATATGTAAGATTTTCATAATGAACTTGATTGATTTTTTTAAATTGCTCTGCTGTAATAATTTACTGTGAGTACAAACTCTTCTTGTGTAAAGTAACAACACTTTTATGCTTCAGTTGACTTTGGAGCTGAAGAATGTTTCTTCAGTGATGAGACAGTGTGCAGTTCTCCCACCGACCTCACCATTCTTCTCTGTTGGACTGGGTAAGAATACCAACAAATACTATCATATAATAAACCCATTACTCCACTTAAAGCCAAAGATAAGTGACAATTAAACATTTTGGTTTATTGCAGCATAAAGTACAATAAATGATAATTATCAGTGTTCTCACTCCTGCCTTTACCTGTAGAGAAGAAAGAAAGTTTTCCTCATGTTGACATTTTCCTGTTGACAGGTCAGTTCCCAGGTGAACATGGTCTAGTGGCTCCAGGAATGAGTTGTCACTATGCTATCAGATTTGCCCCAGACTCACTGAGAGACTTTGATGATGAGATCAAGGTCCAGACTCAGTCTTCTACCTCTGTTATTGTGCCTTTACAGGGTCGCAGACAGCCCCCAAATTTAACTTGTAAGTATTGGTTAAATGTTAACAGCGAAATAAATGTTTCTTCGTTCATATTTGGTCAAGAATGTCTGTATCTTAAGTTAAAACTATTATTAAATGAATCATTTTCTTTTTTTAATATTTTTTTTTGTGATATTGAAAATATTAATTACACATACTTGATTAGGAGCAAAAGATTTAGACTTTTATAATAATATTATGGTTGCAGAAACATATATAACAATCACACTTCTTACACATTAAGTGTGACAGATATCACACTATGTTGAACCCCAGTATTTAGCTTTGGGAGTCTAATTGTGTTTATCTTATATTAACAGTGCCGCAAGTCTTGGATGTAGGGTACTGTCTAGTTGGAAGCTATCACGTTGTACAGTTCATTGTGAGGAACATTGGAGGCAATGGCAGATTCTGTATAATGCCCAGATCCTCATGGCCAGCTACCAACTTCAAGGTAACACAACATTACTGATATTCTAGTCCAATATGCATAGTGTCTAAGTCTTCAAAATTAATATTGTAAGATTGAAAGCTGGCTTCATAGTCTATCCTTTACTTTTAAAGGAATATTTTGAAAAGAAAAATCTTTTATGCAACATAATTAGCAGACCCCCAAATTATCTTGGCCATTAAACCCCAAACCCAAACTTGTATTTAATGTTTTATTTTCCAACAGTCTGTTGTGAGGAATGGCAGCGTAAGCATTCAACCCTTTGAGATTCGTCCATCTGTACTGGAATTGATGAAAGGAGAGAGTGGTGTGATTGAAATTATTTTCACCCCTCCATCTGTGAAGAGTTACAGCCAGGAGGTCACCCTTGTCTGTGACAATTGTCATGTCAAGCACTTCACCATTAAAGGTATCTATCTAAAAGACCTGCCTGACATAACAGCATTGAGCAACAAAATATCATAAAATATGGGCTGGAGGGATATGACAAGTTTTAGGCTCACGAAATAGACCTCCTCTAGAGAAATCAGGAACTTGCTACACATATATCCCTCAAGCTCAATATAGTATAACTGTTTTACGATACTAATACAAACCAATATCTTTTTTTGTTAGAAGAGTAATTTGTAATACGCCTTTTCTTAAGACGATTTCTCAGGCCACCTGCCTGAGTCCACAAACCTTGTGACTGTCATAGTTTCTATAGGAGAAGTGTTGTGTGCACATGGTAAGGTATTCAGTAGCAAGCTCCACCATCATCTCGCCTCATTGGCTTGATGGGAACACGTTCGAGGGTATTTTAATTCTACAGGTTTTAGTTCTCACACTAAAACCGAGCTAAGTGAAATTGAGCCAATAGTAAGGATATCATCAATTTAACCAGTTACTTCTAGTAAACAAAGTAGAGATATATCAAAATAACAACAATTAATATTTCCCTCATCCTTACTTCTGGATGAAAGAGAAATAAGGCACAAGATTTATGTATCATTCTTGGTAAGAGTCGAGAGTTTCCTCACCATACCAATTGTATGATATGGAAAAATTTAATTACCTTACTTTAACATTGCCTGACATTGAGATAATGGTAACATGGCAAAAGTAAAAAGACAGCAGGGTATGGAAAATATATTCATTCATCCCCATGTCATTTGTTTATATCAAACTTAACTAAAAATATCCCTAGGAATTAGATCCCTGATCCTTTCTCATTCCTATGGAGTTACACAAACCCTTTGATGACACTAAAGTTTGATGTAAAAATAGTTCCACTAAGCATTGTGAGCAACTAAATATTTAGTTGTTGGTCATAGGTCTGTTAAATTAACTATGGTTATCTGTGGTGTGTAGGTGTTGCTCAGAAGGCTGCCGTTGATCTAGTTATGGTAGAGCGAGGAGAAGGTAGCATTGCACCAGGAGAGATGACAGACAACACTGCTGAACACATGATTCGATTTGATGACCTCAACCCATTCACATACACTGATCGTACAGTGGTAGTGAAAAATTGCACGTACGTAACTCCTAATGGTGTCTGATAACAGCTTATATTCATCTGATCAAATATTTTAGTGTCTTTTATTGAAAAAGTCTTTCAATTGGAAATAAAAGATATAGATATATTAAAAATATTATGAAACATTGACCTGTTTTTTCAAGTTATATTATATTACTACCATGTACGAAGCCCATCTGGTTTCCTAACTGTACTATAGAAGTTCCATCGTAGATTTTTTCTTTACCCAAGAATAAGACTTTGAATCAGAGGTAAAGGTTGCCCCCCCTCCTCTCACCCCTCAGTAGTCTCAGGATAAATGTAAAATATATGGTATGGAATACCTATTATGTTGATAGATTGGTGTAAGAGAAAGAACAAATTTATCTTTACAGAAATGTACAGATGCCATTCCAATGGATGATCTACAAGCCAGAGATGAAAGAAGAAGAAGATAATGAAGGACAGAGGAAGGTTGTACGTGTCCAGGATGTTGATTCTGTGTTCAGTGTACACCCTCCCACAGGCAATCTACCTCCTGCGGGTGACTTGGAGTTCCGTGTCACATTTGCACCACCTCTGGTAATTATTGTCATAATTTTAGGTCAAGATTGCTATTAATGTTATCATGCAATATGTGTGGTACAAAATGAATGTCTTAAGTATGTACTCTCACTGTCCAATACCAGAGTACAAGTCAATGGATATTTGAAAGGATAAAAACCAAAATGCTTATCCCATGTTTGAAAGTTACATACATTTACTCTGACAGAAAAAGAAACCTACCTGGTAGATGAAAATTGAAAAAAAAAAAATTTTTTTGAAGAAGTAATGGATTTTGGCATTTTACTTATGAAGCTGGCAATATTTCTTGCTTAAGCATGGTTATCCTACTTATAGTTACCATGGCTCCGGGTACTTAAATGATCTTAATTAAGAATATGGCTTTATTATTTAGTTACTGTATAAGGCACATCTAAGTAAATAAAAGTCTTTATATACAGTTGTCCTTTGTAAACAGAAGTTTTGTATTGGAGGTAATTTTGATGATGTGTCTTATTTACCTAGACTAAGTGACAGGTTTACATAAACTGGGTGGTATGTGTTTTGTTTATTTTTTAAGCAGAATGACAGATATTTGTTTACAGAGACTGAGTGATAAGTGTCTTGTTTACCTGTATCAAGAGACAGGTGTCTTGTTTACCTATATCAAGAGACAGGTGTCATGTTTACTTTTATTGAGAGACCTTTGTCCTGTTTACCTGTCTTGAGTGACAGGTGCCCTATTGTCTTATTTGGACAGACAGGTGTACTGTTCACCTATATTGAGACAGGTGTCCTGTTTACCTGTATTGAGACAAGTGTTTTGTTTACCTAGATTGAGAGACAGGTGTTTTGTTTACCTAGATTGAGAGACAGGTGTTTTGTTTACCTAGATTGAGAGACAGGTGTTTTGTTTACCTAGATTGAGAGACAGGTGTTTTGTTTACCTAGATTGAGAGACAAGTGTTTTGTTTACCTAGAATGAGAGACAGGTATTTTGTTCACCTAGATTGAGAGACAGGTGTTTTGTTTACCTAGATTGAGAGACAGGTGTTTTGTTTACCTAGATTGAGAGACAGGTGTTTTGTTTACCTAGATTGAGAGACAGGTGTTTTGTCTACCTAGATTGAGAGACAGGTGTTTTGTTTTCTAGGTGAATGAGTTCCACAGTGTACTACACATGTTGCTGAAGCAAATCCCGCAGTATGAGGATGGAGACTCAGCAAAGCTACGAAACAGGCGTGCCCTACGTGAGCAGTCAAACCTCAGTAATGATGAAGATGAGGAAGATGAACCCACTGAAATCTTCCCTCCATCAAGTGGTGGTAGGTGTTAAAAGTACAGGCCAAAAAATGCTGTCAAGGATGTTTTTTTATTGGTTCAAATTTTTGTAGTTTTACAAGTAAATAAATTTTAGCAGGTGTTATGCAATGAACCATAATTTTCTCTTGTAGTTTGATTTTTTATTGTATCTTTTTCAAGATGTTTTTTATCTCTACATAGATTTCAAAAATGAAACTCCTTTTAAATACTCTTTATAGTAACTTGCAAAAGGAAATGGTTGTTCAAAGTTTCATAAATTGTTTTAAGTAAAATTTTGTTTTACATCAATAGTGAGAAAACTACATGACCTCACTGCCATGGAGATAGAGGTGAAAGGTAACAGCGTGCCCCTGAATGTGGTGTTACATCCCTACGCTGTGTATGTACCTGGTCGTAGCCTTATGGAGACCACCATCAAGAAAAGAGTCACAGTTAGTATTTGAAGCAGCATAGCTAGATAAAGGATACGGATACCATCTTTATGGTTTATCTTAGTTCTTCTTGCCAACTGTATTTGATAAATAAATAACAAACATCTGTATCATCAAGGCTTATTATAAGATACATAATTTCTGTGTCGTATACAATCAGATTGATTGACCATGTAAAAACGATTGTATCTGACATTATACTAGAACAAAACTTATGACTATTGGGTTTTGTTTAGATGGCCAATCACAGTCGATCTACTATCACTTTCCAATGGCAGCCGTACAGTGAAGGGTATATATTGGAGATGGAGCCACCGTTTGGTGAACTTGGTAAGAGTAATAATGGTTATGGCATCAATCTCTCACATTCTTGTATATCAGGGCATGTTTTTCCTTCTTTGCTCTCATCTGGCTGGCTTTGTTTTCATCAATACATTGTGTATAGCTAACTAACCTATGTTCAATAGACTTGCTGTATTTGAAGGAACCCCATTCCCAGGTGAAGACTGTTGAAAATTAATTTGGTATCTCTCATATGAGAATATATATACCTACCCTTGAATACCTTTCTAGATGTATCCTAGCAGGTCATAGTTGCATATTAAAGAGTAAATCAAAGTAGGATATACATGTTGGTTGGTGGTATCAATGAAAGGAATACCTAGTAGTTTGAGAATTACTCTGTAACTTTATAAAGAGCCTGAACTACTGAAATATTTCTGTTACAACATTGGTACATGATAGTGTCTCTGTCACCACAGATCCAGGAATGGCCATGGACCTTGAGTTGGGTATAACTGGAGGCACACCAGGCAAGATCAAGCACACCCTTTACTGTCATGTGATGAACATGGCCGAACCTCTCCATCTCCATGTAGAAGCTGAATTTAAGGTAAATATGCCACAGCTGACCATAAAAAAGGATGTCTGTGGGAGAATGATGAACAATACGAGCTTTAAACACAAATTATAACCTCTTTCTTATGGAAAATTATTATTTGACATAGAATGAATTGGTGATTAACATTGAAAGTGATTGTATATACAGCTTTTATAGCTAACAGAGAAGTTAGTTATATGTTCCATGTCTTTCTGTTAGAAAATTCATGCCTGGTAATAACCCACATATGCTTAATTCTCAGTAGAATAATTAACAAAAACTGTGTCATTGTTTTATATAAGAACACCTACTGACTTTAAACCAGAATGACTATGTTAGCCAAAGATTTCAAAGTATTATAACTAATAGAGTTCTCAACAAGGACAGAAGATATGCCACACCCTGCCTGCCACCTATGCTAGCATTGTTCAGTAATATAACTTTGGGATAATTCATGGTTATGTGACTGAACACCACTAACATAAACCTGTCCCCTGTCAGTCGGGCTGAAAAAGTCTCCAAGACAGCAGGCTATAGCTAACTATGAGTGAGTGCAATTGTTTGAAACAATGTTTAGAATTTCAGTGTTATTGAGATTCTGAGTCTGCAACTAACCATTTAAGTATCTATTTACAGGGTCCAGAGCTAATGATTGAGGAACCAGATATCAACTTTGGTCTTGTCTGTCTGGGAAATCAGGCTACTAAACAGATCACACTGACAAACCTGGCACAAATCACAACCAAATGGAGCATTCATGACAGTCCTGAATTCATTGACCTTGAAAATGGTGATGTAAGTGTTCATTGGTTAAGATGTTTTATCTTGTTAAAAAAATCAGTTATTTGACATTTGATTCAAGGATGGATGAATATTAAATCTTTTAGTTCCTGTCAACCCCAAAAATATTTTGATATATATATCTTAAGGAAAATGTCAAAAATGAAAAATATAGATGGAATTTCAAAATCTTTTTTCTTAGGATCCCAGTGAATTTATTTTCACTCCAGCCAATGGGGAGTTGTCTCCCTTGGAACAAAAGACAATTTCTATAGAGTTCATACCAACAGCCGTAAAGACAATCAAGCGTGTGTTTACTGTCAATGTGGTGGAAGGTAGTGAATGGTAAGGATGATTTGTCATATCATGTAGAATTAACTTATTGATATTTAAATGTAATTTGTGTCTTTCTATAATTGTATGGCAAAGGGATACTATATTAAAGCTTTGTTTTTATTTTAATGCCTTTCAACAACAGTGACTTAATACTTGTTACAAATGAGGGCATTCATATTTATGTAAGCAGACTATCAGAAGAGAAAAGTTAGATATTAAGAATGACAAATTAAGTTTAAACAAGGTTACAAAGAACACACATGGTTAACATTTAGAAAGTCCTGTTGAATTAAGGTTTTAAAACACAGTGATTTTAGTATGATTTATGACTTTGACAAAGATTCCATTGTTGTATATCTCAGTAACATTGGAGCAACAGCTGAGGTACAGGAACCATGTGTCTGTCTGTCATCCTGTGAAGTATGTATGGAGGATGTGTATAAAGGAGTTCCAGTCCTCTGTCAGGCCACAATCATTAACCAGACACTGATACCTACATCATTTGCCTGGGGACATGTAAGTATGCTCATCTACTATTCAGTTTTTGCTATAAAATCATAAATTGATTAATTTTATTGATAAATTGATTATCAAAGTGAATTAACATTGGAAAATCACTGCTGTTTCTATAAGATCATAATTTTTATTTATTTTTTTTTAAACTTGTTTCTTTTCAGATTCAGGGAGGTCATGCTGGGGATTGTGTGATCGAGCTGGACCCTCCATATGGTGAGCTGGGACCACGAGAGGAAAAAACTATAGAGATCCGCTTCATGGCCAACAGAGAGGTATTCACCTATTTCCTTCCTCTTGTAGATTACATCTGGAGATTAGCTGATGTTATTTATTTATTGACTTTAATTTGTTTTTTGTTCTTTCCTGAGAGTTGTATGTAGATTTCAATCTTGGAGTATCACGTTAACTCCATCCAAAGTGTGTCATAGATTTTATCATTTGTGTGTCATTTCCACTCCATCCCATAGTATATATTATACGTCCCTGGTATCATGAAGACAGCTTTCTTGAGATTTACTATTTTAATTTTGTACATTATTACAGGGAGAGATCTCCGATGTCAGAATTCCTTGTGAAGTAGCAGGGATGGAACAGTTATTGTTTTTAGGTCTGTTCTGTGATGCTAAAGGCCTCTCCATTACCTACAAGACATCAGCCTTGGGACCACTCTCCAAGTATGTTAATGTGTTCACCAATTCTGAAGACTTTTTCTATTTCATTTGTTGGTATATATATTTCCAGGTAACATTAGTAGGGAAGGTATCAAAAGACACAAGTGAATAGTACCTTTAAATACAAATTTATGATCAGATACAGTATAGCCAGATAATAAGATTAAATCATCATACAGCTGTTTTGTCCTTCAAGTTCTCGACAAGGATAGTCTTGAGCGAAAATTTTGAAACCAAAGAGGTGACTGAGGCAAACCAAAATTGAGCAAAAGAAATGTAAAAATGTAGATTATTTATATTGCTTCAATAACACATTTATTTTGAATTTTTTATCAGTTACATAGATGAAAGTGTTTTTATGATAGAGTCATGCTGATAATGAATGCTTTTATTTTCAGTGAGTACTTTGAAGATGTTTGTTTGGACTATGGAGAGATGGTGGACCTCGGTTCAACACCTAAAGTCTTTTTACACATTCGGAATGAATCTGGAATAACAGCTCCATTTAACCTTAACATGGAACACTTCATGGCCAAACCACCAACACCACCGGGTAACAAGGACCCAAACATCTCAAAAAGGTACATCTCTGAGGTTTGAAATACATTGTTGTTTTATATGTTAAGATGGCATATCTGCCTGCATTTAGCTTTGGTAGCTTAACAGCATACAACTTGTGTTTCTCAAGAGACTGAATTAAAAGAACATGTATAATGGAAATAAGATATTTGTATACATCTGACACTAAGCTTATGTCTGATAATTATAATAAGCTTATCCACATTTTCAGTTTCAGTAAAATTGCTAACAAATGCTGATTATTTTCTTGCACTACTAGTTATCTCTACCCTTTACTTTAGACCAGCAGGTACCCTGTGGGCTTATTGCATAAGCTATTAGTGTTTCTTTAAGCTATTAAAAGCACATGAAAAGTATTAGCACCTATTCAGATTTATTTTGAGTATAGATTGTTAATGTGTTCAGTGATAATTTAACTGGTATTAAGGTATATTAACACTCATTTTGTCCTCACTTGATAGCCAGCAGAGGCGACTGATGTTGAGTCGAACACCTAACCTGGCAGACCCTCTCAGCAAGACACAGACAAAGGCACAACAAGGTAGGAATCTTTACAATGTCATTATACAAATTTTCTATACTCAAGACAACACTGTTAGTACAGCATTAGCTTGGAAGATTTAAGCATCATTTTCTGTAGACTTAATGGTGACACTAATCGTCAAAAGATGGTGACACTAATTGTCAAAATAAAAATTGTAACAAAACAAAAACTGAAAAGAAAAAAAATACATATATTATTTTTATTGCAAGATTCTAAGCTTCAAAAGAACAAAATATATTCAATATTACATAAATTACATTCAATTCAGAAGTAATCATCCATAAAATGTTCATGATGTTTGAATGTTTAAATCATGAAAATAAGATATTCCTCCATATTGAAAAAAGTGTTGGTGATGATTTAATATAAAAAATTTTTTCAGATTTGTGTAAAGCCATGTTATCTCTTGGGCTTGGAGCTTCCTTCGTGCCCACACCTGGGTCTGGAGTATTACAGCCATTTGGGGAGCAGATTATAGAGTTGGGGGCCTATTCTGACATGTGGGGCCTCTACACTGATAACCTGATGTGTCAGGTATGGACACTAACATAGTGTAATTGTACTTTAGAGTTGGGGGCCTATTCTGACATGTGGGGCCTCTACACTGATAACCTGATGTGTCAGGTATGGACACTAACATAGTGTAATTGTACTTTAGAGTTGGGGGCCTATTCTGACATGTGGGGCCTCTACACTGATAACCTGATGTGTCAGGTATGGACACTAACATAGTGTAATTGTACTTTAGAGTTGGGGGCCTATTCTGACATGTGGGGCCTCTACACTGATAACCTGATGTGTCAGGTATGGACACTAACATAGTGTAATTGTACTTTAGAGTTGGGGGCCTATTCTGACATGTGGGGCCTCTACACTGATAACCTGATGTGTCAGGTATGGACACTAACATAGTGTAATTGTACTTTAGAGTTGGGGGCCTATTCTGACATGTGTAATATCTTAAATGTACAGTCAAACTTGTCATATCTAACTTTTAAAGAGAGGTAATACTGGTAAATAAGGTCATATGAATATGGTCTCTGAATGCAAGTGCATTGAAAAATAAACAAAAAAATTAATTGATTATGATAAATTCATGTTTATAATGATATGGTAGAAGATGAAATATTGGTTATCATATCCTTTTTATTTTAGCTCAGTTGCATCATTTGTATAGAAAATTACATTAGACAGAAAAATTACAGTCACATATGACAGGAAGATACTTAATTCAGGTGGTCTCTAAGACAGGTTTAACTGAATTAAATACCATTGTTGTTGTGTTTTAATGTCAAGTCTTTTTTGATGAAATTCATTATATTGTGTGTCACATGTTACATCAACATGTATGGATGACCTTTGTACCCTTGTCTTTTTCACTGGTTTGTCATTTAGATTGGAGATCTGGATGTCGTGGCCATACCAGTCAAGATGAATGTTGTTGGATGTCCACTCTGCTTCCAGATGACCGCAGCCAAACCTGACCAAAAACCTATTGTGAGGTGAGGGATAATATGGTTTTAAACAGTCCTCTACAAATCTGGTTGATTGTTCTGTACCACACAGTAACACTATAATTTGACAATTTTATAATTCATATGGAAATATCAAGTTGAAGTTATATTTTGAAATGGATAATTAGGTTTGGTCATTGTGAGTGCTTCTACCTATATAAATTTTCAGGAGTAACAACAAAATTCCTACAACTGTTTAGAATGTATCTAGTTATCCATGCTGCTTATGAGATTAGACCCAGGGTACTGTATAGTTTAATTATATTTAAAGGAAGTACTACATAGACAGTCTGACATTTCTTTTTAATGTATTAACTTTCTAATTTGATAACTTTTCAAGGTTTGGGACACATGTGTCTGGAGTGGCACCTACAAGTCGCACCATGAGGATCAACAACACCAGTCCACTGGGTAACATTTATTCTAAAGTTATTCTTAGAAAAAGTACAAATAATGGGCTACAATTTTATACTTAAATCTAGCTGTTGAAATAAAGTCATTTGGTAAAAATGTCTGAAATCATTTTTGGGTATACAATTACAGTGTAATGTAATGTGTTACAAAATTATGTCAAATTTGAACTGTGCTACAAGTCATCTCAATCTCGTGCTCACATTGAACTGCAATGCAATATTTTTAAAAAGAATTTATTCTATGAATATTATCTAATTTACCTAAGTACAGAATTCAGTAGTTGTTCTCATACTTGGATAAATTATGTAGTGAAACAGTTGCTATCAATTTCCCTGAGTTTGAGTTCAGACATTTATCTTGAAATAAGTCCTGAGTCGTTTGTTTATTTTAGACATCTAACAGGTTAATACACTTATCATACTAAAAACATCTCGTTCAAAATCGGTGTCCTTTCAGATATCCGTCTGGATTGGCAGTTATATAACATAGAGGAGGAGGATACAAAAATACTGGATTTCATTGTCGGCTTTGGTGAAGCTTTCCCTAAACGTGATGAAAATGGCATGGAAGTGATTCCGCCATGGAAAAGTGAGTAAACAGTATGATTAAAATTAGCAGTTTTGTCTTTAGAACTGTTTTAGCTCATCCAGTAAAAAGTGCCTGACAACTGGCACCTTTTCCCCAGCAACTTAATGAACAAGTTCTTCTGAAAGTTGATAAAGAGTAGAGTTTTGATATTGTAGCTAGCTTACTGGTTTGATAGGCTAAAGAGATTTTCAATGATTTGACCTTGACTCAGTTTTAAGGTTAATTCTTAAAGTTAAATGTAACACTATAGTCTACACCATATACCAAGTTAACTATAACACTAGTCTACATCATACATCAGGTTAACTATCACACTACAGTCAACACCACATACAAGGTTAAATATAACACTACAGTCTACATCACATACAAGGTTAGATATAACACTACAGTCTACATCACATACAAGGTTAGATATAACACTACAGTCTACATCACATACAAGGTTAGATATAACACTACAGTCTACATCACATACAAGGTTAGATATAACACTACAGTCTACATCACATACAAGGTTAGATATAACACTACAGTCAACATCACATACAAGGTTAGATATAACACTACAGTCAACACCACATACAAGGTTAGATATAACACTACAGTCAACACCACATACAAGGTTAGATATAACACTACAGTCTATATCACATACAAGGTTAGATATAACACTACAGTCTACATCACATACAAGGTTAGATATAACACTACAGTCAACACCACATACAAGGTTAGATATAACACTACAGTCTACACCACATACAAGGTTAGATATAACACTACAGTCAACACCACATACAATGTTAGATATAACACTACAGTCTACATCACACACAAGGTTAGATATAACACTACAGTCTACACCACATACAAGGTTAGATATAACACTACAGTCAACACCACATACAATGTTAGATATAACACTACAGTCTACATCACATACAAGGTTAGATATAACACTACAGGCAACACCACATACAAGGTTAGATATAACACTACAGTCTACACCACATACAAGGTTAGATATAACACTACAGTCAACATCACATACAAGGTTAGATATAACACTACAGTCTACATCACATACAAGGTTAGATATAACAGTATTCTACATCATACACCAGGTTAAATTTAACATTAAATTCTCCATCATACACCAGGTTAAATATAACACTATAGTCTACACTGGATAAGTTAGATATGACACCACACTGTATACTAGGATAGATATATAACTCCACACTGTGTACTATGATAGATATATGACACCACAGTGTATAAGAAGGTAGATATAAATTAAGAATCTTGTGTAGTAACCTGTGTGTGATGCTGTTGGTCTGTAGACCACTGTGTAAGATGGTAGATATGAATTAAGAATCTTGTGTAGTAACCTGTGTGTGATACTGTTGGTCTGTAGATGAGAAGCAAACTCCTGGTAAGAATACATCAACTATCCATTCTTATTTTTTTATTTTTTATTTTTTTTGTCACTATATAAAATGTTTTATTAAAATTTTTCTTTCACTTATTTAAAGTGTTATTCAGTCCTCTATATTTGACTCACTGCATGTACTACAAACTATGTAACAAAGACTCTTTCCTATCAAACTGCATGTTGTTTTGATACCTTGACACTAACTTAGAGATTTTATATGTTATATGTCTTAGTTTGCAACTTTTTCCAATTATGTGATATATATCTTTAATGGAAATATCTGATTTTAAATTTCCAAGATTTTTTTTAACCATTTGTAGATGTGCTTTAAATTACAATTAAATTAAATGGTGATATCATTAAAATATACATACACTTGTAATGACTGTATTGTGTCATTGAATGTCTGTACGCCTGAAGTGACTATCCTAAGACCTAACTGCTTGAAATGAGTGCATACCTTGGACAGAACAACTGACTTAAGGACTTACTACACTCAGCTTGCTATCCCTACTTACTGCATGTCCACCTCTCCTTATTTGTGGTGTTGATGTTTATTCCTTTGTCTTCACTTTAATGATCTCTTTAACTTTTTCAATTATTTATTATTTCATCTTTAAACACATTTATTTTGAGAAACAAGTGCGGACATCAGAAAATTATTAGCTGTTTGACAAGCAGGAATTCTCTTCTTTATACTCTTGAAATATAATCAACTACTTAGATAATTTATTGCCATTTTTTGTAAATATCTTATATACACAGTTGAGTTTTCATTTCTGCTTTTTTATCTGGTATCATTGAAAACATACTGGGTATGTGTCTGTCAAATGTGTGTTTTTAGTGAAAGGGAAAAATTCCAAACAACTGACTGAAATCATAGAATACGAGAAATGAATTTCTGGTTTGATCTGTGTTACAAGCCTGAAGCTATAGACGTTAACTTTTGGTACATATTTCCTGTAGAGTTAATAAGGGAGGTGAAATACGATTGGTTGATGCTGCTGTAGATTGTTAGCAGAAGATTAAGTTAGATAGTAAAGACAAGTTACATGATCGACAAGGTTAGGTATGGAAAAGAACAATCAACTGCTGCTTTTATGAGACAACTCAAAAATATTTCATCAATCATCTTTGGTTTAAGAAATGCATTCTTCTCATTAATGATGTTATATCAGTATGATATAAAATGGTTTGTCCCTAGTGCCGGAGATGCCAAAGAGGATGCCTACAGAGTTCATACCCAATTCTCCTGACACCTTACCTACTCTGACAAGGGAGGTAACTCGTGTGATCAACACACCTGCAGCCACAGGTGCAGAACCAGTCCCAAAAGAACCTCTCATTAAGTTTGCGTCAGTTTTTGTCCGTTCACATGAAGGTGTACCTAGCGAGAATCCCTACAGTATCAAAAACAAACAAATGGTATGTATAATTAATAGATCTTTCTTTTGTAAACAATTCTAGAATTTCCTACAAAATCTTCACCAATAATGCTGAAATCTTAATAATTTAAAACTGGAGAAAACAAACACTAGTTATTATTTTTATCTTGTTCACCGTGAACTAGTTTCAACTGACACCACCTTTAGAAAAGGATAAAGTATCTTTCCATATAAAATTCATACAAATTGAACATTGTGAGGATTGTAGTGATATTAAGAAAGACCTGTTGAATAGCACATTGTTGGTTGGAAATTCATGGGAACCTGATGTACCCAAAGATATCGACTTTTGTCTTTTAGGTAATCCCTGCTAGAGGAAGTGCCAGTGTCAATGTCAGCTTTACCCCATTCCCAACAGGACAGGTGTCCGAGGAAAGGGACTGTATTGGATATGCCCAAGGATACATGAGCTTGGACAATGTGAGTTTCGTTAAGAATATGGTAACATAGCTAGTGAAGAAGTTAGAACACATCAGCAGTTTCTAAAAGAGGCCTGTAGATCTTAGGTCAATATATTCACCTCTTCATTTAAATGCCATCTTGGATGGAATTTTTTCTTCTTTTGTTTATTGGTGATTTATAACGAGATATATGATATATGTATGTGGTGACATATATGTGTAGATTTGGAGAATATAGACTTAATTTCTTTTTAAGATTATCAAGATTAATCATAAATCACTTTAATGCTGAAATGTAACTATTGATAGTAACATTTTGTATGTTTTTCTTTTTTTAAAAAGTTGATGCCTTTATGAATAATTTGTATTTATTTCAGGGTAAAATATCTCAAACAGAAAACAAAGTGAGTCGGCTTCAAGGTTATGAAATGTCTAGTCTTCGACTTGACATGACAGCTCATCTGAAACCTGCACTGTGAGTAATACAAATTCCTAATTTGTCATATAAGTATACTGCTGCTAGTTTCAAATTCATGCAAAATTTGGAACAAAAATAGTGTCTTTGATGTGTTAGCATTGTTTGATCATACTGCTGTTGTCATATACCTATTTTACCTGTAATCTTATTTTAGCACTTTTCATGCTACAGATATTGTGCCAAAATATGATTGGCTGATCTGTTTCTGTCTATCATGGAAGTTATTGGGAGTGCATGAATTCATCATTGCACTGAGTTGTTTGATGATGCATTTAATATTTTGTGCTTAAATAAAAAAAACCTTTTACAGTATGCAAAATGAAAATGTTGAATATGGGTCAACCACATAAACTGCCATGATCAGGGTCATAATGGTATTTCAGACTGAACATTGAGCCCACTGATGAGGAAGGCATGAGGTACCGGTCAGCCATGAGTGATCTTCTCCTAGAAGGAGGCAGGGTCAGTAAAAAAAAAGACTAGAGTAGATACATGATGCATCAGAAAGAAAGAATATTTTTCACATCTATGTATATTTTTTAGTTTTGATCTAGATAAATGGAAATATGTGTCATTGTTCTTTAGGGATGGTTTTATCAGAAGCCAACTTAAAAGTATGGCAATATGGATTGCACAGAATGATCTTTGGCAAAGTTATTTGTGATTGAAATCCTATAACATGATCCTTCAACTATTTACTGGACCTGATGGTATTGCATTTTCAGACAAAACCAGAAAGTTCCAAGGTATGCAGTGCCGTGCTAGCCAACCACACAGAAACTCCCCTCACTTTCAAGCTGATCACCAAGCCTCCTTTTGTATTAGTTGATCTCAACCCTACAACCAACCGTGATGGAGCAACATCTATCCAGGAGACCGAGATGCAAACACTGCGACCACAACACAACCTGCTAGTGAGTTTAGTCTAAAGAATCCATGTATTAACAACTCAGTATTTCAATCATGATTTATATCTCGTATTTAAGGTGAGAAATATCTGCTTCGGATCGATATTTAATCCCTCTGTTTCCACCAGTTGATGTATTTCAAACTTTGATAATTTGTAATTGATAACAGACAGCAAGATAAGTGTTACAGGCCATATAAACCTCTTTCTATGAATAGTTGCAGACCAGATTTTACTGTGCAGTTGATAAGATATCAATCATCACTTTGTAGGTGAAAGTTGCTTTCCAAACATCCATTGATCTTTTGGAGCTTGGAGACGGAACAGAGGAAAATGGAACATCTGACAATAGATTGAGAAATCATAAGATCGAAATAATGGATCACGTCCTCGTGGAATTTAACAATTCTGCTGCGCAGGTGAGATAATTACAAAACTAAAGCTATGATAAGGGAAAATAATGGGGCCATTTTAGAAGACTGCATTGGATTCAGATTTCAAAAATAGTCTCCATACATTTCACATTTCGTTAACTTTTATGAGTCATAAACTTCAGTTGATATGAATTGTATCTGTACAGAGAATACCTCTGCATGCCAGCCTGTCTGTACCCAAGATTGAGTTGTCCAAGGAAGAGTTGGACTTTGGGACCTGTTTAGTAGGCCAACAAAGAGAATTACAGCTTCTTATCACTAATCTGACAGCATCACACAGCTTCTGGACAGTAAAGAAAGGTAAGATTTTGTAACAGAACTACATGTGATGTAGGACATTAGGTAGACATGGTTTTTTTATGTTAAATAATAAATAGCTATAATACATTATGCAAGCTGCTAGAACTGTAACGTACAGCTAAAGAATTTTAAAACTTTAAAGATGCTCATCTGAAGTATGTGATATTCCATTACTGAGTTTGTTATTCAGTCACAAAGTCATTGTCTCTGTCAGATTAATATGCCTGAATGAATTCCTTTATACAGGTATCAGATCATTAAGTTATGTGTCCATTAGTAGAGATCTTTATTTTACTTACTCAATAGACTTCTAAAATAATCTGTGATAAATATATTTCAGAATCAATGTCACCAGGATGCAGTGAAGACACATTCATGATAACACCATCTAGTGGTCAGCTTGAGGCACATATCACTCATATCAGTGACAGTAAAACACTTCTCCGTGTTTTCTTCACTGCCAAGTAAGTAAACATATGAATATTGTTATGTAAATATCAAGGAAACAAATTTTGGAACAACTTAATCAGATCACTTTCTCAATTCAACAGCTGGACAGTGGATAGAAAGATAGATGACACATAGTTTCAGAAATGTTTTCAGTAACCAGAATCAGAAGTATTTTCAGTAACCAGAATCAGAAGTATTTTCAGTAACCAGAATCAGAAGTATTTTCAGTTACCAGAATCAGAAGTATTTTCCTCAAAGTAATAGAATATATCAAGTATGTCAGTCAGTTTGCAATAGAGACAAAGATGCTGAAATGCTGTATTAAGTTCTAGAAACCAATATCATTCAGTTGCGTTCTATATGTCTGTGTCTTCATCATACACAGTGCTGAGATGTTCCCTTCCACAATCTACTTGATATGAATATACACACTGTAGGCATGTCTGTGATGCTAAGACTTGTCTCTACTGAAACAGGAAATAAACCATTGGAGAATAGTTTACATATGTCATTGTAAGACTGTCTTATTTAGTCATACCTCACTGTACACTATATATGTTTTTATTTCATATTTGTGTTTTATTTATTGCAGACATGCAGAATACTACGAGGCTGTGTTTGTTTTCAAAGGGGTGTTGGGAGAAACGCCTCAGAGACTGGTCATCAAAGGTCAAGGGTCATATGATGGTCGTTATGAAGCTTTACTCAATGTGTGATCTGACAGTTTATATTTGTATACTTAGCCTGTGATATATGAGAAGACTGTGAAATTTGATTTGTTATTTTGTGATATTATCATGTTGAAGAATCCACACTGAGCTTTTTATAATTTTAACTGTAACAGTCATAATTAGATTCCCATCCATCCAAATTTAGAATACAGTTTTATAGCTGGTATTGCAGATGTATATAATTGAAGTTTGTATGACAGCAATGTGTATTGAAAACTTTTTTGTCATTAGAAGAAAATATTAACTTTTGTCAAAATACTTTTAAAAAACTTTTTCTGAGAAGAAAATTCAGCAAATTTGAAATGGAAAATAAAACAATATGAAAAATTTGTTTTCATTCTTTGAATTTTGTGTTAGCCTGTTTGAATACTTAAATGTACACAAGAGTATGAAATAATGTTTGTTTCTTTTAAATAAAAAGTAAAAGTGCAATTTTTTGTTTTCTTATTTGATTGAGGAGGGGGAGGGGTTTATTGTCCAACGAGATCATGATGAGGTCAAAAAACCTCATGATCCTCTTCAACATGTATTTCCAGAGATTTAGTTCACTGATTACCGAGTAACACCCGAGACAATGCCGACTTCTTAGTCCATAACTGTACATAACATACCCCTCCTACTTGGTGTATGCAATAATTAGATATATCAATTTAATGCTTTTTTGGATTCCCTTCTCATATCAAAAGTTGGCTAATAAAATTTTAGAGGTAATTTTCTGGCTTCTAAGACCATATAAGTATACATCCAACACCCCTCCTATTAGGTATACACAGTTATTAGAGATTTGCTGTGACAATTTAATGCTGGTTTGTTTTTATACTGACTCAAAGGGTCTTCTCAATAACTTAATGTACAAGGGTGCTAATATTAGGCCTGAAGCATGTTGGAGTGAGGGGCTACCAAGTTTGCTGCTATGATTGACATTACCCACTTTCAATGTCACAGAAGTCAGCTGTGTTCTTTAAACTACTTTTTCTCAATAACCAAAGTACCCACGGTGCTGATATAGGCCCTGTAGCATCTTGGGATTAAGAGAAACCAAACTGGTTGAAATGAATGAACTTGACCATTTTTCAAGATCACATGGGTCAAATTTGTTAAAATATTTAAACATCTTTTCAATGACAAAATAGTCCAGAATGCTGATATTGACCTGTATCATGTTGGGATGGTGGGCTACCAAATTTTTCCAAACTATTGACCTTGACCCACTTTCAATGTCACAATTATAAAGTGAGTTTAAAATCTTTAAGCAACTTTTCTATAACTAAAATGCCCAGGCTGCTGATATGAAGTATGCTGGGATAAGGGGACACCAAATTTGTTCATATGATTGACTTCATCCCTCCAACACTTTTAAAACGACTGCTTCTCAACAGCCAAAGGACCTAGGATGCTGATATTGAGTCTATGGCATGCTGGGAAAAAGGGCTTCCAAGTTTGTTCGTGTTAGTGACCTTGCTCCTTTAAAGTTATCATAGGTCAAATGTGTTAAAAAATTAACGACTTCTTCTCAATAACTAAAAGGCCTGGGCTGTTGACATCAGTTCTTTAACACATATGGTTGAAGGGCAACCAAATCAATTCAAATGATTCACCTTGACTTACTTTCAATGCCTTTGGGGTCAATTGTGTTAAGATTTCGAAATTGCTTCTTGAAAGAAGCAATAAATCCAAGGTCATGGTTTTTGTGTAGTAGCATGTACAAGAAACAGGATTTCAAGTTTGTAGAAAAGGTTTTTATGAATCAGTAATTCCTTCTTTCTAAGATGTAAGGTAGTATAGCAACATAGGCCTATTTGGCCTTTTCATTGTATATATAAGTCTTTATAGTCAGATGACCGTTAATGTCATTCGACGTCTTGTTTACCATGTCTTGGACTTAATATTTTTGGTGTTGTGAAAGGCTTTTATGTTTATATGTAAACATAGGAGCCTTTCACGACATTAAAAATAGATCTACCTCACACTACTGTCAACCAACAAGGATACATAGGCTTCGAGAAACGTACCTCGCTAGCATGGACTGTATGATCCTGTACATAATGCCATTCATGTTTCTAATAATTTATGACCTGAAGAAGCATGGGAAAAGAGCGTGTAAAATTGTCTCGGTACAAACCCAGCTGCTTCTAAGGCAATGACGGAGTTGTGATATTAAAGATTCTACAAACGTTTTTCAATCAATAAATTACGTGGATAACACCAGTTGAAAAAATTAATAATCCGAAGAAAAAAAAAATCAGCCATTTAACACATCGATAATAACGCTCACCACACAGTCAATAACACCTGCGTGTTCTCATTGGTAATTTTTGTCTACTTTGTACGCATGAATATGTTCAGTATCCTTAGATGTCCTTGTTCGTTCTGTTGACAATGGTTTACTCTTCTCGGGATTCTCGTTCAAACCTGTGCAACTCAAAACTGGGCTTTTTATGCATAAGACACCATTTAAAATCGAAGCTTTGCAATTTTACGCATGCTCAACTGCAATTTGAATTATAAAGCCAATTATAATTACACATCTATTATTGCCTGTATTATTGCCTGAGCACGATATACACCAGTATGTGCCCGAGCCTTCTGATAAAGGTTTCACACTAGACCATTTATCGATGTTCTAAATCACAACTCTGTTGGAAATCCCCTTCCTTCCATTGAAATTGAATGCACCAAAGTACTAAAGCTTTTAAAAAATATTAATGTTAAGAAAGCTTGTGGATATGATAATATCTCTGGTATAATTTTTAAAGAATGGTCACATGAACTGTGCGACAGAGAGTAACAGTAAATGGAGCGACATCTGGGTGGTGTAATGTTTTTTCCGGTGTCCCCTAAGGTTCTATTTTAGGGCCCAAATTATTTATGATATTTCACAATAATTTACCTGCTGTTTTGAAACATTCTACATGTTTTATGATTGCTGATGACAGTAAATTTTGCACAAAAAAACATCTATATATGAATGTAAGCAATTACAGGACGACATCAATAGAGTGTTTGACTGTTATAAATATGGCGTATGCAAGTCAATATTGACCAATGTTGTACCATAAGATTCTCTTTAAAACGTTCTCCTCTCATCTACTCTTACAGGATATGGGGTTAAAGACCTAGGAGTATGGATCTCTGACAATTACAACTTGTCATACCATGTCAAAAAAGTTGTGTCGAAAGGTATGCAAATGCTTGGATATTTAAAGCGATCATGTAAATATTTCAAAAATGTTTCTGTGATAAGGTCATTATATATCAGTTTAGTTAGAAGTCAGTTGGAATACTGCAGTGAGATCTGGTCACCGCACCAAACTACTTTAATTCACCAACTTGAATCGGTCCAAAGAAATTTTTTGAAATTGATGTTTTTTAAGGCGAGCTTTGATTATCTTATGCTGATTTCAGTAAACAGACAGCAATATATGGATATTTAATTCGTTTCTAAACGTATTCATGGACTTTTTGATTGTTCATTTTTAGTAGAAAAATAGGTATTTTAGTCCCCAGAAGATCTTTACCAGATAAGTAGGCCGATACTATTTTCAGATAACTTTATTATCCAAAATGATGGAGGTCTGAAACATACAAAAAGTAAATACATAATCCCCTATTTACGTTCACCTGGAGTTTTACCATTTCTTTCTTCACCTAGTAGGACAATACTTTTAACCGTGCAGTGAATTCCTTTAACAGCAACGGCTGTAAGCAATGTGGAATATATATGTTTTAAATATCGCCTTAATGCAACATGTTTTAAATGGTCATTACGTTACATGCCTTGTTACAAACTTTGTATAGATGTGTACCTGTGATATTTTAGTATACCTTTGTTTCCAATGTTATCAATTCTGTAATTGGACCCTCGGGTCTGTTGAAATGAACTGAAATAAAAACAAAATTGATTGGTCCTGAAACGATGTCACGCGATTTTGATTGACAGGAAACGTCCATTTCGGGGCGCGGTAAAAAACAATGCAAAGTGATTAGATCAATGACAAGGAGCTGGAATTTCTCACATCAGTCCATACAATGTACCCTGTGATTATTTGGAAAATTACTGATCTATATGTCTATGACATGGAAGCTGACGAAAACAAATAGGTGACGCCACAACATCAATAACATACAGCTGTGTTAAAGTTCATGCTGTGTGTAACGCACTCGCCGTTCACCTAAACTGCTGGAGTCCAATTCTCTTACGACACTCGGGAAATATATCGGATTTCTATACCCACAGCGAGAATATTCTTTTATAGACGCAATCTCATTTGAATGGTATAATAGGAAAACCATGATCGTTTACAAATTAAATAATTTATGACGCCCAATGTGATGACGGAACATGTCTGATTTATTGATCACAACCACAGCAAAATATGACGACGATACAGGAGAAAATAATTCCCTCAACATTTCAAATCGATATTTAAACTAAAACCTGATATATTGTCAAGATACTGTTACACTATAATAAAATCGATATCGCCTCGGCGCTACGGATGAATATCCCCCCCTCTCCCCCCTCCCAAATAACCATTTACTCCATGGTCATAGCTTTCACTTGTTCTAACTGTAATGTCAGAGGGATTACATGTAAAACCTTTACGACATTACAACTTCTATTTCACAAATTTCAGGAAAACCCATAGCACTGCTAGCAAGGGCCAAGGATAGACTGTTTATGTTATAGCGTTATAAGTATTAACTTCATATCATAATTATTTATATCTATATATATATATATTATCAATTGGTGATGATGATGATGATGATGATGATGATGATGCTGATTTTGTCTACAAAAAAAAAACGAAAAAAAAAAAAAGAAAATCTACACAGTTTCTTGATATAAATGACATTTACTTATTTTCAAGTCACAACGGCTAGATTTGTCTCCTTATCAAGTGTCAGAGCACTCATGGCCTCATACTTTGTCAGATAATTAGGTAGTAGGTACCGGAAATTAAATGCTTCAGCGCTTACTTTGTATGCCATTGAATTTCTTTCAAGGTCACAGAGGTCAATTGTTCAGATTCTTAAAGGATATCTACAATTTCAAGGATATTTTATGTCCCGATATTCTGCTGGCAAGTACCTCGGATAAAGCGCTAAATATACATAGATTCCATTTATAAATGAACTTCGGTTACTATCAGGCTTAACGGGGTGTGTGTGGAGAGGAGGAGCCAAATATGTTAAAAAAACTAAGGAATCATCATTTCAAGTTGCATGAGACAAACGGGCCGGGTACTTTGACAACAGATACCGAGAATGGCTTGCTGAAAGCTTTCTTATCAAGCTTTCAATGTCACTGGAGTCGGATATACTAAGAATCTTTGATAATATTCTCAAGTTTCAGATGGCAGTAGTTACCTTGAAGGGAGTGCTACAGTTTCCTTGAATAAATGACCTTGACGTCATTGCAAGGTCACGCAGTCAGATTTGATTACATAATGAAATTTTATGAAGACTATCGTCAAATGTTCGTTGTCACCTTCATTACCTCCTATCTTTCTCAGTGTGTTAATTTTATATGTACTAGGGACAACCACTATTGATAAGGGTGTTTGTGATAGAGTGTAAAAGGACAGTGTTAATGTCTGAGTGTCTGTGCTTGCGTTTTGAACTATATGCAGTATGATGAGGAATATTGAACTTGTAAACATGTCAGTGTGATGTACTATGATAGGTTTTTTGTAATGTCTGTTTGTATACCAGTGTTAAAAACTGGAAAAAATAAACACACACACGTACCAACATGTGTTAATTCAATATGTTAGCTATCTGGTGTATATTTCTTGAACATCTGAATCACGTCCAATAAAATACTATTATGATCTTGATTATTTGATATGAGCTAGTGGTTGGGTTCACAGTGGGAGGTGGCCACGTGGTATAACAATGTATGTATGTAACAATACCGAGCACTTCCTTCTCGATCTGAGTGATGATGATAAGACAAGACATGTATGAGGACAGCTTTGATATTTTTGTTGTTCCATCAATTTTTTATTGTTATTCCAATCACATAATTCATAATTTTTTTTCGACGATTTTTCAAAACATAAATATTTCACTCACACCCATGCCAACGCCACACTCACACATGGTTTGAGTACACAGACACGCCCTCACACACACCAATACACAGACACACCACGATATTTAAGGGCCTAATATAATTTTCACTCTAGTCACCTTTTAATGATGATCATCATCATAAATAATATACATATAAATTGTACGCAACATATCATCATCATCATCATCATCATCATCATCATCATCATCATCATCATCATCACCACACATCAGATATCAACTCATCATCATCATCATCATCATCATCACACATCAGATATCAACTCATCATCATCATCATCATCATCATCATCATCATCATCATCATCATCATAAATAATCCTCCTCCTCCTCCTCAAATATCATCATCATCATTGTAATCATCAAGCTAGAAAATTGACAAACTCTGAACCAGCATATAGAGGTGGCTATGAAATTTGGCCCATCCTATATATGCTATGGAATGAGTACACATACACACACACCTTAACACTCATACACACCCTCCCTCACACAAATACACACACGATCACACAAACATACATATAAATATGATAGATGGGAAAGGGTGGGGCAGAAGAGAAAGGAGAGAAAAGGCGACGGATTAAAGAGGGAGAAAAGAGGAAGAAAGGAGCCGGAGGGCTATATCAGATACTGCCTATTTCTACATTTATAGTCAGTTTTGGAATTCCAATAAAGTAATACAGAATGTTCAAAACTTTTCAGCTACATCGATTTAAGTTTAAATATTAACCGTGTCCCGGGGTCAAAACTTCTTCGTCTACGTGACAAAACTTCAGTAACAATGAGATTTGTTTTCTCTCATATACTTATACAATGTAGAGAATTGTATAACTAGATAACATCAGTTCAATCGACCACTTCTGTCTGTACTTAGCAAATAACACCAGTGGTTCCAATGAATCGTTAACTACATGAGAATCGAACTTACTAGGTCTTTCAAATTAGTTTCGGAATATTTTAAAATCAAAACTATTTTCAAAATTTTTCATTACAATTGAATTTTTATTTATTTATTTTTTTTTTGCAAGAAAGGTTCCTATATACATGTATACAAATGTGCACGTGATTTATGAAATTCCATTTTTTTAGAGACACGGATATCTGATCTGATGGCGGAAATCCATCTATATCCTGTCAGTTTGGAATGCTGGTGACAAGCATGCCGGAAATAAGAATATTGAAAATATACTTAATGTATTGTATTTTATAATATCAGAGCTAAATTTGTTTAAAATGAAATTCATTCAAGTGAATAACGGTGATGATGCATCAGTGCTGACTGCCAGCCTTGCCTGTAAAGTGTCATAGTGTTTAAACAGATTCCTTAAAATTAGGGTAAACATATGTACAAAATAAAGATTAACATTGAGACTCCTAGAAAGTACAAGGGAAATAAGACCAGGTGTTGCGGGATAGTAAGCGTCTACTGCTTCATCGACGACACCCGCCATGTAAACATCGGCCAATCCAATTAAGTAATGTAACGTTCTCAAATGAGAACAAAGTATACAACAACGGAACCAACGGTCAAACTAACGAACATCAAATACGCCAAGCAGAGGTGATTATCGTTGCCTTCATAATTCATGCTCCAGTGATTCATCGCTTGGCTACACGTCTGGCAAGTAAAATGTAAACGCTGGAAACAAGAAGTGATTATGTAGTATCTTCGCCGTTTGCTTTTTCCTAGTTTTCCATATGATTTATTAATCTCTACCAGAGTTGTCGTTCCTTAACAGTCACAATACACCTCTGTAAACGGCTAATGGCATATCAATGGTTGACCTCGCGGTCAGGGTCAAAGGTTGATGTCGTACAAAACTATAGCGGTATCCCTAACAACACCAACAATGACAGCAGTAGACTGTATGCTATCAATCAGCGTAAAAAGGCACTTGCGGTTTTTGTGAGGTCATGAGCCAAATATGGTAGCCTAATTGAAAGGGCGTTAGTTGTTTACAGTGGCGTTATCAGGGTACCGCAATGCACCCTGTGAGAGGTTGATGATTTATCTCTCGTTTTAGAACTGATTTCGATAAAGTCATGAGTAGTAGATATTGAGTGATAGACAGGCATTGTATTGATTTGATGAAAGAACTATTTGCACATTTGTTGGAAAAGCAATATATATAAAGGTATCCTTTGGACTTGATACCGCTGGGTATGCAAGCTACATCATTTCTCCAGCTTGACCTGGACCGAAACTTTGGAAAACCAAGGATGTTCAATACCATATGTTTTTAAATTGTCTGGGTTTATGATTGGTCAGCATTGAAGAAAACTATGTAAGTGTCGGGCATTTCTATTGGTTCTACAAACAAACAATTAAGGATTTTTTTGAAAGAATAAATGTCTTTTCCATTCTGGGATCAACGCCAAATCCAGATTATTTGACGAAATGTGAAACACCAGTTGAATACGAAAACAATCTACATTTTGCATATGTATTTTATCACTTTTTTTGTCCGTGATACTATTACGTATATTTTATCTGTTCATGTATATGCATGTCATTGAAAAAACTACATATCTTTTGCATTGTTGACTTGCCGTGTAATAGTGTCTGATAAAATACTGCAAATGTGGTAGATGTCTATCCCTCATGCATTTAAACGAAAACAAACACAACATGATCGGCCAAGGCATTGAAACAGCTTAAAATGTACTCATGTGTTTCGTTGACGGCGTACCCTGATAAGGACATTTAATTAGATATGGGTAAATGCTAGCTGTGCAGACAAACATAACCTGAAGAATGTCACGTAGACACACATGCATACCTTTCTCGGTTGCATATCACTAAACAACGGAAAGATCGAAAGATATATTTTACATAAAAAAATATTTTTAATAAGGCACATCAATGTAAGTTCAAAGATTAGATATATACAAAATAACCATTCTAAAATTTTGTAGAGAATGAATTAAATAAACATATTGCAGTTTGCATCAGTAGATATAGGATCCCTTTCAGTGTATATCAGTACAGGTGAGGTGTTACCTGGTGTGCGTAACAGGTTTCTGACAGGTATGCTGTGGAAGTAACCTGGTACAAATGATGGTGGAGAAATCAAATGGTGTTTTATTTTGTTTGTTGACTTTATGCCTAGTAACTTGGGAATATTTCAACTCCGTCTTTGGAAAAAAATAAAAATCAAAGGCAGAAAAAAGAGATGAGTTTAAGAATAATATTCGATCATTTACATGGTATATAAATAAATATTAGGAGATGGTAGTATCAGTACTTGTATTTTAGAGCATTAAAGAAATATTCAGTACCGCAAACCAAACTTCCTTGTTTTCTAGGAAATAAATTCGCGAAAAATAGTTATTTGTAAATAAAAGTTTAAAGAGAAAATTACAGCCAGTTTCATGATTGCCGTGAAAAATATAACATTACTATATCGTTTTTAAGTGAAATCGTAACAATGTGACGGCTGAAAAAAGCTGCCTTTATAAGCATATATATACATGGACTTTCTTATTCAACAAACATTGTACAGAATTTGTTTCGGAATATTATATAAAATGGATGATACATATCATAGCATTTATATAAATAAACATCTAGAAACTATAGTGTGGTATCAGAATCCAGAATATATTCTAAACAAGTCATATTTGTATATCACACACTGACAATCCAGAATATATTGTAAATAAGTCATATTAATTGATCATACACTGACAATCCCGAATATATTCTAAATAAGTCATATTTATATAGCACTCACTGACAATCCAGAATATATTCTAAATAAGTCATATTTATATAGCACTCACTGACAATCCAGAATATATTCTAAATAAGTCATATTAATTGATCACACACTGACAATCCAGAATATCTTCTAAATAAGTCATATTAATTGATCACACACTGACAATCCAGAATATATTCTAAATAAGTCATATTAATTGATCACACACTGACAATCCAGAATATATTCTAAATAAGTCATATTTATATATTAGACACTGACAATCCAGAATATATTCTAAATAAGTCATATTTATATAGCACTCACTGACAATCCAGAATATATTCTAAATAAGTCATATTAATTGATCACACACTGACAAACCAGAATATATTCTAAATAAGTCATATTAATTGATCACACACTGACAATCCAGAATATCTTCTAAATAAGTCATATTAATTGATCACACACTGACAATCCAGAATATATTCTAAATAAGTCATATTAATTGATCACACACTGACAAACCAGAATATATTCTAAATAAGTCATATTAATTGATCACACACTGACAAACCAGAATATATTCTAAATAAGTCATATTTGTATATCTATTTATAGTGGTGTTCCGATAGCCGAAAAAAGTCGAAAAAACGACTACAACCAAAAATCAAGCTATCGACTAAGTTTTTGTAAGCTCGATTAATCGGAAAAAAGGGTTAAAGCCCCAATATACAATCGTAATTTCGATGGCGGCGTGTTTAAAATAGAGGTGTGTTTACAAATAGCGAGTTTCAACTGCTCATATATCAATACTTTATGCACAAAGTCATGGTAACTATTGTGATCGAAAACTGATCCCTGTCAAGATAAAAATGGTAGAAAAATCAATGTAACTTTCCAAAAACGGGTTATTTTTAAATATAAAGAACAGTGCGTTCTTAATGTTCCCTATATAGTTAAGATTTTCTCCGACTTTTTGACAGCAAATGACTTCTAATTTCAATTCCATACCTATTTCGCAGTAGGAACTACTTTTCTGATTTTGCTTAACCACTGATCAGGGTTTTTATCTGTTTGAAAATTATTATTAAAAAACAATGAGAAAAATAAAAGCATGTGTCAGTGGTATGAAATTTATGAAATGAAATAAAGTGTCATTTTCATAAAGGTTTGCAATAATTCATATTACATCAGCATTCACGTGAAATCCTCGATACAATACAGCATATCACACGAGGTCGTCAATATCAACTGTTTTCATTCACAAAAACCTTCTTGCATATTCATTACAAATCTGTCGTAACACGTAACATGTCCGCAAAATAAAGTGACGTCATAGGTATATGTTACATTGTCTCTGGCACACGTAACACGTCCGCACAATATAATGACGTCAAAGATGTATGTTGCATTGTCCCTGGCACTCGTAACACGTCCACACAATATAATGACGTCATATGTATATGTCGCATTGTCTCTGGCACTCATAACACGTCTGCACAATATAATGACGTCATTATGTTGCATTGGAATGATTTGTAAAAAAAGTAAGCTTTGATGCTGCCCAAAAGTCGTACGCAAGTACAGAATAAATTACAAAAACAGGTCATATTACATACAAAAGATAAACATGAAGAAAATGTTATGTAGCTAGACCACATCAATGTAGCTAGACCACATCAATGTAGCTAGACCAATGTAGAGTGCGATCTCTTCGCAATTTTATTTATGATTTCAATAAGTTTGAATACTTTGAACATATAAGCGCAGAGGTGATTTCGCGCTTTTGTTACAATTGCTACATTGATGGTATTCAGATACTGTAATTAGCTCAATCATACACTAACACTGTATCTTTATCGCTAAAATAAGTTCACCGCTAAATATGCACGTGCACATATAACGTAGCCTCAATAACCAATCAAAATCGATATAACAAACAAAGACTAAATACTAAAAGTTATGAGACGATAGAATTAAAACAGGCCAATAAAATGCCTTTTTTCAAAATAAGAAAGAAAAACAAATGATGTTTTAATTTACACAATTACGTTTGTAATACTGACTATAGTCAAAATTTGAATATCTGATTTGAGATCTGTTCTGACTTTGCCATATGATAAAGCTGTAATACTGTAAAGTGACTTTTTGTTTTTAAAAATATGTTCGGAATAGCACTTCAAATACAAAAGCAGTAGTTCCGTAGCACACGGTCTTCAACACACTGTGACTGAGTTCCATACTTGTTCGTCCTGATGATATCACCCAACTTTATGACGTCATCATTCTCTACATTGGCTGTCACTTCAAACAAAGCACCGCTGGGTGCAGCTTTAAAAAGTACCAGATATTTCCTTTTGTTTTCTTTGGGTTTGAATAAAAGATTTCTTAAAGTGAATTCCTCGTTTTCTACAGCACGTTTGAAATTTGATTCAATCAACTGAGCATCTTCTACCCGGGAAAACGACAGTTCGGCACATTTATGTTTAACATCAGACAACATGGCGTTAATTTTAGTTACGCTGGCATTAGCTATTTCTAAAACAAGTTTACTGGTTTTATCAACGGGATGACTTGTAAAACATGCGCAAAACAACTCGTGTATACCTGCGTCTGCGCATGTCCGTTCTTTCGGAATTTTCCGGAAAAGACTAATACCCCGCGGAAGTTTACCGTCTATTATTGATTGCAACTGATTGTCAAACTTTTTGTGTAAAACGTCATCCATAAACGCGTAAACGTCAAAGGGCGTTGTTATGACCTTTGAATTATGTATCATCGTCTCCACAAGGACTGGATGTTGGTGTTTAAAATGTTCTGGAAGTGCTATAGACAGAAGCGGCATTCGAACCTCTATCCGTCCAGCTGCGGTGTTCCTGATCGCTTCTGTCCTGCTTCCATGGTCACTCATTAGCATCATCACAGTATTGTTCAGATGACCATCCTCCTTTAGCCAAATTAAAAAATCCACAAAATCTTGATCGGCTATCTCCAGAAAATTTGAATAATCATGGCTAATTTCGTTCATCCAAGTAAAAGCAAACTTCGCCTTTTTTCTGTAAACATCAACAAATCTCTTAAAATATTCCAGAAACATATGATGTTTTAGTTGATTTTTAAAGCACAGTGAAGATGATTTCATCTTTATATTTTTGTCTTCAAGAAAGAGGAAAACCTGATCAAGTGAAGTCACAACAGGTTGCATTTTTTTCATACCTAGATACATTGGACGTATGTAGTGGTCACTCGGCGGGACAATGAAACCTTTGGATGCATAGTTAAACGTGGAGAACGCTGGCCAGTCTTCTGCGTACAGGGTCACATATCCAGCACTGGAAAAGTTATGGTGGATAAGAGGATAATCGTCAAAATAATGTTGCCCCCAAACATGCGGCAACTCTCTCGGATCCGCTTTCTTTCCAGTCAAAAGAGGTACTAGATTAGGAAACGTGTTTTCACCCACTTTGGTATAGCCTTTGAATGATATTCCGCCCAACACATCTTCAAAATATTTCATTGTTTTAGGAAGTTTCCGTAAAGCTCCGTTTCTGGACAACGAATCTATTCCTAATACAAGTACGCTTAATTGCTGTTGTGATTCATTGCGAATGCTCTTGTCGGTGTGGGGATTTACGTTGATAAGTAAACTTTCGTATAACTTTTTACCGCCTTTGTCACGACACCTGGCGACCACGAAATCACATTCGATATATTCTGGTTCAACGAAACGTACTTCCTTTTTGAATATGACGTCATCGTCAAACTGACGTTCCACGTGCTGGTAAGTGCAGTCTATATCCGAGTTTGATAGCTTCTCTGAAGATAAGGTCGTACTGTTTAAATGGATGAAACCTTTTCTGTCTATAAACATGAATGGTGGAGTATTTTCACACACGACTGGCCGTGGATGCCAGTTCAGTTTCATAATCTCATCATCGAAGGGGTCAATTTCTGGCAGAGTACACACGGCATTCACATTGTTGTTACTGAATCGAAATTTAGACGGCTGATTGTACCTGAAGTTAGCAAAAAGTAGCAAAGATACAAAACACACTGCCAAGATCTGCTTCCTGTTGGCTTTACTGTACCTCACAGTCCTAACAGTTATTGCAAATATGACTCCAGATGAAACACTTATTGCAGATTTGGCCTGACCTGATGTTATCGGCATTATTCTCATTTCGTCACGAATCTGGTGATAACTTGAGTTATCTCCCATGATAGTCATTACGGATATTCTAATTTGTTAGTTTCGTAACGCGATTTGTCCATCTTCGTTACTTTTATATAATCAGCATTTGAAATTTCATTCACCTTCTTGACGTCTACCTGAAACAGAAATCAATATTTTAAAGAATAATCTAAATATACTTTACAACCTCAATCATAAAGTACGTGCTGAAAGTTCTTAGCGTGACTGACGAGCTCTAGGACTGATAAAGAGCATTATAAAATTACTTAGAGTGACTGACGAGCTCTAGGACTGATAAAGATAGTACTAGAAGTTCTTAGAGTGACTGACGAGCTCTAGAAGGACGGGTTAAGAACATACTAAAAGTTCTTAGTGTGACTGACGAGCTCTAGAAGGACTGATAAAGAACATAGTAAAAGTTCTTAGCGTGACTGACGAACTCTAGATGTTGTGATTATATTGAAGAATAACTGAAAAATCGGAGAAAATGTCTTGAATTTTGCTTCATAATACTAACAAAACACATTATAGCTACGAGGAAACAGTGTTTTTCAGCTGTATAATAGGACAGAATTATTGTGCATTGTATCCTACAATAACTGACGTCTCTTTTCTCGCAATTCTTGTCGTCATGATAAATATCAGTTATTGAAATTCTGCCACTATTTCCGAATCTATTTTGGTTTAACATGTGAACAGATGTTTATATTTATTTTAGCCAAGTTAGTCGATCTGTGAATTCAGCACTAGGTTTTTTGTTTAGCTACAGTGAGTTATACTTTTGCCACTGAACATTGATCAGCAGACAACATTGGAAACAAGTCACTCTCGTGTTTATTTAGCTGTCAAAGCAATGCTGATACGAGTAAATACTATACCACAAACCAATCTAAACCCTGTAAACCTTTCAACAACTCGAGAACAATGGACATGATGCAACTCTGAAAAACAGCAAAATTTCATTCCAAAGAGATTCCGTATTGTTTGAATATGCATTCATCCTTTATCTTTGCATATTGTCAAACTGACATACATAGGCCTCTACTTCGTTGTGTGTGTACAATTTCAGGTTTTGTAGCAAAAGTTAGCGATGAACAAATTGATGATAAATCTGTTATTATATGCAAACAAAGACATATTCAGAATAACACTGAGCACATAAATGATTCTCACGTGATGGTCTTTAATTCGCGCTAAAAGCTGCATTATAAAATATGAAGCATTTAAAGTATCTGTGGGTAACGTGGATTTTATTTTAAAACATGCGTATTGAAATCCATGGCAGCATTCTTGAATACCGAAAATAACTATGATTTAGCATTTTGAAAGTTCTATGACTTTGTTAACTATTTGATTATTTCACAAACTTTGACGACATAACACCTGCTTACAACAATTATTCATGAATGCAAATATTTTCTTGCCATCCATTATAACGCACTACCACGAATTGTAACTGAAATAAAAGGTTGTGAAACAGGAAACAGACCATAGGAGATTTAAACACCAGTAATTATCATTTTTTGAGTATTTTCTTCCGGTTTAGTTTTATTTCTGTAGATTCAACCTTTTGTTTCCTCTTGACAGGTCTTATTTTAAATTTTATGATTTTTTTCATAGTAATCCCAGTGAATCCCAGATATATAGACTACCAACATTTTATATATCATATGTTTCTTTTTCGAGGACTTCCTTTTAGCGTTTAATCATCTTATGTAAATCGCTAACATAAATGATTAAACTGGCTGGCTGTAAGGGTTCCACGTTTCCAGTTGACTGCTTTTTCACGCCTACAGCCTGACATTGTGTACGTGCCAACTTAAACCAGAATATTGTCAATCTAATGAACTGTTATTGCTAATATGTGAGAAAAGCAAATACATATCTCATCAGATATATAGATATGAAAGGATTACACTGCTCAATGCTTTGTAAAGTCATGGCGAGATTTCTGGACCATCACAATACTGGGTTGATTAATAGAGAATTCAAATTTCATGTTGAACAAATTTAAGATATTACGCGTAACGTTTCAATGGATTTGAATTAAAACTGTGAAGACGATTCCAATTCATAACTTTTAGTCTTTGTCCAGTTGTAGAGTCTCAACGAATGCTTGGTAAATATCATACGGGATTCCTTACCGTAAAACATCATATACATGTTTTTCGTTAAAATCTGCTCAACGTAAAATGGGTATGGGGCGCAGAAGGATAGAAAGACCAAGGTCACAGGTATGATTGGGTACAGAAAATCTTACCTTTGGGGGCATTCAAAACAGGAACAGTAAGCTATTTAGAGAAAGTTAATCCTTTCTTTGTTGATAGCGCTAACAGTAAACTTCATACAACAGACTTTCATTATCTCACCTCTGGAAATGCACACCTTAATATAATGTTTCAAGTATGCAATATGCAGACCGGCTGTGCATGTTAACATCAATCAGTCTGTCAACAAGTACATACACGCCATACCATATCAACGACATCTAGGACAGACCATGTGTGTGTTGCATGTAAGAAGAGGACACATTCATATGTAGTAGCTTCCTTGTTGGATGTGGATGTCCACTTCACTATAAGGATATTTACATACGCAGAAACGTTTATACCGTCAGTCCGAATCAGTGTAAAAGAAGGCATTCAACGGAAGTAAACACACCCTTACACTGAACAAATAACTGTCTAGTATAAGTAAACAAAACGCAAAATGAACGTTCAGAACCACCAACGCTAAACAATTCATGCAACCTTAAACAATGACATCACACTAGCAAATAAGCTTCCAGCAACGATAAACAACATCAAAATACTAAAAATAAGTACTTCAGTGGTTAACAACAACCTAACACTGCGTAAAGAAACATCCATCAGTGGTAAACACCCTAACACTGCGTAAAGAAACATCCATCAGTAGTAAACAACAACCTTACACTGCGTAAAGAAACATCCATCAGTTGTAAACAACACCCTAACACTGCGTAAAGAAACATCCATCAGTGGTAAACACCCTAACACTGCGTAAAGAAACATCCATCAGTGGTAAACAACAACCTTACACTGCGTAAAGAAACATCCATCAGTGGTAAACAACAACCTTACACTGCATAAAGAAACATCCATCAGTTGTAAACAACACCCTAACACTGCGTAAAGAAACATCCATCAGTGGTAAACACCCTAACACTGCGTAAAGAAACATCCATCAGTAGTAAACAACAACCTTACACTGCGTAAAGAAACATCCATCAGTGGTAAACACCCTAACACTGCGTAAAGAAACATCCATCAGTAGTAAACAACAACCTTACACTGCGTAAAGAAACATCCATCAGTTGTAAACAACACCCTAACACTGCGTAAAGAAACATCCATCAGTGGTAAACAACAACCTTACACTGCGTAAAGAAACATCCATCAGTGGTAAACAACAACCTTACACTGCATAAAGAAACATCCATCAGTTGTAAACAACACCCTAACAATGCGTAAGGAAACATCCATCAGTTGTAAACAACAACCTTACACTGCATAAAGAAACATCCATCAGTGGTAAAAAACAACAATTCAAACTAAGTCTGTTGCTGCCTCCTAGAGTATCAATGGTTATCACTGTGTCTGGTGCTAACCCCTACAGTATCAATAATCATCACTGTGTCTGGTGCTGCCCCCTACAGTATCAATGGTTATCACTGTGTCTGGTGCTGCCCCCTACAGTATCAATGGTTATCACTGTGTCTGGTGCTGCCCCCTACAGTATCAATAATCATCACTGTGTCTGGTGCTGCCCCCTACAGTATCAATGGTTATCACTGTGTCTGGTGCTGCCCCCTACAGTATCAATGGTTATCACTGTGTCTGGTGCTGCCCCCTACAGTATCAATGGTTATCACTGTGTCTGTTGTTACCTCCTACAGTCTCAATAATTCGAACTAAATCTGGTGCTGCCCCCTACAATCTAAATCATTATCACTATATCTGTTGCTGCCCCCTACACTGCGTAAAGAAACATCCATTAGTGGTAAACAACAACCTTACACTGCGTAAAGAAACATCCATCAGTGGTAAACAACAACCTAACACTGCGTAAAGAAACATCCATCAGTGGTAAACAACAACCTTACACTGCGTAAAGAAACATCCATCAGTGGTAAACAACAACCTTACACTGCGTAAAGAAACATCCATCGGTGGTAAACAACAACCTTACACTGCGTAAAGAAACATCCATCAGTGGTAAACAACAACCTAACACTGCGTAAAGAAACATCCATCAGTGGTAAACAACAACCTTACACTGCGTAAAGAAACATCCATCAGTGGTAAACAACAACCTTACACTGCATAAAGAAACATCCATCAGTTGTAAACAACACCCTAACACTGCGTAAAGAAACATCCATCAGTGGTAAACACCCTAACACTGCGTAAAGAAACATCCATCAGTCTCAATAATTCGAACTAAATCTGGTGCTGCCCCCTACAATCTAAATCATTATCACTATATCTGTTGCTGCCCCCTACAATCTCAAACATGATCACTATGTCTGGTGCTGCCCCCTACAGTCTAAAACGTTATCACCATGTTTGGTGCTGCCCCCACAATCTAAAACGTTATCACTATGTCTGGTGCTGCCCATACAATATAAAATGTTATCATTATGTCTGGTGCTGCCCCCTACAATCTAAAACGTTATCACTATGTTTGGTGCTGCCCCCTACAGTCTCAAACATTATCATTATATCTGGTGCTGCCCCCTACAATCTCAAACATGATCACTATTTCTGGTGCTGCCCCCTACAACCTTACACGTTATCATTATGTCTGGTGCTGCCCCCTACAATTTAAAAAATTATCACTATATCTGGTGCTGCCCCCTACAATCTCAGACATTATCACTATGTCTGGTGCTGCCCCCTACAATCTTAAACATTATCACTATGTCTAGTGCTGCACCCTACAGTCCCAAACATTATCACTATTTCTGGTGCTGCCCCCTACAATCTCAGACATTATCACTGTGTCTGGTGCTGCCCCCTACAGTATCAATGGTTATCACTGTGTATGGTGCTGCCCCCTACAGTATCAATGGTTATCACTGTGTCTGGTGCTAACCCCTACAGTATCAATAATCATC